TTGTTTCTCATGGTGATTGACATAGCTATCTCAATTTTCTGAAAATTTTTTGTTTTATATAATTTTACATTTGAGATACCATTACCAAATTTCTTGTTATTACCAACAACAGCATCCTTAACAGCCTTCGGATTTAACCTAGTAGATAGCGGAATAAGGAACATTACAATAACTTCACCAGGACCAGGCATCAGTGGAGTAGTTTCATAGTCTGTTTCATTGTATTCTTCAAATTGTATTATCTTCTCATTGGGTTGTAGGCCTTTGAGATTAAGAGCCTCAATGTACTCTTTTGCAGTTGGTTTCACTATTTTTCTGGAAGTAGAGAGTTCCTGATCAGCCATACTAATCAGTTGTACAAATTGATGATTTTATATAAGGTAATAATGAGTACTTTTAATAACTTGGTTTATTTAGTTGGATACACAGAGAAAGTTAAATGATTTTGGGTGATAAATAAGACAGGTAAGTGAGTTGTTTACGTTGTTTGTGTTGAGGTGTTTAAGTAATTTTACTTCAATTAGCTCCATCTGGCGAAGAGTGTGTGATGCGGTAAATTCATATTAATTATGGATTTCTATTGTTGACAATTACATGAGAATAGGTATGGTTGATTCTTTGTATATTGAGTTTTATTTGTCTCATTAGCTCTGGGCATTTCAATGACCAGACAGAGTGTCCAGTTTTCCATTGCATGCAGAGCATCGATGTCGTTCAGAATTGTTTTGTGTTGACAGTCTGCTGATCTGTGAGGGCCAACACAACCACAGCATACTTGATATTGACAGTTTTGATTTTTATGACCATATCTGTTACAGTTATGACACAAGTTCAGGCCAATGTTATCAGATATTTTTATCTTCTGCCATCCAACACTGAGCTCACCCTTGAGTTTGTTCGTTTCGAGGAGTGACCTAGTTTTAGAGTCTATTTCATTAGTATTCTCTTATGAGTGATTCTGTTGTCCACACTTATAACTTTGAGTTTGCTCTCCGCCGATAATGAATTCCAGATTTTGACTCTTTGTACCCAGGAGTCCCATTGTTCTTTATGCCAGTTGTCACAGTCCAGTTTTATGTCAATTGAGATAATTATGGGTGATAAGGTTGGTTCAGTTATTTTAAGATTCCATTTTTCCTCTTTGATGATTTTTTCAATAAGATCTTTTACCATTGAGCGATCCTGAGAGTTATCCGTGACGATCTTGCATGCGTTTTTTAAAACTGCAATGGTGCTTATTTTCCCGGCAGCAGGATCTTCAATTGTTTGAAGAGAGGTGGTAAGTTTGTGTTTAATTGTGAGTCCATTTTCCCGATTGTTCAGTAGAGTTGATCAGTAGTACAGGTTCAATTTTATATTTTCAACCCATATCCAATTATCAGGTTTGGTCCATGGAGTATCAGCTACTTTTTTAAGTTGTTCAGTGATTTCATTATCATTGGTTTTGGCCACAATTCTGACACTGTTTTTACGTTTGAGTTGTGTGTCATGAAAAAGTTCAGATCGATAGTAACCTAACGACAACTGAGGATAATCATTCACTCACCAACTTGACAGCTGCTTCCACTTTCTTATTAAGTGTTTCCATCTATTGGAAAATTAATTACTCAAAATCTTCGATGATTAATCGAAAAGCGGTTAATTTAATTTAATTTGATTTCTTTTAAATTCTCAATTGAAATTAACTTGGAAAATTTTCTATTCTAATTTCATTGTGATGATTGATTGATAATTGATCGAAATTTACTCTCATCTTGTTCAGTTCTTTTTCTCTGTCGATGTAGAAACATGAGTAACTTTGGGTTGTAATCTTTTCGATTCGAGTTTCAATTTGATTGTTTTCTAGTTTTCTCATCGTAATTTAAGACAATTAAGATAACTGACCATTCATTGTGTTAATCAGTTAAACTAATTAACTCATCATAACATAGTAAATCTTTAGTTTAATTAGTTTATTGAATGGATTAGTCATCCATTGGATTTTTTTAGCTAATCAACAAAATTTTTTCATCTTTTTGACTCATTTTGTATAATTGAACTTTTTCTTGATAGTTTTTGCTAGATTTTAATTAAACTCCAACTAAATGTTGATTAAATTACCACAGAGATAATTAAAAGAGTTTTTTTCTGAGTTTATCGTTTGAATTGAGGTTCAATTATTCAAAAAGTTCAATGTTAGACTAATCTTCCAATAGATGTCACCTTGAGGTGCGTCCATTTAAAGTTCACTTTTTTTACCGGTAAAATTGTCTCCTTGACCATTGTGGCCTCAGGGGACTGAAAGGATTAACAATTTAAAGAGAAACAATAATAATAACAACGGAAAAAATTAAAATGGATTATCTTTATGCTTATGGAACTTAAAAAAATAAATAATTCCCATTATAATAGAGTAAATAGCGATTATTTTTCCATCGAAATTTCATCAGCTCATTTAAGGTCAATGTTGAAGAAAGAAAGAAACAAAAGTAGAGAGAAAATGCTAACCAATGTTTTTGGCATTTTCGAACAGAAAAATTCTATAGAAATAATCTAATTGTCATCTTTTTCGATAGAAATATTAAAAATTTCCTACAAGGGAAATGTCCGCGATGTGAAATCGCTTTTGATTCATTATTGGTACCGATCGATGCTACAGGTCAAGATTAGCTAAGAATCAGTCCACAGATCTGCCCATAGCTCAATTTCCGACCGCTGGTGCTGTCCCAAGTTTGTATTTTCCATCATTTATTAGCGAAATTTTCAGCTTTTAGATGTCATATCTTCAGAATACAAACTCTGATTAAATTAACAAGCACACCAATCAAAAGATCTCAACTCGAACTTCATTATTGTTCCAAAAAAGTCCATAAATTTTTTTTTGTACACGCAAATGTACCACTTTTTCGACTTTGTGAGACTAGTGTTTCAAAATGACCTTTCTGGTGATTTGACTAATTACAGCACAAAAGACTTACACATTTTCTCTAAATATTAGCAAGAACAGATCACAATCAAGCAAGTAAGCTCGAAGAAATTAGCACTCGAAATGGAAACTGATGACCGGTACTTCCATTGCACGACTCAAATTGGGCAGCCCTTGTTACGATTTCTGCAATCCTTACAATAGCCATTCCAAGAAAAAATGGTAATTTGAATCAAATCGATTTCACATCGGGGAATGTTTCTTAAGACCTCAGATTTTCTGTATTCGGTTGTTCTAAGTGATTTGAAATTCGTATCTCCTGAACATCATAATGTCGACAAACCAATAGATGGCATTACTGGGATCTCTTTTTCCCTCTCTTTCTTTTTCTCTCAATAATCGTTGAGATAATCAAATGTTCAAATTCGCCATCAGATCAGCTAACGAACATTTTGTATATTCAAGAATTTGTGAAATCTTTCACATGGAAAAGTTGAAAATAACCGACGTTTAGAAAGCCGATTATCAAAGAGAAGATAAGATTTAATTTTCTAAGGATAATCAAAGATTATCATCAATTCTAATCCCACAAACAGAGATTTATCATGAGAATAGCGATGATGCGATAAGATGAAGTAAAAAATAGTCGAAATTACCAAAACTCCAAATCGGATAATCCAAACCATAGATCAAATTTTACTCTTTAATCTGTTAACCTTTTTATTTCGTTTCAACGAACGAATCTGTTGATATAAACCAAAGTTCAACTTGGAATATTGAGAAATCAGAACGATCAGAATGTTCAATGAATATTCAGAACAATTATGGTGATATAAGTGAAGAAAACAAAGAAAATGAAAAAGGTTCACAATGAATTTCTCTTTTTTTTGCATTTCAATTCTTTTATCTCCCTCAACTACTGTCAGAATTAAAGTTCATTGTAATTATCTATAATGAACAAGTCATATTATTTGATATAATATCATGAGGTCGTTGTACCATTTGACCCAGATCGTAAATGTATCGCTGGAGAGAGAGAGAAGGCATGAAAACAGCATCTTTCTACTTTTCTCCATCTTGTTTGCACTTCTTTTTTTTTCTTCATCTTCTCTTTCTTTTCTTTCTCTTCTCTCCGCACTTTGATAACTTCGAGTGAAGTTATTTTTGAAGGTTGTACCATCATAAATTCAGGTCATTCATTGAACTTATATCTTGGGAAGCGAAGAGGTAAAACTCTTAAAGAGCGAGAATGAGAAGACAAGAAACAAGAAGAACAAGAAAAAAAGAGAATGATGAAAATGATGATCAGAGAGAGAGAGAGAGAGAGAGAGAGAGAGAGAGATGAATTTAGGAGGTAAGAGGTAAAGAAATAAAAGAGACTGAGTTACATGTTACGATCCATTGAACTTGTCTAATATTTTCCCTTCTCTTCATCGCCATCACCCTCATCATCCTCATCATCTTCCTCTTCACTAATCTATTATTCTCGACATCTTTTCATTATTATCGTTATTATTTAAGGTACACACTTAACAAAAGGTATTAATACATTTTCCATTCACCAAGACAATTAACTAGATTCGAGTACGATCGTTAATTGTTAATCAATTAAGGTAAACCATTACATCATTTCATTAATAGAGTTAAACTCTCTTGATATAATTAACGATCAATGTATCAAATTGTTGAAATATGAAAATTCTGATCCAATAGTAAATTAAAATATCAAGATATCGTTAATAGGAAATACTAATTGTATCTTGATTGTTATATGAAATTTTTTTCAAAATTTCGAGCTTTGTAACAGTAAAAATAAAGATTAATTGTTTATCTTTATTGTGTTGATTACTTATAATTTATGAATCTCTACATGTTATTCATTGTAATTAACTCACACAGGATAATCATCATCATCATCATCGTCTTAATCATAACCATAATCATTTGTATGAAGGCCAAAAGCTAAAAATAATTTTCTGCTTCTTTTCCTATGAAGACATGATAAGGTAAATAACGATTAACGTTCATTTAACTCAACTAAATTTCATGGATTTTAATTATCATCCATATGAAGCAACAATTAAAATCCAAACCATTATTCTTAATGATAGTTAATAATATACAACAATATGAAATTCAACAACTTTCTAATTTAACTTTAATCAAAACGTTCATTGGGTTACACCTTATATACCAGTTTCTATTTTTTTTTTGCTCTTCTAATTGTAACTATTAATTTGATTATTCTGTTTCAATTTCTTTGAACAATGTTTACAATGTTTCAAATTTTCTTGTGAATTTGCTGGTTACATATTGAAGAGTACATGTTACACAACAACGGTAACAATTAACTAATTCATTAAACAATTAACGTGAACAAAGTACCAACAAGTAGCAGCAGATCAATGTTTTAACCTTAACCTTGATCTTGATTGAATGTTAACTTGTTCCTTTAGGTATTCAAATATATATATAATAATACGTAAGGTGAATACTATTTGAATTGTGAATTAATTTCCATACTAATTATGATGGAATCAATTGAATCAGGATGTCAACAATCAAATGAACCTTTGGAGAGTGTAAAACGCTGCAATAAGAAGCCGCTCATTGACACGGAGTTCGTCAATTATCGATATGGATTGTTGAGAATCGCTCAAGCGGTAAGAGTAACCCCAACATGATGTGTACTCTTTATTAGCACTATTATTACTCTTTGCTAGCCTAAAATGTGAGCATATTACCTTGTGCGTGCTTTTTAATTCTCAGGTAACAAACTACATTTTCTGTATCTCTTTTTTTCCCTACCAATTCTCACTCACAGCAAAACTTTTTAATAAGTTGTCAGGTTTATCATCATCATCTCTCTCTCTCTCTCTCTCTCTCTCTCTCTCTCTCTCTCACTCACCTTGCCTTGACTTCCTAGTTTCCCGTTAGTGATCTGCTCTGGATAAAAATTACACCAAGAGCAGGTTTCGTTTTCCATCTCACCTTTAAATTAACATAATCTCCTCATCATCTTCATCGCTCCATGTTAACATGAAGCTCTTAGGGTGATGATGACAAAATTCAGTAAAATTGAGGTAAAAAATGTCCCTCAACCAGTTACCGTGCGACATTGATGATAATGATGAGGGAAAGAATCAGTAAACCATAGAGAGAGAGAGAGAGAAATAGAGAGAGAGGTGGAAGATACCAGGGAGGTTGATGTCCGCTTAATTGAACAATGATTTTCCTGACTCTTTGTTCATTTTTGTATCTTCCCTGAATTCTGACACTCGGACCTTTGATTTTAATTGTTTCTCTTCTTTATTGTTCAACCTATTATCTTATCGTATATATAATTTACAATTTAACACTGAATCAGAATTTCAATTAACGATGCTTATCATGTTTCGAATACAATATTTTACCTTTGTATTTGTTTTATCATTTCTCTTTTTTATCAACTAAATTGTTACAATCAACTGTGATTTCTTGCTATTCAACTTTTTACTTTACTCCAAAGGCATTGACATGATTTGTAAACATTAATTTTACTGATTAGTTTGATTGTTACCATGTTAATTGTTGTGTATATACAGTTTCTGGTAACAAGGAAATTATATCAACAATTTATCAATGAAGGATAGGATTTTATCATTGGTCATTAACTGATAATAAATACTACATAGTTAATTGTTTACTTTGAATCATTGTTACAATAACGATAATAATGATAATCTATTAGCAATTTTATCAAATGATTAAAGCAAATACAACAATCGATTGACATTTAGATTGAGCTTTGAATTTTGACCAATATTAATTATTGGTAACCAATAGCTATTAAATTTAATCTAATTGTAAACTTGATTCTGTAAACTAATCAGTTGAAAAGTGTGCCTCATCTTCAATTACAATCATCATCAAGTTAATCATTATTTTCTGATCCTGATAATTTAAATTCCGTTATGAATGTGAACATTTTTTTACCGAAACCAGTTAAACCTGATAACAGAATTAACTAAATTGTTCAATTCCCCAACAATTTAGCTCCAAGAGAAATTGCTAAATCGTATCGAATCAGTTAATTGTTAGAACTATTAATATAACAGTTAACCTATTGGTATCACAATTATCAAGTATTATTTTCAGTTAGACTAACAGTTAATTGTTTATAATCAATTAATCTTTGCTAATCTAGAGTTTTAATCAACTTAATCATTGATTAATTGTTAATATTATACAATAAGTTGCCTTTGATTTTAATTCAATTATAAATAAACCACAATTTAAATTGTTTCCTAATATTGTTAATCTTGCTAATTAAATTAAATATGTTTACAATTTGGTTAATGATAACAGTTAAATCATAATAGTAATTAACTTTTGTTAAGTTAATTCATTTTCCAATGTTAAAACTTTGTTTAAAAAAAAATTAACTGTATAATTAAATGAATTTTTCTTCTTGATTAACACAATTAATCAAGTTAATTGCTATCTAATTATGATCATTATGATGTTGATTAGATTGCTTGTTATGTTTAAATCACTAATCATGTTTCTACCAATGTTGTTGTCATAATTAAATCCTAATTAAGGGAAGATAAAAAATTCATGATCATATTTAAATTCTGATTTTTGACCTAAATTGTTAACGATCAACAAGATGATTAACTTTGAAAAAAGAAAGAGAGAGAAACTTAATTCAATCTGAATTAAAGGAAAGTTGATTAACAACAATTAAAAATGAAAAAAAAAGCTTCTGAACTTTTTTGATTCAATTTAATGGGAAAAGAGAAAAACAAAATTAAAACTAATTGTGATTAATTTAAACTGTTAATCTGAGCATTAATGACACTTTAAGCTAATTGATTATTTAAATCAATGATAATTCAATTAGATTAAATTTTTTTATTTTAATTCTCAACTAAAAATAGTGATAACTTTCAGCTAAATTGTTGAAATTAACTTGATAATAATAACAGAGTATTGATTGTAAATTAGACAATTAGTTGATTACAATTAAAGTTGAAACTTTTGGCTTTTATTTTCAGGTCATTTCTGTACTTTGGCTTATGTTGATTTACGCTCGAGATGCAACAATTAATGAACAATCAACTGATTGCTGTTGGCTGTTATCCTCATCTACACCTTATGGTCAATCAGTACGAATCATGTTAATTATATTAACAATTTATTCATTATCATCAATATTAGTTTTCTGTTTCCGTTTAACTGAACCATTAGATTCATCGTGTATCAATTTACCGTTAACTGTAAGTTACAACAATTAATAACTAATATTGGAAAATATCAAATTTCCTGTTGATAATTTTAATCATAATTGTGATAACTTTAATTCCGGTTCCTCCTTTTGATAACTAGTTGTCCATTTCCTTAACCATTTACACATAATTAATTATAAGCATCAATCATGATTAATTATTATCAACATTTGCAATCATCAAAACCATCACCAGCAATCAATTGATTAATATAAATGATATATTAAAAAGCATTAAATTGAGAGACTATTAAGAAATCAGTTAATTATGGTTACCTGTTAACACCTTATGGGTTGATTTAATGATAAATTGTTGACAATTTACTAATTACTGTTTCTCTCCTTCTCTCTTTATAGTTTTGTGTATTTGAAACAATTGGATCAGTTTTTTTCTTGATTACAAGTTCATTCATACTAATTGTGATTAATTGTTATCCATTGGCTTTTTTATTATCAGTAAGTTGATACAGTTACAATTTAAGTTTCATTGATTTTCATTGCTGATTGTCAGGGTAATGAGTTAATCAGATTAAATGATTAAATGAAGTCATTGATGAAAAAGTTAAACAACAATTTAACCTGTGGTAACCTCTAAGTGTTAATCTCGTTAATTGTAACAATTAGTCAATCCAATAGTTAGAAAAAAGAATCGGACCATTTCCTGATTTAGTTCCATGTCTAGCAACACTAATCAAAGATTATTTTGTAGACATTAAATGACAATTAACTGATTGTTCAATTTACTTCTACCACCCAGACGATTGGTGAATCTAACCATTAGTAGGATCATTTGTTAATCCATGAAAATTTATCATGAGAAAATATTGATTCCAACAATTAGATTAATAGAAGGAATTTTTCCTTCCATTTTCTCATCAAGAAATTAAAACTATTACACAAAATCAGAAACAGAATCAGAATCAGAAAGTATTAACGAAAAAAATTCAGGTTCCCGAAATGAGCCTAATGGCATTTCAAATGCTCTCTGTGATTCTTATCATATTTCTGATGAAACCGATAACGATACCAGAAAGATAATGATGAGAAATGAGATAATCAATTGAGTATTAGAATCAGAATTTGATGAAAAAAAAGGGATGATGAGAGAGGGAGAAATAATTTCATAAGCTTGCGTGAGAATTGAAAAAATAAGATGAGATTTGAAGAGGAATCATAATATTATCGGAATAGACTAGGGATAGAGAAGATGAAGATAATGATAGAAAAGAGTGAGAGAGAGAGAGAGAAGGGTAAAGATAATGATGAAGATGAAGATTGAGGCAATGATTTTTGAGGACAAGATGATGATAAGAGGGAGAGAGCGAGTGAGAGAGAGAGAGGATTGGTAGGATTGTAAACATGGGCCGTCAAGCGGATCCGGGATCGATGAAACTTGACTCAATGCCTTAACCTAAATAAAATGAATTTCTTGTGTATCTCTTTCTCTCCCTCTTTCATCTGGCCCTAGGCCATTTTTATAGCATCATCATGTTCATCCTCATCCCCATCATCATCTTTAATCACCATTGAAACCTGTTAGAATAAAAAAAGAGAGGAAAGAGCTGCAATAGAAAGGAAAGAAAGATTATTGTCTTTTCTTTTTTCTTCTTCTTCTTCATCTTCTTCACATTCGCATCATCCACTGCGTGTGAAGAGTCAAAGACGAATTGACCTCGATTCACTGAGATAACCACTAATACTAAATGATGATGACGAAGATGATGACGATGATAAAATCCCTCTAATTCCTTTCTACCTTGATAGTGAAAAGAAAGAAAAAAAGAAAGATCCGGATGACAAGTGAACCATTATTCTTATTTTCTCTCTCTCTCATCCTTATGGACTCTGGATATTTACGATGATATTTTCTCTCCTGTTCTGATTTACCTGAAACTCTTATCTTCATCTTTTCCATCATCATCATCATCATCATCATGTTTCTCTTTCTTTTTCTCATCTTAAATTCTGTCATTGACATTGATTAACATCGTTCTTGTGTAATTGTTGATAATGATTCATTTTCCTCCTCTTTATCATCAACTAATTATCTTACCGCTCTCATAATCTTGTTTCTTAATTTTGTTAATTTACCTTAGTAAGTTAATAGGATTTCATCATTTTCATGATAACCTGTTACCGTTATTATCGTTTAATAAACTAATCAAATTGTTGGAGGAAAAAAAACTTGACCATCAATACAATTTACCCACTAAAAAAAAGGAGTAATCAATTGCCTTCTAATTGTTGCAATCAGTTAATTGCTCAGGTTAGATTAGAGATAGAAATTACAATTACAATTGCAAAACAAGAAAGTTAATTGTTATGCAAATCCTTTGGTTTAATATACAAATTGTGCTTACAATCAAAATAATAAAACGAAAATTTAGATTGCAATTCAATTTGATTACGTGTTTGTTGATTTGATTAACTCACCTTCCCAACAATCACCACCTCACTGAACTAGTTTACTTGTTAAATTATTTTTCTAAATAATTAATAATCAAGATCAATGATTATCATCATTATAATCATAATCGCGAGTATATTATCATCATTGTCTCAACTTTTTCCAACTCAATGCTGGAAAAATTGAACCTTCTTCATGGTGATGTTGATGATAATCATGATCATGAAGAAATCAATTGAATTGAGGTTTGAAAGTTTCAAGATTCAGAATGAAGATCAAGATATAAGAGAGAGAGAGAGAGAGAAAAATCTAATATCAAGCCAAGTATTGAAAAAGAATAAGAAAAAACTCTCTTCAAGTTTATCTTCTTATTATTTTACCTGTAAAGAAACTCAAGTTTATTTTCATCTTCTTCATCATGTTCATCATGTTTCCAAATAATATGACCTGAAAAAGGTCATATTTCGCATTGAAAAACGATCGATAACATGAGAAATTTTCTTAAGGTGAGAAATGCAAATTTTTTATAACCAATCGTTTCTATTACAATCATGGAAAGATGAATGATGGGCAACAGGTTAATTCAGTTTCTAAAAATGATAATAATTTACAATCACGGAGAATTAAACCGATAACTTTATCCGCATCATTTTATCTTCTCTCTCTCTCTTTTCTATTCCTTGTCATCCTCATCCTCTTTCTTACAGATATTTGGATTCGCTGGGTCATTTGCATTTGGTTACGATGCTAAAATATCATATTCTTGGTTCCATTCTGACATTTGCATAACTAAAGTTTGGTGATCAATTGATTGTAATCAATTTATTACAACGAAAACTCAATCAACCTAAATCATTACTGTTAACCCATTAAATTGATTATCACTGTAAAAGATATTGTAACATAATATTAATAATATAAATCAATTGTCATGTTTTCAACAATTAACTGATTAAAAGCATTTTCTTTCGCGATTTTTTTTTGTCTTATTCTGAATTTTTTTCTGTTCATATATTGATTAGTTATAAATGACAATTAAGTGTTTAAATTGTGATCATTGTGTTGAAGAAAATTGTTGTTGTAATTTGTGAGCACAATTCACTTGATTAATATTATTTGGTAAGAAAATCGTTCTGATCTTTATCAATGTTGGTCTATTGTTGTTGTTGTTGTTGTTTACTGGTAGTGGGTTTTCAGCAATTTAATTATCATTATGATTAACGTTACTTTTGGTGGAACGTTATTTTAGGTTAATTATGATTTTAGATGTAAAATTAAATAGGAAATTAGGAACTTGTTTCCGTAAATGAATAAAAAACAAGAAAAAAAAAGGTAAATATTAGAAGGTGAAATAGAGAAACTGGTTTTTCTGTTATGTTTTTTTATCCAATTTCATGTGTTGGTTTGATTGTTAATCAATTGTCTAACCTGTTTCTCTGTGGAAAGTTATTTTAATCATCAGTGTTTCATCATCATCATCATCTCTTGCCTTCTGATTGATGATGTGATCATATTGATGATAATACGATGAAGGCCACCAAAGGATCTAACACCAAGGTCATTGAGATTAAAGGTCATGGGTAATTGACAGAGAGGTAGATGATAAGTTCATTGGCTTTTAGAAAGAGAGAGAGAGATTACAAGATATTTCTCTTTCTCTTTGTAAAACCTGTCTCTGTTTGATCAAGAGAGAAGATGAGAGAGAGAGAGAGAGAGAGAGAGAGAGAGAGAGAGAGAGAGAGCCTCACAATGAGATGAGTTCGGTGACATGGCAATGAAAGAAAAGAAAGACTTTTCCACTGAACTTATACCGATGAAGAAATTAGCCTGAAACCTGAAGATGATTAAGGTCAAAATAGAGGAGATGAAATTTTGGTCCGTTGGAAGAGTAGAATTCACTTGTAATACCTTGACAATTAGAAGTAGAGATGAAGAGGCATTTTCTTTTTAAGGAAGATGAAGACAAGTTGATGAGGATAAAGAGAGAGAGAGAGAGAGAGAGAGAGAGATGGAGATAAATAGGGAGTTTACCTCTACGGCCTAGATCTAAGAAACCGTAGCATCTAAAAGATTTTCATCATAATAATCATCATTCTAAGCACCATCTTCTTTTTTACTACTTGCTCTTCACTTCCTGTTTCAAGATTTTTTTACAGTTCTTAACAAATATTTATTCTCCCCATTAGTTTTTCTCTCTCTCTCTCTCATCTTCTCTACCATCATTTTCTCAGTTGATTCCCAGGTTGACTGCTCACTAAGCCCTCACCTTGTTCATCTTCCCTTCTTGAGCTTCATGTTCCTTCTTGTTCTTTTCCAATGTTGACCTTAATAGTGTTTTTCTTTTATTCTTCTCCTTCTCTCTTTTCTCTCTTTATCATCATCATGTTCATCATGTTGATCGTCATCTTCTCCTTCTCCTTCTTCCCATAAAGTTTGTCCATAGCTGCTTAACCTTGAAATTGTAGTTGATCCAATTTATCGTTTTACGCATCATTTCAGTTCCTCTTGACAATTTGCGCTTTCTTGATTTCTTTTTTTCCTCCTTGACGATGATGGTAATGATGATGATCATTCTATTCACAACAGGGAAGCAACAATAAGAAAAAAAAGAACAGAAATTAAATCAACCGATACAAGAACCATGAGGTTAACTGTTAGTTAATCTCTTTGGAGGTTAACACATACAAAGAGTATAAAACTGGAAACGTTCAGATTATTACCCGAAATTTTGGAACCACATCCAAAGAACAACATACCAAAGGAATACTAATCTCCATTCAACTAATCACAATTGAAACAATAACAAAATTAATAAAAATTAGAAATTGGAATCAATAAAAAAAAAGAGTTACCAAAACAATTGAAGTTCAATTGGTGATGAAAAGAAATGAAAATAACAAAAAAAAAGAGAGGGAAAAATAAAAGGGTTGAAAAAAAATCGAAACCATGACAACCAAATAGCAGCTGATTCGCAATTTGATCAATTTTTACTCTTTACCCCAGACCCGAAGGGTAGGGGTTCTATAAGTGTTTACGTTTATCTATGTTAGATAAAACGTTAGCATTAAACTGTAGTAAAAAAACATTTTTTTTAAAGATAATTTGTTCAACTTGGTGATTAGATAAAAACATAATTTTTATATTAATTTAATTTAATCCATCATTTGAATTCCGCGCAAAATTAACAACAAATTCAATTGTGATTTAATTTTAAGATACAAGGCTTATTGTTTTAATAAATACAATTTTTATTTCATGAATTTTATTATGATTACAAGATTTGTGAATTGATGATTAAAGGATTGTATTTACTTTTAATTTTTTTATTCAATGTTTATTATGATAGTTTATTTCTTTAATTTTTTTTAATAAATGGATTAACAAAGTTACTATTCATAATGAGTACATGAAGAGAAAAGCAATGGTAATGTAAGAATATAAATGATTAATGAATTTTTGAATTGTACTTGAAATTTATGGTTAATGAGTTTAACTTTGAATCTCGCCTCAAACTGAAAGACTTTTTGTTTCTTTAGAAAGATGGATTCAATATTTTGAGAGGACGAAGTCAAAGTGATTTTCCCGCAAGTTAATTAGATTGTTTTCGTGAGAACTCACTCATTCTAATTGTTAATCTTTATGAATTCATTATATTTCACCCTTCATAAATCAAAATTTGTCATATCGTGGCTTTAGAATTTTGACAAAATTTTATATTTATCGGGTAATAGTTGGAGCCGATCATCATCAAAATTTCGTCAGTTGATTCATTTTTTATTCTAGTTGATTTATTTCTTTAGATAAATGAAGAATTATATATACATGTTTATTACTTATCAAAATCAATGTGAAATGTGTATGAATCTGAATTAAAATTAATTATAACAACCGGGAACAAATTGCGAACGTAAGTCTGTTAAGGTTGCTTGCCAGACCCGGAGTTTAGAAGATTGTAATATCAAGCGTTTTTTAATCGAAAAATTCAAAACGAAATTTCTTTTCTTTTCTCACTACTCTCTTTTACTTCTTCTCTTTCTTTTTCTACCTCGTTTCATCCTCATCTTTTCGTCTTTTTCTCTGTCTCGTTCTCTCTCTTTCTCATCTCTTCTCGTCTCTCTGTTCTCATCCTCTCGTTCTCTCTCTCTCATCTCTCTCGTCTCTCTTCTCATCTCTTCTCGTCTCTCTCTTCGTCTCTTTCTCATTCTCTCTTCTCATCTCTTCTCGTCTCTCTCTTCGTCTCTTTCTCATTCTCTCTCTTTCTCATCTCTTTCTCGTTCTCTCTCTTCTTCGTCTCTTTCTCATTCTCTCTCTTTCTCATCTCTTTCTCGTTCTCTCTCTTCTCGTCTCTTTCTCGTTCTCTCTCTTCTTCGTCTCTTTCTCGTTCTCTCTCTTTCTCATCTCTTTCTCTGTCTCGTTCTCTCTCTTTCTCATCTCTTTCTCGTTCTCTCTGTTTCTCATCTCTTTCTCGTTCTCTCTCTTTCTCATCTCTTTCTCGTTCTCTCTCTTCGTCTCTTCTCATTCTCTCTCTCTCTTCGTCTCTTTCTCATCTCTTCGTTCTCTCTTCGTCTCTTTCTCATTCTCTCTCTTTCTCATCTCTTCTCGTTCTCTCTCTTCTTCGTCTATTTTCTTTCTTTTTGAAATGCGCGCTTTAAAAATGCTTTACTGTTGATGCTTGCATAAAAATCTGTTAGTAAGAATTCCTCATGAACGGCTACTCAGATTTATTCGTACTATTTACATGGCTTTAGTATTTTCCGCTCTATTTTTTGGTACCTTAATATCTCTTATAATCCTTTTATCTTGAGCACAATCTTTACCCAAAATTTGAGCTTATCTTATTCAAGCGAGATTCTTAGCGAGATGATTATTTTTTGGAAGGATTTATCGAATCAACCATTTACGAGGCCTAAATATCACCGAAAAGTTTATCAAGATGTTAAACATAATTTCTACATGGTATCATGTCCTATTTGGTTCTAAAACCTCCACAACATCTTCATCTCAATCATCAACATCGTCATCTAAACACTTCTCGCGATAATTATTAGTCATAGTAAAAATCAATTAAGTACAACGTTAACTTAATTTTTAATTAAACTTTAATCATCTTCATCACCATAACAATCAACAAATTAATCACCATGTTAATCAACATCACAATCACTACCACTAAGTTCAAATACGACTTGCTCATCTAATTAACAATTAATAAATTACAACATTAAACATTTTAGTCGAAGTGTTGATTTACCTTTACTTATATTTTTGAATTTATTTGTATTCTAGTTGCTAAGGGGGAAGGAGAAAAGGAAGAAGCTCCTTCTTTACCACAACATCTTGGACCTTACCAAACGATCTAAATCAGTTTGTTTGCAAAAATTTCATTTGCCAGCATTCACTGGAAATTGAGATCTAAAATTCATTAAATCAATCTCTCGGGCCAAACCATGCCCTGTACTTTAATGATTCTTCAATTTTAGTGGTTGAATTTTCAGAATTTTATAAATCGTGGTTTTTAAAGACAAAACAAGCTGCCTGTCGGGTCTGGGGTTTTTTTTCCATAGGAAACTCTCCTTCACTTGTTAATTATTCACTAATCATTGAATTTAAAACAGTTTCTTATCCTTGAGTTAATTAATTCCAGTGATTACTAATCAAAAGAATCATCAACCTCATCGAATGTCCTTTTTTTCAACCAAATTTCTCATCCCAATTGTAACTTTGGTAAAGTACAAAGTCAATGTAACTAAATGAATGCTAATTGTTTGTTTAAATTATCTCAATCTAAATTGTTGCTTAGTTAATTGTTTCATCATCATCAGGACATTTAAAAAGATCAAAATTATCCAAATATACGTAATATTTATTGTGATATTATGTATCGTTGGCATTTCCATTTAATGTTCACTGACTTGAGATTTTCCTGTTTTCAAAAATAATCTTAAAATCATTCAACTAATTATTTCTATTTCCTTATTATTATTGGTGATACATCAATAATAATATTCACAATTTTCAGATAAACTCATTGAAAGAGACAAATAAAAAAATGGATCCATCTTTGTTAATTGTTACTCTTGGTACCAAATTGGGACTTTGCGTTTAATGGATTGGACAATCAACTAACAAGATATTGGTTCACATCAAGAATATATTACATTTTGTTGAGGTATAATTACATTTAAAAATGATGATAGAAAAATTGATTTTTTCTATACAATTTGATTGATTTAGGTTGTTAATATCCTAACCTAACCAGACAAAGAGAAAGGTAAACCTAAGAAAATTAGATTAATACCTTTATAAACATTACCTTGTTTAATTGTCTATGTGTGTGAGTGTTGGTCTTGTCTCTTAAACAATAACAATATACACAAATTCAATTTTGATTGAGTGAATGTTCAAATAATAATAATATCTAATGTCAATAGTTGAAAGAGGAACCAGAATTATTTAGTCAAATGAGCGAGAAAAAAAAGGTCAATTTAGGCGATTGACCCTTAGAGATGTTAAGTAGTGAAGAGCAAGATTAAGATGATGATGATGATGATGATGATGAGGAAGAGACAAAGATGATAGAAAAAGAAAGAAAGTCTTAAGGCCTTTTCTTCCTAGTTTTCTACCTCATGTTAATAAATTTGGAACATTTTGATTAATGAGAAAACAAGTAAACATAACAAACAAAACAAACAAATCAATTTCTATTATCATGATGATTAATTAAGATTCACCTTTCTATCTCTCACTTCAGGTCTAAATTTACCGTTGGTAGTAAAACAAACAAACAAATCACCAATGATGGTCAAGGAAAACCCCGAAAGTAATGGTCAAGAACCGATTGAAACATCAGCAATCAACATAACTAAAAATTAACCGTTACAATAACAACACAACGAGTTACCTAATTGATTTGATTATTCCCATAGACTGATTGATGATCAAGCTTTTATTGCTCTTCTTTTGGAAACAATTTAACTATTCAAGGTAATTAGCTGATTATCATGTAACAATTTCTAACTAACTTACATTTTCTTAATCTCACTTGTGTAATAATTAAAGACTAACCTGTTTAACCAGCAACAGAAGCAACAACAACAATAAATAAACAACAACAACAAAAATCAAATTAACCTGATTTTTTGTTTCTGGTTAACTTATTCACTTTGTTGTTGTTGTTGTTATTATCAAATTTTATATACACTCACACATCTTAAAGTCTAATGATTTAAGATGTTGATTAATTCTTGATAATATTTAACATAATGATCATCTATAAAAGGTAAACTTATAACAGTATTTACTATTAATTTAAAATGTTGATGTTGATTGTTGACAGTTTGTGTCTTGACCGTTTTAGCAAAAACAAACAAACAAACTTACAGAAACTAATTAACCTGGACTAATAGTCATTGGATACTTGACCATACCTGTCCCATTGACAACAAATGTTATATAATAATAAGAAAAATGGAAACAGATTAATAGATGAGATTATCAAGTTAATAATAATAAAATCTAATCCGTGATCAGTTAAGATTATTTTAAGGAAAATGAACAGAAAACGGGATTTAAGATTAGATTAGATTAGATTAAAATATCTGTACCATTCGTTTAACAATCTAACACATATGATTGTGTTTATCGTGTTTCTATTATTTCTTAATCATTTGTGTTTAGATTTTTTTCTTTCTTCATCTTCTACCTTGATTCATGATCAAGTTTCTGGTTGATCAATTTATCCCCTGCCAGTGGTAAGGTTCAATTGCTTTTCAGTTCAGTCTAAAAATCTTTCTGTTTTTTTTCTGCGACTATACTAATGTAATACAAATATAATGTTATGAATTCATTTTAATGTCTTTCTCATTTTCTCTTTGGCAGAATTTAAAATGTGATGATGATAATGATGAATAATATTCTGGATTCATGGGATGGGCTTGAATTGAACTGGAAATCCGGTTTTCTATTTACATACCAGAACAATGTGGAAGATTAAAGATTAAGAGGATAAAATAGCTTATGGATAAAATGAGATTGAGGTTCAAGGTGGAAAATAAATTGTTCAGATGAACCTGGTTAAAGGTAAATTGTTGCATCTTCATGGTGAATATAATGGACGGTGAGAAGATGGAGGAGAAGATGCTGATGATGATGGTGATGGTTGCCAATGATGGAAAATGATGACGATCAGTAGCCTCGCTTATTGAGGTGACCTGTTAACAGAAACTTAATAATATCATAAGAGAAAAAAAAGGAATCAGAATAAACAGAAAATTCTGTTTCTATTTATTTCTACCTTTTTTTTTCTGCATTAATCTTATCTTCTCAATCGCTTGAAGCTTGCAATTTAAGCTTTAGCTCATTAGTATTAACATTAATATCGTTGATTGTTGATGCTTTCCTTTTAAGGTTGTCCATTGTTGATCAATATCAAATATTCAGTATTTCTGTTCAGTTTACAGAAAGAGAGAGAGAGAGAGAGAGAGAGATAGAGATAGAGGGAGAGGAAGAAAAGTTTGCAGTCACAAGTAAAAGAAACAAAAAATTCATATGAAACTTAAGATCCCAGGTCAACGAATTGAGATAATTATCACCGACATGATGATCATTAACCAACATGAAATACATAACATTCAGTGGTGATAATCATATTTCTTACATTTCAACTATTGTTGATTGAATAATCATTTGTAGTTTGAATTGTTTTGAATAAACGTTGTACCAGATTATTGGATTGATTTATGTCTTATTTTTAAGCGAGACTGTCAAAAGAAGGAAGAAGATACAAGGTACTTGGAGAAGAGGAAAAAGATGAGGATAAGTACAGTTTGAAGAAGAAAAGAAGAGAGAGAGAGAGAGAAGAGGAGCATGATGATGATGGAGAGAAGATGAAAAGTAACCTGTTACCATTGGATTGAAACGGATTGTTAACGTTCCAACGTTAATATTACTAGAAACTTGTTCGTTCGTTAACCTTTCTCATCATCATCATTCAACATCTTGCAATGTTATTTTCACCATCATGTTATCATCATCATCATCTTTGAGAGAGGATCTTACAGTTGACTTGATGGTAAACAAAGGCCTAACCTTTCTTACCTTTTTTGATTGTTGTTTATCTTCATTCTCTCTCTCTCTCTCTCTCTCTCTCTCTCTCTCTCTCTTCATCTCTATTCTTATTTTTTTATTCTCTTTTCTGGAAAATGGGCTTTAATGACCTTTCCCCCTGAATAAAAAGATGAGAAGATTCATCGTGAGTTTCCAATGGAGGATGAACTTGAAAAAAGATATGAAGGCAAGAAAAGAGGAATTTTCTTCTTATACATTTATGTATTTATGTTATATTGTTATTTTTATGATGATAGAAATGAGGATCAAGATGAGGATGGAGTAAAAGGGATGGTGAAGGTAAATTAAGGGCAAAAGTCGGAGAAACAAGTAAACATTTTATATGGAAAAAAGTATCAAAAAGAAATGTAAACATTAAAGGATTTAATTGATGAAACTTAATCAAAGGAAATGGAGATTAAATTTCGTCATCGTTTCCCTTTTAAATGATTTCTGATTCTATCCCGAATTAGGTTTATCTTAATCAAACAATTTGATTACGTCTATTGTCTCAGGTAAGATTGTCTTGATTCCTCCTCCATTTGGAAGTTTTCTGAGTGAAACACCCAATAGAAGGAGAGACAGAGAAAAAGAGAGAGAAAGAGAGAGAGAGAGACCGAAAGAGAGAAAGATGAAGAAAAGGATGAGAAAAAAGCTTTTGACCTGAGCCAAAGCTCTAAGAATCAGGTTGTGAGGGAGAGAGAGAGAGCGAACGAGCGATAGAAAAGAAAGAGAGAGAATGATGATAACGAGAGAGAAAAGAGAGAGAGAGAGAGACCAGAGTGAGCTCGTCAGAACGGCAAGAGTTGTAGTTGAAATGTTATTCAATCTGATTCTGGTGGCGAATGCAAGTTGATGTTTTGTGTCGTGTTTGTAACGTTAATTTTGTTTCTTTCATTCAGTTCACAGAATAGAAAAAGAAAAAAAGTTTTGTGAATAAGAAAAGAGAGAAAATATAAAATAGAAAAAGAATATTCTTTTTTTTTGTTAATATTCCAATTGATTTTCTTCTTCAATTACCATCACCATGTTGTCCTCAAATGGTTCCGATGGTAATCACTCCAAACCTTTGCGATTACGTCGAGTTAATCATTCGGATGAAGTTGTGATCGGTTTTAGTAAACTTCTTAAAACCGAATCAATGACCGATGTAACTTTAATTTGTTCCGGTGGTCAAACCATTCGAGCTCATCGGGTTATCCTTTCAACATTTTCCCCCTATTTCCGGGCCATCTTTGAATCTCAACCTTTCTCCAACAATCCCTGCCAGTATCCGGTCATTGTAATCAAAGACTTGGCTCTTAGTGAATTAAGAACCATCGTTGAGTTTATTTACAAAGGTGAAGTTTCAGTGTCAAGGGATAAATTATCAATGGTCCTTCAAGCGGCCAAGGAGCTTGAGGTGTCCGGCTTATCGGATCTCAAAGTCGATGGTCATAAATGTAGTGTTCAAATGCAACTGAGTGATGACCAGTGTAGTATTAATAGTAGTGGTCGACGGAAAAGTAAAACACCAAGGAAAACAATTACTTCTGATTATATTGGATACATGTATCAAAATGGTGGCGGTGGGTTAACAGATAAACATGATAATGATGATGATACAATTATCTTAAAGTCAACCATTGATGATGTTAGTGATTATATTGATGAAGATGATATGAATGGTGATCATGATGATGTTTATGAGACAAATAATGGAGGTGGAATTGATCGAGATATGATCTTCCAACGTCAACAGCAATTACGATTACAACAATTACAACAACAATCTAAATATCATCATCATCATTCACAACAATCACAACAGCAAAAGTATCAGCAACAAATTCAGCTTCAATTGTTACAAGAGCAACAAGAGGCCAAATTAATTGAACTTCATCAACAATTACGCCAAGTATCTGGATTAGGATCTTCTAATGATACAATTATACCCGATCAAGATGATTCAACGCCAGGATTAAATTGCTCCGATGGTTATGGTGATGATAGTTTCCCTTTAATAACTGACCTTAGAACCGTTAATTCATCAACGGGTAATCATAACAATAGCCTTTTAACCAATGGTAATGGTCATCATGATAATAACAAAAACGCCTCGGGTAATAATAATAATAACAATAGTAACGGTGATGGGTCAAGTGTCACAGGTAACGGTAAACCAGCAACACCTGATTTCCTTCAACCTCGAGGTCCAGGTAGACCTCGAAAGGGAAACAAATCAAATGACATCAGCCCGTGTCCCGAATGTAATAAAGTTTTCGTCCGACCCGATGTACTTAAACTTCATTATCGAAGTGTCCATCTAAACGAAAGGCATCCATGTAATATGTGTCCCAAAATTTTCAAATGGCCTGGTGACCTTTCCAAACACAAGCGAACCAAACACTCCGAGCAAATGGCCGCTCTCAACGCAAAAATGGCCGCAGCAATTAGTTAATCATAATTTCACAACACCATAATGACACAAAAATTAACTATATGAACTATTGATGAACAAACCAATTTAAAAGAAGAGGAAGAAAAAAATTAAGACATAATTATAATTCATTGTTAACTTAATTGTCGTTAATGTTGACATACATATATTTTTTTCCTCTCTCTCTCTCCATCATCATCATTATCATCTCCATCTTCATCTATTATTTTTCTTGTCCACCTCAATCATCATCATCATTATCATCACCAAAATTACGGATAATTAACCTTCATCATTTAAATCAACAATTGTTAATTTGTGTTTCCAAAGCTTCACAATTTTTTAAGACTCACCAAAAGTGTTTTTTTTTGTAATATTATTTATCTCAAGACTAATTGCTAATTACCTCGAAAACTGTTGTTCAAAAAACGATTAATTAACTTTTTTTTGGGACACAATCACAATATATATCATCATCTCTCTATCGTACATATAAATATAAACACAATTTATTAATCATCATCTCATTTGGTTGGATTAGAGCCCAGAGATTATCCTGATTTGTTTGAGAATCAAAAATTTTGTATCTAAATTTATATCTTTTTATTTTGAAGGAACTGAGAAAATGACTACACACAAATGTACCTTAATTACTGCTTGAAATCCTAGTGAAAAAATCAAATCATTAAGTCAATTTAATTATTAACAATCACATTGACGATGTGTTAATTGTGATTAACTTAAATTCAATCACATTACCAATTTATATACAAAGTGACTTAATTGTTATCTGACCAAAAAATTGTTTCATTTATTTTATTATTATTTTTTTTTTGGTTTTCTTGAATCTCTGATTATTTTTTTATCATCAATATCATCACACTCACAATTAACAATAACAATTAATTCAACAATTTATATTTTGTATGACAATTTATTTTTTTTTAATTCAAAAGTCTATGATGATTAACTAATAACAATTATATTTAATAATCTCCCACCGTTCAAATTGCAAACCCTTTGAAAGATTAACTTTATTCATTATGTTGATTAACTAATTTGATTAAGTTGAATGAGTTTAAATCAATTATTATTATTAATTGTTGTAAATACTAATCTAGTAATTAATTTGATATTTTTTAACATCAACACTTAACCGTTGTTGTTGTTTATTTAATTGTCACTTGATCATCTTTAAATTAATTGAATCTTTAATTCAACCATAATTAAAAATTGATGCAAAATAAATTAATCAAAGTTAATTGTTGAAAGAAATTATATTTTTCATAACTAAATCAATCAACCAATTGGGTTTATTATTATCATTATTTCAATCACTTAATTGTCATTTTGATTATCTTGTAAATTGTTGATATCGCAATCATGTAATCAACTGGATTGAAAGTTTTTTAATCAACAATCAAAGTGACACATTGATTTAAGTCCAGTTCATTTTAATTGTTGGAAATAAATTTAAATTGTTATCATTTTCAATTGAGCGAAGTGATTAACTGTATCTTTAACTTTGTCGGTCGTTAATTGTTGATAAATTGCAACTCAGACCAGCGACTGATTAATTTTGTAATCGTAAATTGTTGCGATTATAATTGATTCTTTGTTTTTGTTTAAAGACAATTGAATTGAATTAAATTGAATTTTGATTTGAATTGAAAAGATCAATTGATAAGTGAACTGTGGTTTAAACTGATTGAATAATTGATTAAATTGTAAAGAGAAACAATTATTACAAAGATGAAGTGATTTGTTTAAATATAAGCAACTAATCAGTTGAGTTACACACATAATTAAGGGAACATGTCAAAAAATGAAACAATTAAGGTAAGAATGTAAAAAAAAGAGAGAGAGGAGAAACAATCAGGGATTGAATTAATTATGATTGAGTGGTAGAAAAATCAATTAAATCATGATTGATGATTGAGTGATTTAAATTAACTTGGTGCATTGATTATTACAGTTATTGTGATATTTGGGTCCGAAGTGTGTATGTTTGTATATGCAGGTAAAGGTAAAACATTTCAAGTGACATGGACAAACAATTTGAATGATTTTTAGGAATGAATTAACTAATTGATTCGGATTCTTGTCATCATGAAGAAATGGGAGATACGTTTGTTGGCACTTTGAATGGAAGGAGATAAAAAATAAGAGGTGGTAAAGATGGAGGAGGAAAATTGTGATGATATTTTGTTTCTTTGCTTCGTTTTGAATGAAATGCGATTTTTTCATGGTCTCTTTTAAAACTTTGCATCAATAATTTGATTTTGTTGATTGTTTCGTTTTGCTCATTTTGTGGATTTAACAATAAGATGAAGAAATATAAAGTTATCTTTAAGCAGCTTACTGTAAACTGTACAAAGAGTGAGTAAGATTAGAGGGTAAAGAGTTGAAAAGAGATATTGACAAGATTGATTTGGCCCAAAGAAATTAGTAAAAACTTTCAAACGAAATTAAATCACAATTATAACTTGTTTTGATTGATTAAAATCCCGTTACAATATGTGTGTGTGTGTGTTTGCTATGAGTTATTTGATGTAGTGTCAAGGTGTGTGAGTTTAAACATGTGAGTCGAGATAAGTAGTAAAAGAGAGAGAGAGAAAGAGAGTGGGAGGGAGGCCGAGAATAGGCTATTTAATCATTCTAGTCGTCGATATGGATAAATGTTCAATTGGTCTAGACCCATGAATCTCCGGCGGGCATTGAGGGAGGGTAAATGGGCTCATTGGTTGTAGGGTCGTAACTGTTGCTGGTATCAGATCCAAGGAGAGCTTGAGTGGATGAGGTAAAGTCTGTTCCAGGTCGGGAATGTTTCTTTCGTTCTCGATTAACTTGTGCATAAACAGGTTCCGTGCTGTTACCACGAATATACTTTATATCCAAAGGGATGAGAAAAGAAAATAATACAATTAGAAAAAAAGAATAAAAGTATAAGAGAGCAAAAAGAAAATAATCATGAGAGTAAAGGGGAAAAAGAGGACAGAAACAAAACAAAAGAAGAAAAAACAATAGAAAAAAAAAATGATAACAATGACCACTGGTCAGATAATAAAAGCAAAAGTATAAATAATGAGATAGAAAAAAAAAACACAATCAAGATAAGGATGGAAAGGAGATGCAAGTGAAGGAGTTAATTAGTTTGCGTGATTAAGATAAAGCTATTATCATTAACTGTGAATGATAATTGTCCTTCTTTGCTGGTGAAATGTGTGGCAAGGTTAATTTACTAATGAAAGCGATTACATTGTTTCCTCAGGATTGATTGTCAATGATTAACCGAGAGGTTTACTTTGAATCTATGGTTAATGTTGCTTTAGTTGACATTATGATCATTACCATTAATATAATAATGCATTATTAAGCATGGAAATGATTAGCAAACTCAGAATGAAAAAAGACCAATATTAAAGAAGGAAAAAAAATGATCTTGTCAGTAAGGTGATTAAGTGATTAAGAAGAGGATAAGAAAATTGAATTAAAAATTAGTGAGACAGTGTTAGCAGAAAGAATGTTATGTGTTATTTAATTACTTTCCAGAGGAAATGATAGAATGTAGGAGAAGATGGAGAGAGAGAGAGAGTTAATGACAGAAGAAAAAGATGAAGAGGGAGAGGGAGAGGGATTTGGAAGGGTGAGTGTGTTAGTGAGCAATGAGTGAGAAAATGAGATTCTGTGGCTGGGAGGATGAAGTTGTTGTTGATGATGAAGATGATGAAAGAGTTATAATGAAAGTGAAATCCAAAGGAAAAAAAGGAAAAAAGGTAAATGAGCAGAGTAAATCGATGAGAGACTTTAGTTCACTGACAAAGAGAGATGAGTATTAAATATCGAAAAGACGAAGATGCTAAATTATTTAGATTGTTTCCCTTGAGGAGAAAAAAAGACGAAAGAAAGAGAGAAAGAGAGATTGATAGAATAGAATTTGTGCCATTTCTTGATTCGAATTAATTGACATCTTCGCTTTTATAACGGGCTCCTCTCGACTTGGACTAGAAAACGTAGTAGTAGATTCATTTAGATTACTTGGATTACGAACGATTTATCATCATCGTGATTCTCTTTAACGATTTGTATTGATTGTTATTTATCATCATCATAAGTAGATGAGAGACTAGGATAATTTCAGTGGAAGGAGTTTAGGGGATAGGACAAAAGCGGAGCACTTGAGTTGAGATGAACTGGCTGGATGAAATTCAGAGATCAGATTCGGATTGAGCTTGGAAACACGTGAAAATTGAATAGGAGAGATTATTAGCAATTAACTCGACTGTTAATTGTGTCAGTGTTAAGGTTTTGGTATTAGTATGAGAGTGAGTGAGATATTAGTTCGCAATGTGAGTGTGTGTTAGCTTTTGGTTATGTTTAGTTGTTTGTTGATTACTGGTTACGTTTTGCTCTTGATTATTGTTTTCATTCTTGTTTTTGCACAATTTGTGTTGTTTATAAGTTATTGAAATAACTTACAACTCCAGGCGGATATATTTGTACTCCACCGACAGGCGGACGGTGTTGTTGTTGCTGTTGTTGTTGTTGTTGCTGCTGTTGAACGGCTGCATTTAATTGCTGTTGAGCCTGTTGTTGGGCTATTTGTTGTTGAGACGCTAATTGTTGGTTTTGAAGATGTCCAGGAGTATGAACAAGTTCAGGTCCACCTCCTCCTCCTCTGTGAACCATTTCCGCTAATTGATATTCTTCAGTCTGTAATTGAAAGCAAAAAGAAACGAAAAAATTAGATTCATAATTGTTAGTTTAACTCCCACAGATACCATATAGAGGAAAAATATGTATCTCATCCAATTATCATCTACATTTGTGGTTTTTCATCAAATCGGATTAGTTATTAAGTCTTCATTTAACTGAGTTTGAATAATTAATAACAACGACTTATGGATGTGAGTATAACTTTTCAACAAAGATAATCAGAATCATAAAGTTGATTTAGATTCATAAATCTGGAAAATAAACACAAGTTGAATGACAATCATAAGGATTTTGATCCAGTTTTCTCATCAAGTACATGAGGTAAATTTCAATGTTTATCAGTTTTTCATGTTGTCCACTTTCTAAGTGGATAAAATCGTTCTCTCTTTTTTTGACTATCTAAAGGAAAATCGATCTAAGAAGAAAATGATGATAATGGAATGAATACTAATGATAAACGATAAATGATAAGATGTGAAGATAATAAAATGAAAAGTAAATCATTTATTCATTTCACTTTATCTTCTTCTCTGCTTTTCCTCTGAACTGGTTGAACATTCGAGGGATTAGAAGAGTGAAGAGAAAAGGAGGAAGATAAAGAGACAGATTAAATGAAATACTGATTGTCTAGATGATTTTGTTGATTAATAATTTTGCTCGAAACAGAGGACGCACCCTATTAAGTGACATTTGTGTCATATTCATTTCCCGGCCTCCTCCTCTTGAGAGGGTGCGGTCTTCGTATCTGGTACCTCCTTGGGTGCTCATTGGACGACTTAAGGTGTTATTTGCACTTGATGTTGGCGATTGAAGCATCCCACCAGAGGAATTGCGACTAATCACATGACGAATCAAAAAGTGAGACTCCTTATAACCTGCTTTTCTGTAGACTTCTCGTAAATCTGAGTGTTGCCACATATTAGCCAGCAACTGATCGTAATCATTAAAAATAATCATTAAGGAAAAATATGATAGAGAGAGAGAGAGAGAGAGAGAGAGAGAGAGAGAGAGAGAGAGATATGAAAGTAAAAATAAATTACTTGTTGTTAAAAGGAAATGAATCAATTGAAATAATTAGGTTTTTTTCCATTCATTAAATTACCTGTGTAGTAAATTTGAATACCCGGGAAGAATATTTTGATTTGTTTTTTGTTATATACACTAATCGCTCCATTCCGTCAGCTTCTAGAAGTGATTTAGCGAAATCAGCGTTTTTTGATATTACTTCATTGAGAGTGGCCAGTACAGCGGCAATTGTATCATCTGATGTTCCCATATCATGTTGGGGATTACCCTCAGGTAATTTGGATACAAGATCTTTCATTGCATATTTTCCTATTAACTCTTTATTTCTTGGGTCAAGGGCCAAATTTCTAAGGGCAGTGGCAACAGCACAAACCACCCTGTCAACTTCCATCCGTAATAATTCAACCAGAACCGGAAGACCTTTCTCTTTACGAACTGCAGCTCTAATGTCAATTGATGGTTGCCAGTAACAAGCAGCAAGATTTTGTATTCCACCGGCGGCAGCTTCCAGTGTTTCTGGATTTGAACACTCAGAAAGTATGGCTAAATATGGTTGGACAACTTCCGGTTGCCATAATAATTCCATTCCAGTTATGGGTTCGTTGGGTCGACGATTGATACCTGGTATACCGGTTGTACTGTTAAGAGATAACTGTTGGGTGGCTTGGGTCAAACTTTTACTTTCGGTTGGTGTGGCGGCTGTTTCTTTAGTCTTCTTTTTACTGACACCAAAACAACCCAAATTATCACCAACCTTTGAACTTACTGAGCCCATGATGGCAACGGCTCTAGAAGAGGATGGAGACACTGAACGAGAATCACTTGTTACGGGAGCTGCGTGTTTATCATATTCAGGATCGATTACTTCTTGACAACGATAAGAGAGATTTCTTAAAATACAGACACAATTTTCAACCGATTTATTGTCGATATCATTTTTAACGATAGCTGATCGGATAAGGAATAATAATGCGTCCACTAGGCCATCACATTCACGAAGTTTTTTCCTCGCATATTCTCCAGCTGAAGAGACATTTCTCAAAATACCACTGGCATTACGGAAAATAACTGACCACCAGCCTTCAGGATGACCGGAAGATTGCAACATGGCATCACTGGCGTTGGACGAGGAATCGTTAATGGGAAAATTACTTGTCCACCCTGATTGAGGTATTATAACACGATTAATCAAAGTTCCAAGGGCATCGTCGATGATTGGCCTTTTAAGAGGGTCACATGAGCTAAGATTCCACAAGACACCCGTGATAAGCTCTTCAAGTTCATTGTCAACCGTTTTTCTGAGCAGGTTTACCAGAGCCACAAGGCCTCCGGCGTTTCTGATTGCTTTCTTGTTCTCATCATTACGTCTACCATAACTAATATTTCTTAAAGCTCCACAAGCGTTTCTTTGTATTTCCAAGGAATCTTGGGTTATCAGATTGATCAAAGGAGGAACAGCTCCAAGTGCACGAGCTTTTTGTTTCATATTATCATCACTGAAACAGAGATGTTGTAGGTGAGCGGCCGCATTTGCACGTATAACTGGATTCGGGTGCGAAAGAAATTCAATAACCTCATGAAGATCTGGGTCTCTCCATCTTACACTACCATCGCCGGTTAAATTTGATCCTTGATCGGTGAGATTATCTTCCTCTGAGAAAACTGCTCTCGGTGGTGGACCTCTTAATGGTCCAGTACTATAAGTACCATGGTCATCATAACTTGGCCGACGATCAAGATAACCAGAGGGTTGATGAAGTTCATACGGATTGTATGTACCGGTAGAAGCTGCTGATTGCATTGGTATTCCAGGTCCAGATGAAGGTGCAAGTGGCCCTGGGCTTGGGACTACACCTTGTAATTGATTTACAGATGGTGGACCACCGGTACTTGCGGCGTAACCATTAGGTGAAGGTTGAGCTTGTAGTAAATAACCATTAGAGGCTGATTGAGGTGTATGTTGAAATTGAGTATATTGTAAAGTTGAATCAAGCTCATCATAACCTGATTGTGGCATGTGATTGACAGGTTGCATAGATGTTGGTTGTGTTGGACCTGTTTGAGGTCCACCATGGATTGATGGTCCTCTTCTTAGGGTTGGAGGTGATTCAGAGGTTATGGATGGATTAATTTGATAATCCCGGTAATTGGAGTATTCAACATGCCGCTGGTAAGTTTCCATATTCGGTATATAACCATGAGATTCATAGTTGTTCCCAACAGCTCCATAGGTTTCATAATTATCCATTGAAAATGTTTCTACACAAATACATAAAAGAGAAGTAAATTATTTGAGAAATGACCAAAAATAACCAAATGACGCACAAGGAACAATAGAAAACAAAACGATTGGATAAAATACACCAGAATCCAGGAATAGAATAGAAAAGAGAAATGACGAAAATCAAATTTCTAACGTTAATAATGTGATAATTCTAAACAAACACGAGAGAAAGAAAGAAAAACTGAAAGAAATCAAAGAGAGAGAGAGAAAAAGATAGAGAAAGAGAAAGAGGGAGAGAGGAAATAAAGAGAAGCATCCAATCAATAAAACAGAAGACCGATCAGTGGATGACAATGAATAACAATTGATTCTAGAGGATCATAAACAAATCAAGTTACCTTAATGAAAGGGAAGATCTTGATAATTAATAGAATCAACAAATTTAAAATGGGCTTCGTAAACACTCAGGTGAAAATGTTGACTAATCAAGACCAAAGAATAACTAAAATACCTTTGGAATCATTTAACTACAAGAAATAAACGCAGTTACGGAGACACAATTAGATGGACATGTTGTGTTAGAATTGATGTTTTCCATTAAAATTGAGAACAATTAACGAAGAAAGAAACTGATAACCAAAGAGAATAGAAATTAACTCCGAACGGTAACAATTAAATTAGAGAGAGAGAGAGAGAGAGAGAGAGAGAGAAACATCAATGGAGAAAAGTAGAGGTATCATGAGAGAGAGCGAGAGGGAAAGAATTGAGTATGTGTATAGAAATGAATGAGGGAGAGAATGAAGATGAGAGTGAGACAAGTGATCTGAGTGAGAATAGAAGATAAAATAGACAGAAGAATAGAAAAGAGACAGAGGACACAGAAAGAAGATAAAGTCTATGGAGTTAAATTAAGTCATTTTATTTACCTCAGAATCAACTTATTGATGAAGAGGTGAAGGTGATGATTTTGTTAACGAAAATAGAAAAGGAAACCGAATTGAGAGAAAAAAAGAAATAGAATTCACTTTGTTATTAAAATACAGTAAACATTTGATGATGTAAACAATTTGGTCAATGGATAGATTATGATGACGAAAATATATTAGGACCAAGACGATGAGGGAAAAGATGATCACAAATTACACAGATGAAGATGGAGAAGAAGATGAAAGAAAAGGTAAAGAAGATGAAGAAAAGTGATGATAAAAAATAGAAAAAGATACCGGAAAGAAAATGATGATGATGGTGAAGAAGAAGAAGCAGAGGAAGAAGAATAGTGAGTTAGGAATTCTCTTCATTCCATTTTCAAGGGAGAGAAAGAGAAGACAACCAAGAGGAGAGAGAGAGAGAGAGTTGATAAGACTAAGGAAAGAAAGAGAAATACCAAAGAGAAAAGAAAGAGAAGGAAGAAAAGTAAGAAATTGTTGCTGTTGTTGAGAGTTTACAATAGGAAGTGTGAAACCTTTTCTCTTCAAATCGTTTCGCTTTCAATTATAACCTTTTTATTTTCTTTTTCTTTGTTTTGTCTAAATCACCTGAGGAATGCATCGAATTTGTCTAAGAAATAGTAACTATGGTTCGCAAGGAGAAAACAAAATAGGTAAAGAGGACGAACAAACCGAACACAGAAAAAGAGATGATGAGAAGAAAAGAATTGCTTCCTTTTAGAACATTGTCTCTCTCTCTCTCTCTCTCTCTCTCTCCTTTCGAGGTTTTGTTTCTTTTGCTTTTTTCTCCCGAAAATTTGCCTTCTTGGTTGGTAAAAAATTCGAGGAACCGAAAATAATCCAACTTTCATTTTGGTCTAATCTCCATCTCATTGTTAACAATTTATCTTCAACTGATCAGGTTTACTTTTTGATTACAATCAACTGATTTTTCTTTCATCATGAATTTAGAGATTTTATTTCTTTTTTTTTTGATCAATCCATTCAGGTCATTTCGGATTTCGTTTAGATAACTTTAATTGTCGGCGATTATTAGTCCTTTGATGATGGTTTATTTGTTCAAATAAGTTTTTTACTTTATTTCGTTTAATTGTTGTTGTTCTTGTTGTTGTTTAAATGAGGTTTTCCAATTTCATCAATTTGATTACTCATTTTCTTGTTTAGCTAATTCATCTGATCTCTTTAATTGACAAGCCTTTTGATATGGAGGGTCAATCGGTTTCTGAGTTGGTTCATTGTACTTGTAGCCAGAAGATAATCCGGTTGGAGTCTGAAATTTCACGAAGAAAAAAAGAAAATTAATTTAATTCAGTTGATTGAGAGAAATTGAAAGATTGTTTAATCAGATATTAATCCACTTACATCTAAAGGATAACTTCTATCAGCATCGAAACCAGACAAATCTCCACAGGCAACAAAAGGGACAATGGTCAAGTTAACTGGATTAGTTATATTATCAAAATATGATTTGGCTTGTTTGTCCATTAGTAAATTGAACATTGTTGGTTCGTAGCCCTCAGGGGTTGAAAGGTTGTGCATACAACGAAAGCCTCGATTGATGAGTTTCGACTACTTCGAGGTTTGGCCACGATTACTTGTTGGAAAAAGATTTTCAATTGGGAAAATAGTAAGGAGACATCACGACCTCGAAAAATCTATGGGGTGAATTAGAGAGAGAGAGAGAAAAAAAGACAAAATTACAATCATCAAGTTCTGAAAGTGAAGATTATCTCATTATCTCTACAATTACATTACAATCAAGTGATTATATTTCTTCAGACCTTGGCAACAAATGTCCCTCCAAATTTTAATATGTAAGTGGTTATGTTCAAGGCCTGTAATTAGATAGAGAAAATTTTGGTGATGATAATTGACTTTGGAAATTTTTTTGAAAAAATGAGAAACAAAAAAATCATGATTGTCTCTCTCACCGAAAGTAACAATTGAGCTTGAATATATTCATCAAGATCGTGAAGACCAGTGACATCAGGAGCTCCGTCACAAACAACCAGATCAGCTTTGTCACCTTCAAAGTGACTAATTATTTCCTTTGCAGTGTCCAACTAAATATATAAGAAAAAGATAAGAATGATTTACAATCTAATGACAATTCAAGTGACAACAACAACAATTAGTTTACAAGATTAATAACCTTACATTTGTAATATCACCTTGAATTTGAATTGTTCCAGGTATTGGTGCCATTGCTTGGATATCTACACTTATTGTTTTTGCATTTTCTTCACCATTTTCTCTGTAAATCAGAATAATCAAATCTATTAAATTAATTACGAACAAGTAACAATAACAATTAGTACCTTAATTTTTTAGCTAAAACTTGACTCCAACTTCCAGGGGCTGCACAGAGATCAACTGCTTTGGTAACTCCTAATGAAAGAAATGTAATTTTTTCTCTAGATTATCGACAATTAGATAAACGAAAGATCAGTTCATCATAATTACCGTTGAAGATGTTAAATTTTTCGTCAATATGGATCAATTTATATGCACTTCGAGCTCGATATCCCTCTTCTTTTGCTAGTCGGTAAAAAATATCACGTTTGTCTTTAGTTGATTTTCCCATAATTCTTGACTCTAAGTTGATTATTGTTGGTGATGGCAATTTAATAACAGCTAAATACAGAGTAAATGTTAGCTAATGTCCAGTTTAAGTGATAACAATCAGGTAAATACATAAACAGTGATTACCACAAATAGGAAAATGATATTATCAATATTGAACAGATGGTCACCTGGTAATACCAATAAGACTATAATAAAAAAGCAGAGAAACACAATTAAGGTTAAATGATATTGTATAAACATAACAATTAGCAACGAAATACTTACTTACCACAGCCTATTTATCACCAATTAATTTGAAAATCTATTGGTTAAAACAAACAAATTAACTCTCAGCAAATTTCAACGATTCTAATGGTAACTTGTTTTTTCATTTCACCCCACAAATTTTAAGAAACATAAAAGGTAACAAGACCTGATAACTATTTACGACCACAATCAATGAAATTAAAGTAATCAAATAAATTTAATTAAAATTAAACTTAAAACAAGTTAATTAATTTAATTACAATCAAGTGAAAATCTTAATTTGAAACAATTCAGTTGTTTTGTTTTCATTTTGATCAAAAAAGTGGTGCCATCTGTTGGTAGCTTTTTCAACTAAATTGATTTAGTCATTTTTTGATTTGATGAAATTTAATTAAATTGTTACAATGTTAATTTCACGAATTTAATTTATGAAAAAAAAAATCCGGTAATCTAAAAGTAAATAGTTGTAAGTCTCTATTGATTGATTAATTTAATGATTAGATGATGAATCTTCATCAATAGATATTTTCAGATGGTCAAAATTAAGTTAATTCAAATGATTTGAATTTGATTATATTTCAGTAATTATTAAATTAAATTGATACATTTGATGATAAAGTTGATTATCAAATATTATCCATTAGGTATAATATTAATCGTTTAAACAATTGGTCGTCATATTATTAGTTTGATGATAATGATCATTAAATTTGAATGTAATTAAATCACAGATTATTATAAAACCGATGGTACCTCTTAACCAGGATATGTATTGATTTAATTACCGTTAATTGTAACAATAATCAGTCTGATCGATTTTCTTTTGATTGTTTCTTCACAATTGGCTTATTAATTGGTAATCCATATTTAAGATAAACATCCTTTTCCACCTCAATGAATTGGACAGTTTTTTGCCAAGGTTTCCAAATATAATGAAAATTAAAGAAAAGATGATCGACCACAATATCTTTAAATAAGAATAGAATTAAAATATTAATTAGTTACAATTAATTGGAAATTTAGTTGAATGATTTACCACTTTGATATCTTGGTGAGGTGAAAATTTTGGTTCGCAAAAAGTTATGATCTAAAAAACACCTCAGGGCAGTTCCAATGTGCATGAACGACAGGAACTTATGTTGCACTTGACTTTGTGATATTTATGTTTGTGTGTGTGAATGTGTGTTTTAAGGAGCCATCAACTCACTGGTTAGACTTTTTATCATCAATAAAGATTTTTTGATTTAAATCAATTTGATTTGTTTGAGAAAATTAAGAAATTTTGTTTCTGCTGTTGTTGTTTATACAGCCACTAAAATTAAGTTTCGTACACTTTGAATCAAATCTGCGCATAGAGTTGCTTTTCTAATGTAAATTGATTGAAGAATCAACTCTATGAGCAACAATTATTGAAAGTGTACGAAACTTAATTTTCGTGGCTGTATATTTCCAATTAATTCATTGCGGATAATCATAAATATGACGAGAGCAGAGATAAGTTGAATTACGTTTATCTGTACTTGTATCAATGAGTATCTTTGAATAGGGACTGGCCAGTTTATTGATTGTTGTCACTCCTAGTGACCCATGCATAAGGGACATGGTTCGGTCAACAGTGTCCATCATGGGTGTGTTAATTAGGGAAAGGGTTCTATCTGATTCTGGATCACCATAGTCTGGACTTGAAGAGCCAAATGTTTGATGAAGAGGATGATGGATATGGTGAGGATGAACATGGTGTCCAGTTGAGTGTAAAGGATGGGTAAGCTGATGATGAGACCCATTGGTTGATGCTGGATTATAAGCAAGGTTACCTGCTTGATAAGTTTGACAAAATTCAAAACTTGTCTTTGCTGGACCCTTGGAACGGAGTTTACGTGAATATACAAATACTATAAGTAAAACAATCACAATAGCACCAAGGCCAATTATTATGGTCACTGCATTGGCAATTTCAGACATAACGGATAAACCTCCGGAATTATTGTTACCACCAGTACCTCGGTTGTTTGTACCACTTTCTCGACCTATCTGATTATCGGGTAGTAATGAGTCACTTCGTCCTCCTCCTTAAGTATCACGAACTGATCGAATTGTTTTACTAATTATTATTGAACTAGGATCGGAAATACCAAATGGATTTGAAGCGATGAAAATTAGTCATCAACATGGACGATGATGATGATGCAGAAGATAATGAAAATGATGACAACGCTGCAGGAGATGGTAATAACACTGAAGATGATGAAGGTAAATTTACATTTAACTTATATCCATGAGGTGAATAAGAAGGTGGTTGTTGTGGTTGTTGTTGTGATGGTGGAGGTGAAGCACTAATCAAATGGCAAATTGTTGACAATTGAACAAGTACTAAAAGGCACGTTAATGAATTAATAATAATCCTCTTTTGATTTGCACATTTTCTTGGCACATAAAGATCATTGTGATGAGGTGGTGGTTGTGGTGGTGGAGGATGAAATTGATGGTGATTTTTGTATCAACTTGTCATCAAAAGGATGCATAGTATACCTGAGGTATACACCTCTGTCTCTCTCTCTGCTGTAGTCCAGTGGTTAGCGACGAGGGCAAGCCTTCACATTGGCCTTGCTAACTCTGTGGCTCCGCGTTCGACAGAGGCGAGTATTGATGCTATGATCCAGCATTGGGGAGAGAAGCCTCTGGCGTGAGATTAGGCCCCTACGAATAACCTCTCACCCCTACCCCCGGGACCCGTAGTTTAAACTATATACAGCCGATTGAGTACGTCGGCTAAAATAGTCGGGTAGGTGAATACGCGAAAGCGTGGAATAAGCCGAGCTCCCCCCAACTAGTGGGGAAGCCCCCGAAGGCCGCAACAGCCATTGAAAAACAATCTCTCTCCCTCTTGGTTGTCTTCTCTTTCTCTCCCTTGAAAATGGAATGAAGAGAATTCCTAACTCACTATTCTTCTTCCTCTGCTTCTTCTTCTTCACCATCATCATCATTTTCTTTCCGGTATCTTTTTCTATTTTTTATCATCACTTTTCTTCATCTTCTTTACCTTTTCTTTCATCTTCTTCTCCATCTTCATCTGTGTAATTTGTGATCATCTTTTCCCTCATCGTCTTGGTCCTAATATATTTTCGTCATCATAATCTATCCATTGACCAAATTGTTTACATCATCAAATGTTTACTGTATTTTAATAACAAAGTGAATTCTATTTCTTTTTTTCTCTCAATTCGTTTTCCTTTTCTCTCTCTTAATTTAATTGTTACCGTTCGGAGTTAATTTCTATTCTCTTTGGTTATCAGTTTCTTTCTTCGTTAATTGTTCTCAATTCTAATGGAAAACATCAATTCTAACACAACATGTCCATCTAATTGTGTCTCCGTAACTGCGTTTATTTCTTGTAGTTAAATGATTCCAAAGGTATTTTAGTTATTCTTTGGTCTTGATTAGTCAACATTCGTAGTCAACAATTCTTCGCTGGTTGGTGATTTATTCTTAAAAAGAATGTTTGTTTAACAAACTCAGGTTAATGCTGAGCTTTGTTGTTGCATTTAATTACAATTAATCAATCATCTTAATCCTTTTAATTGTTATAAGTCTATTTCGTTGAAATACTACTCAGTGTTCACTAATTTTTCATCTCTTAAATTAGAGTGTTTTACTATTTAAATTGTGGTTAAATTTGTTCTTTTGTCTGGTTTTCCTTTTTTTTCTTGATGATGTAGATGTTAATCATTTGTGGATCCTTGATTGTTGTTTAGTTTCTATATTGTTTATTGGAATCATCATCACCTTTTTAGATTATTAACCTTTTACTAATTGTAAATTATTCTCTGAATTGATCATGTAAGTTAACATTTTATCATATCAAATTATTCTCCATTAATTATTCTCTTCGTTTTTGATCTCATTTCCTTTGTTCAGTTTTTTCCATATACATGTAAATGGTTAGAGTCTTGATGATGATACTTTCTGTTTATAGTTTTTTTCTTCATTCAATTGGTGTGATAATATTAAGATTATCCTGTGATTAAACTCTTTAGTTCTTATTGAGTGTTGATGTTTCTCTCTTTTTTAATTCTCTTTTATTATTCTCTTTCTCTATCTCTTTCTGTCCATAATTATGGTAACATGATCCTTGTTCAAAGTTGATTGAAAGCCTCCTACATGTGACGTTGTGATCATACAGCTACGATGTTTATCAATGTAACTCTTTTACCCTCTTTGTCGCTGAAAGAGATTTAAATTGTTAGAGAAAAACAAATTATAAAATTATCCAACAGGCTTTCTTTTTATTGCAGTGCTTCAATGGCATTTCAACAGCTAAAAGGTTAATTTTATTCTATTCTCTCCTTTCTCTTGCATGAAATTCTATGTGTAATTAGCCTTACGCTTTCTCTCTCTCTCTCTCTCTCTCTCTCTCTCTCTCTCTCTCTCTCTCTTGCTTCATTATCACCACCATAATCATTAGCACCATCAAAAAATATAATACATGTTGATGTTTAGAATATTGAAAAGCAATAAGGTTCATATAATAATGATTTAGAAAACCATTATGATTCTTTGTTCCTGTCTTCATCTCATAATCCCAATCACGATGATTATCATGATCACCATCCCTTTCATCCTCCAGTATCTCCTAATTCCTCTTTCTTGACCTTAACAGTGACTCTTTATCAGTATTAAATCAAATCACTAAATAAAACGAGTGAGTTGTTCGCAGACATAATCAGCGCAATCCGTTTCACCTTGCCTCAAGTCATTTAACTGATATTGAGATTATTGTTGTTGGTATATTATTTTGCATATACATTATTATTATTTTATTATGATAAGTTTTAATTTTTAGTGTAAACCGTGAAAGTTAAAAAAGTGAAAAACATGGATTCAGCGTATGAACAACTGTGTCAACTTCATAGCCGAGCCCCGAAAGCAGCGGCCCATCAAGTTGAAGATCTGATAAGACGAGCCTACGAGAAAAAGGATTCAGCTGAAGCCTATGTTAGGCAAATCATTCAAGATGCTTGGAATGTCTGTCACTTTCATCATCTTCCAAAATGGCCTCAAGATCATGATTATTTGCACACTGGTCATCGACCACCACTCCAATCATTCAAGGCCTGTTTCTGGTCAGTTTTCCGTAAACACACCGAGACAGGTAACATTTGACCCATGGAATCGTTTTCTCATCTTTTTCTTTTTTCAACCTTCTATCACACAGTTTCTTGTCATTCACCTCAAGTTAGCAGATTCTTCAGCAATTAAGTGCTTTCTATTTCGATTCATTCCATGAGTGGGTGGCTCTTATCATCTCCATTGTCTTTTGATTTCTCCATATCTCTCCTGATTGATAATGATCACAATTGTTTCACTTTCGATCAATTATCATTGGCATCTTATTATTTTCCTTTGTTTTAATTTTCCCTTCTCTTCTCTATCAATAATCATTTTCTTCTCAGATTGGATTATTGTGGAATCGGTAATTAAATCAATACATATCCTGGTTAAGAGGTACCATCGGTCATATTTTCCCATACATCTTCATACTAATTTTATAATGGAGGAGATAGGTTTTCGAAAAAACGAAAAAACCTAAAATTTATTTTTCGAATATCTTCACTGTCGCTTTATTTTAGACCATAAAATCGTCATTTCTAGATCACTTTTTCACAAGCTTTCCAATAAAGTTAGTTTTATTCATATCAGACTTTTTTTTGAAAAGATACAGAATTTTTAAGAAAAAAATAAATATAACTCGAGTAAAACTTTCGGTTACTTTCGACCTCAATAAAATCGAAGTTAAAGTTGAGAAACTGAATTTTTCTTGTTGACATGATCATATGTTTGTACTATTTGAATATAAAATTTAAGAAAAAAATTCATTATTGTTCAATAGTTATGGCGATTTTTGCGAAGAGTCTCACCTTTTCTGGCCATAGGTTATATAAGAAAAAGATAATAATGATTTACAATCTAATGACAATTCTAGTGACAACATCAACAATAAGTTCACAAGATTAATAACCTTACATTTGTAATATCACCTTGAATTTGAATTGTTCCAGGTATTGGTGCCATTGCTTGGATATCCACACTTATTGTTTTTGCATTTTCTTCACCATTTTCTCTGTAAATCAGAATAATCAAATCTATTAAATTAATTACGAACAAGTAACAATAACAATTAGTACCTTAATTTTTTAGCTAAAACTTGACTCCAACTTCCAGGGGCTGCACAGAGATCAACTGCTTTGGTAACTCCTAATGAAAGAAATGTAATTTTTTCTCTAGATTATCGACAATTAGATTTCAGTATTAATGAGATAAAACTTATCGATAACAAGTAATCAAATTCATCGAATTGTTGGAAGGATTTTCATCTGAACAAACCAACAATTAAAATTCGAGCGATTTCCATGTCTCTCTTGAAGTACCAATAGATGTCCTTTTAATATTTAATTGCGAATTAATTAAATTAGTTTAATATGATTGAATATTATCCTTCATTAGCAATTCTAATTGTTAATAGTTAATATGAATCATATGAATGAATGAATGAATATGAAGACGAGAAAGAAAGGGGTAAAAACAAAAACTTTTTTCACCTTTTTAAAGATTAAGAATGAAGAAAGATTATCTCAAGAAGTTGTTGCTCTAAAGGATAACGTAGGTTATCTAGAGGGTTGCCCATCGCCCCAGCCATAGACCGATCCGGCACTGGTTTCTTTGAGTGTCCTCCAGAAGGATTACTCACACTACTCCATGGGTTAGAGTTGCCAAGACCTTGACTAGAACCCATTGACCATTGGAGACCATTGATTGCTACGTGATGGCCATTGATTAGCTATGATATTACCGGTATTGTATGACTTATCCCACTGCATCCCGTTCCAGGCTAAACTGGGATAAGACTTGAATAGACTAGAAGATGATCCTCCAGCCAGATCAGACCCAGACAAGGATTTTTGCTGTTGTTGTTGATGATGTTGTTGTCTTGTATAATTATGAGATTGGTGTTGTTGATGCTGATGCTGTTGTAACTGTTGTTGTTGTTGTTGTTGAAGATGATTGAAGCTGCGATGAGCAGAAAGAGACTTGCGGCGATCCACCTGAAGAAGAGGATGAAGATTATGTTGATGATGTAGATGAATTAGCTGATGAAGATGTTGGTGGTGATAGAGATTCCCCTGGTTGAATTGATCCAGAAGCTCCAGAGGAAAGTGATTGTTATTGAACTGAAGCCTTTGGTGATCCTTGCTGTTGTTGATCCTGACTAACATTCATATTTTTGTTGTTTAAAAAAGACAATTGATTGCAAATTAATTAAATTAATTATCTTTTTTTAACAAAAAATTGACTAAGAATAAATCACCAACCAGCGAAGATGAGAAATAAATTCTCTGGTAGATTCATATTTGTTTCCAACAGCTCCATAGGTTTCATAATTATCCATTGAAAATGTTTCTACACAAATACATAAAAGAGAAGTAAAATATTTTAGAAATGACCAAAAATAACCAAATGGCGCACAAGGAACAATAGAAAACAAAACGATTGGATAAAATACACCAGAATCACCTGAGGAATGCATCGAATTTGTCTAAGAAATAGTAGCAATTTATCTTCAATTGATCAGGTTTACTTTTTGATTACAATCAACTGATTTTTCTTTCATCATGAATTTAGAGATTTTATTTCTTTTTTTTTTTGATCAATCCATTCAGGTCATTTCGGATTTCGTTTAGATAACTTTAATTGTCGGCGATTATTAGTCCTTTGATGATGGTTTATTTGTTCAAATAAGTTTTTTACTTTATTTCGTTTAATTGTTGTTGTTCTTGTTGTTGTTTAAATGAGGTTTTCCAATTTCATCAATTTGATTACTCATTTTCTTGTTTAGCTAATTCATCTGATCTCTTTAATTGACAAGCCTTTTGATATGGAGGGTCAATCGGTTTCTGAGTTGGTTCATTGTACTTGTAGCCAGAAGATAATCCGGTTGGAGTCTGAAATTTCACGAAGAAAAAAAGAAAATTAATTTAATTCAGTTGATTGAGAGAAATTGAAAGATTGTTTAATCAGATATTAATCCACTTACATCTAAAGGATAACTTCTATCAGCATCGAAACCAGACAAATCTCCACAGGCAACAAAAGGGACAATGGTCAAGTTAACTGGATTAGTTATATTATCAAAATATGATTTGGCTTGTTTGTCCATTAGTAAATTGAACATTGTTGGTTCGTAGCCCTCAGGGGGCTGAAAGGTTGTGCATACAACGAAAGCCTCGATTGATGAGTTTCGACTACTTCGAGGTTTGGCCACGATTACTTGTTGGAAAAAGATTTCATTCAAAGATATCATTCAATGATAAGCAAGTAAAGATAACTTTTGATATCAACCAGTTAACCCAGAGATATGATGAGTTTGTCCACTAGTTTAAGTGATGTAGTCTTAAAATGGTCAACTGGACATTAGCTAACATCTACTCTGTATTTAGCTGTTATTAAATTGCCATCACCAACAATCATCAACTTAGAGTCAAGAATTATGGGAAAATCAACCAAAGACAAACGTGATATTTTCTACCGACTAGCAAAGGAAGAGGGATATCGAGCTCGAAGTGCATATAAATTGATCCATATTGACGAAAAATTTAACATCTTCAACGTAATTGTGATGAATTGATCTTTCGTATATCTAATTGTCGATAATCTAGAGAAAAAATTACATTTCTTTCATTAGGAGTTACCAAAGCAGTTGATCTCTGTGCAGCCCCTGGAAGTTGGAAGTCTTAAAATGGTCAAATGATTAGATATCAAAAGTTATCTTTACTTGATTATCATTAAGTACGCGAATGATTAAGAAAGTGGTTGCAAACTCAAAGGCTTCGGTTGTATATAAGAAAAAGATAATAATGATTTACAATCTAATGACAATTCTAGTGACAACATCAACAATAAGTTCACAAGATTAATAACCTTACATTTGTAATATCACCTTGAATTTGAATTGTTCCAGGTATTGGTGCCATTGCTTGGATATCCACACTTATTGTTTTGTCTGTGTTGTTTGTCCTGTTGTAAGTCTCTATTGATTGATTGATTTAATGATTAGATGATGAATCTTCATCAATAGATATTTTCAGATGGTCAAAATTAAGTTAATTCAAATGATTTGAATTTGATTATATTTCAGTAATTATTAAATTAAATTGATACATTTGATGATAAAGTTGATTATCAAATATTATCCATTAGGTATAATATTAATCGTTTAAACAATTGGTCGTCATATTATTAGTTTGATGATAATGATCATTAAATTTGAATGTAATTAAATCACAGATTATTATAAAACCGATGGTACCTCTTAACCAGGATATGTATTGATTTAATTACCGTTAATTGTAACAATAATCAGTCTGATCGATTTTCTTTTGATTGTTTCTTCACAATTGGCTTATTAATTGGTAATCCATATTTAAGATAAACATCCTTTTCCACCTCAATGAATTGGACAGTTTTTTGCCAAGGTTTCCAAATATAATGAAAATTAATGATCCAAATGAGAGCTAAGCCTTTAATCAAGGCAAGGAAAAGGTAATTTCATTAATAATCATCATTTAATTGTGACAATTAAACAAAACTTACTGTTGAAAACAAATGGAAACAAGGTTGTCCTTTGTATTTGAATTGTTTTGTAAACAGAAACTTCAATTAGAAAGAGACTCACATAGGCGAGAATTGTCAAAATAGCCAATCTGGTCAATCTAATTGGAAAAGTAAAACATGATAATTAGTCGAGATTAATTAGCAATTAATCAACGATAGAAATTAAATTGTCAATTCCCATCGGAAAGGGTAAAATGATCTTACGGATAAACGTAAAGATAAATGGACGATTGCATCAAAATGGCCGCATTGATGAAAGAGTAAATCCCGAAAAGATGATCGACCACAATATCTTTAAATAAGAATAGAATTGAAATATTAATTAGTTACAATTAATTGGAAATTTAGTTGGATGATTTACCATTTTGATATCTTGGTGAGGTGAAAATTTTGGTTCGCAAAAAGTTGTGATCTAAAAAACACCTCAGGGCAGTTCCAATGTGCATGAACGACAGGAACGAAAGCCAGCCTCGGGTCATATAATCACTCCAATGAACCATAATCACTAATTTAATCCAATTTGATTACAATTAACTCATCTTGAAGTGAATAATGAAAAGATATCAAAGTTTGTTGTGTTCAAGTGGAAATTTAAATTTACTTCAAAAAGAGACAATCAAATTAACTTGAATAAACAAACAAAGCCAATGAGATGAAACCATATTATTGACAATCATGTTAATCAAATTGTCCACAATTAATTTAGTTAATTATGATAATAAACAAAATGAAAAGGTAAACAGATGATTAAGAGTAAAAAGAAGCAAGGACAATTAATAGTTAATTGTCATGATGTTGATTGTCAAAGAAGAAATTAAAAGAAAGATGAAAATAATTGATGAATGATTAACAATTAGCCAGAAATTAAAAAAGCAAATGATTTAAATTGTTACTTTTAATTCAACCATTTGAAAGTAAACAACATCCGAGAAGTAAATTTCATCCAACTGATTCTGACAGAACTTTTTATCCGCGGGTTAATATGACAATTCAAATTGTTAGAATTAACTATCGATAATGATAATAATAGGATAAAACTTATCGATAACAATTAACCAAATTCATCGAATTGTTGGAAAGATTTTCATCTGAACAAACCAACAATTAAAATTCGAGCGATTTCCAAGTCTCTCTTGAAGTACCAATAGATGTCCTTTTAATATTTAATTGCGAATTAATTAAATTAGTTTAATATGATTGAATATTATCCTTCATTAGCAATTCTAATTGTTAATAGTTAATATGAATCAATCAACAGAATCGGATACTGATTCAAATGGTGGATCATCAACCGGATGGATTCTAATTGTCGCTGTTTCAACCTCAATAATTGGATTGATTTCTTATTTTGTTCATTCATTTTATTTGATTTCTAAAATTTATCCATTTAATTGTAAAATTAATATTCCCAAGAAAGAAACGGTTGTAATGAAATCAATTAAATCAAGAATTCCAAAAATGATTCACAAGAGTCAATTACCAGTTCGAGGGAATATCGCTCGAAAATCATTTCTAATCGACGAAGCGGTTAAATCGGATGCTGGAGTTCCTCGAGTTGGAACATCGGAATTGATTCAAACACCTCATTCGCCCAAAACTGGTGGCAAATGAATTATGATTAATTGTAATTTCGTTTTTTATGTCAATTGTAATTTCCTTATAAATAATAATTACCGTCTTATTGTTATCCTTTTCTAATCCCATTCATCTTCTCTACATTATCATTATTGTTTCTATTAATCAATTATTACTAATGGAAGAGATTAATTTTGTATAATTATCAATATTTTATGAATAGAAAATGTTAGATTTTAAAAAGCTTTAATTGGTTGTTAATAATGATTGATGATTATTATACAATTAGTTTCCTCTTTTATTCCATATCCATGTCAGCATTGTCTTCGGTATCATCTTCTTGTCGTTCAGTGTAAATATTATCGATCATTGATCGAAGTACTGGTTTCTCTCCATGTCGTCGGGTAACTGGATCACTTTCGTTAGTATCATCTTGTAATATTCTTTTGATTACTTTCTTCTCATTACCAGATGAATTAAGTTTCATCATTGAATTTATGGCTTTAAGGTCTTTTGCTGGGCTTCGCAGGAAATGATAGGACATTGGACGTCGAGGTGATGGAGGGAAGGCACTCGCCTTCATGGGTGAGATAAATAGTGAATGTTTGTTTGAAATTCGTCGATAAGGTGAAATGTTGTTAGCAGCGAGTTTGGGAAGAGGTGAAAGTGGAGGAGAACCAGCCTAATAAAGATAAAGAAACAAAAGAGAAGAAACAATTTATTATTATTCATGTTTTCCTTTCTTTCTTGGCTCAAGTCTCAATTTTACCAACCTCAGCATTGAATTTCATTATGTATTGCTTGGCTTCTGGAATATAAATTTGATTGTAAAACATAATAAGATCGCCTCGTTCTTCAGGGAAATCGAAATTAGAACCTGCACCAGCTAATCGGGTTGGAGTGGGTGGTTGACTGTTAGGATGAGGAACTGGTAGAGTACTTGATGATCGAATACGTTCCTTGTTGTCCTCCTGATTTGGTGAATTAGAACCAGAGTTTCGGGAATTTTCACTACTCGTTGAGTTGCGTCGTTTACGATTAGTCAAAAGTACATTTCGATAGATCTAGTTTCATGAAGAGATAGAACGTTAAATATTGTCAGTTAGTGACCTTAAATTGAAATCTTTTTTTTTATAGAAACTTACATGACTTGAAGCTTGAGGTTGTTGTCGGTAACATTTCATTATATCTTGAAAGCTTTGATCGCGACCAACAACCTTACACATGGCATATACAGCGCACATTAAAATTTGATCCAAATGACGGTCACGCATGAGATCAGTGTGATTGCGAATTGAGGATTCAAAGCATGTCCAAATTTTACGTCGGAGGTCTTCATCGTTAATATTTAATTTATCACATAAATCTCTTAAACGAAGCCAAGCAAGATGATAAACCTTTCGGAAAAATAATCCAAGTGATCCGGCTTTGTTTATTTTCACCGGGGTTTCAGGTTTTGATGTAGTAGCATTTGATTCAGAATTTGTAGTTGCTTGTGGTTGAAGAGTAACATGAATAAGACGAACCTCTCCAGTTGATGTTTGTGCTAATACAAGTAAAGAAAAGAGTTGACATAAAAGGTTAGTAGTGAAAAAAAGGATGAAAAAATGAAGATAAAATCTTACTTGGTATAGCGACTTGTATGTAGCCTTGATCAGCGTCAAATAACCGACGACGAGTACCACCCATTGGAGACATAAATCGTTCATTCGTATTTGGGGGTAAAGGAGAAGTAAAAATGCCATCTAATCGTCGAGGTGTCGCAGGTGCGGGTGACATTGTGTTGGGATCATGAGATGGATTGGCAAGAGATACTTCTTGACATGCAGGAACTGACCCATGGAGCTTTATCAAGTCCCAAATTGCTGAACCTGTTTTCCAAGCTTTACTTTCCAATATTTGCTCCTCAATTGTGTTCAAATGTTTAACAATGTCTCTTGATAGACCATCTTCTTCACGGATTATCAATTCAATAACTCGGTAAAAGTATAATGGTTGAAAATGAAAATCACGATAATCACTCAAAATATCGACAATCCATGGGAATCTTTTCTCAGAATTGTAAGCAAATAAAACGATTTCCATGCAACAGGCAAAAAGCGAAAGGTGGAAAAGCTCATGAGATAATGAATTGGTGAGGTTACTCTTTTTCTCAACCTCGGACCATTTTTTCAATTCTCGGCCAATTATTTTCTCTAAACATTTATAATAAAGAGTAATACTTGAGTTCAACATTTTCTTCGCTGAATCATGTGGTGGTAAAGGAGAAGGAGATGAGAATCCATGATCATCAGCTGGTTGACAATAAGATTTTAAAAATTTATCCCCAAGTTCTTTGATTCTTTCGACGATTCTTTCATTGGGGTTGGTGGTACATTGGGTGAAAATCTCTAATAAAGTTGCACTTGGCTCCGATTTACAGTCAAGAAGAAGAGATTGAAGACGACTAACGGTTTGAACGGCGTTTGTGACAGGAGTAAAAGAGCCCATATTTTCTCGATTTGCCAAATAGTGACGATTACTAAGAGGTGTTTGGGGTGCTAAAGTTTTCGCCTCTTTGATTGTTTGCTGAACATTTTGCATTCTATTGTTGAGATAACTTTCGAAGTCACCTTGGGGTGCACCTAATTCCTCGTGAGCATTGTCACTAAGGAAAATTCTTTCATCAAAATCGCCAAAATTGAGAACATATTGATCATATTCTTTTGAAATCGCTTTCCTGTAATAAAATGGTCCATGTATGAGAGATTGTTAACACTTTGGGTTAGATCAACGGGATTAAAAAGTAAATTAAAATAGACTTACAAGTTAGCTTCGAAAAAGGCATTATCTAAGAATCCTAGAAAATGAGGTGGATTGCGACATCGAAAGATCTTTTTATCAATCATTCTTTTGATACAAGGTTTCAACCAGTGCTCTTTAATTCCTTTAGCATCGACACAAATACCTTCCCATTTGTTGCATAAAGTTTCAACTATGCAAGGTACTGGTTCAGGAGCAACAAATTCATCTGATGAGAATCCGGGAGGAAGTTCTGATAGACCAAAAGGAAGATAGAAAATTAGCAATTGAATAACTTCTCTCTTCAGGCTGATAATCCATATAAAGAATGAATCAAGGCAAAAATAAACTTACCAGAAAATTCTGAGTTTAGAAGGTCTTTCGCATTTTCACTGACGAGAACATTACTGAAGCAGAAATCAATGCATGCCAATAATAAGTGATATGAATTGACCAGATCGTCACTAATCATTTTAAAGTTTGCCTTTACATGAACAAATAATGTCCAACAAAAGGAGAATACGTGGCCAGAGGTTAAGCTCAATTTTCTTTAGAAAAAGAGAGAAAACAAATAAAAGTAACATTAAAGAAAAGAGAAGAGAAGAAAATAGAATGGAGATGAACAGACATTAAGAAATAAGATCACATGAGTAGGAATGAGAAACAAGAACGTAAATGATTTTGTCTAAAGTAAAAGCGTAACCATTATTTACCTTTGCTTTCGACTCCTATTTGAAGTTTGTTTGATCGGAGATAAAATTGGACTTTTAAACAAGTGCTTAAAGATTTTGCCAAATTTCCCAAAGATGATAGCAGAAACGTTAAAATTGCGTTCAAGTTGATCGAGTCTATCCCTCATTCCATGGGGTAGATTTGCCATATCAGACCATTTTTTCATCTTGTTAAAAAACTCAACCAAACTGCAAACGAAGACAAAAAAAATCATGATAATAAAGAAAATGGAGTCAACATTTTCAAGAGGTTATTTTTACCTTAATTTGCAAGATCTCAATAATCGAGTAAGAGAAACACAATTTCCACTAACGTATCCATCAAGTCCTCCACCAACAGTTGGTGTCATCCCTTTACGACAAGCAACATAGAGAGCACAGGCAAGCCAATGAAGCTTTTCCCCCTAAATCCGAGTAAATTAATTGAAAACAAGAGGGAGGGAGAAAATAGAGTAAGAGGAAAAAGAGACAAAGAGAGAAAGAAAAGAAAAATTATATCAATCAGACTTTAAAATGTATCAAATGTAATGATAATGACAAAGCCAAAGCTCAAAGAGAAAAGGTAAATAAAGAAAGAACAAATTTACAACTGAATTAATAGAGAAAATATAAACCAAACATTGACAATACAATTGATCACAAAAGCAGCGGGTTTTAAATGTGTTAACCAATAGTAACATTTATGGTGTAATTTTTTTCTCTAATTGAGAAAAAAAAGATGAGAACAAAAAATAGAGGAAAGAAAAAAAAACTTACCTCAAGAGTATAATTGATTTGAATCCTTTGGAAAGAATTGTAGGCCTCATCAGCAGCAGCTCGATCAAGGTTAAGGTCGGAACATATTTCACGAAATTTACGAGTTAATTGAACATTTAAAGATGATGGAGAAGCCATTGCTTTCTGATTAAATAATTAAATGATTAATTTGTCTTCCAAAATGGTTGTGGTTGTTAAAAGTGAGACTCCAAATGCACAAAGGAAAAGGGAGTAACTTCACTGATCATGTGACCAAAATCGCGGGAAAAATCGAAAATGTCAAGGCCGAAATTCGATCAACTCCACCTGGCGACCGAAAAGAAAACTAAAACTGAGAGAAAATTATGAAAACCAATTAACCAACCAAATAATTTATCTAAATAAACTCGATAGATTTTAATTTAATTTTCGAAGTCAAAACTTTATTTCAAAGTATTTGTCCAGTTTTTCGTCAAATATTCTCACGATAAGCAATCAACTGAAAGAGAAAAATAAAAATTGAAAACATTACCGAAAAGAAATCGATTAGTCTTCTTTTTTTTCGATATATCGAAAATTATTCTCTTTCTTTTGAAACCGAAAGATTTGTTTTCGTTTCTTTATCTCAGTCATATGTTTTGTTTGGAATTGTTTTTTAATTAAATTGTTTTCGTTTCGATTTGAGTTTTGTTTTAGAATAGAAAATGGTTCTTTTATTCTGTCATTTTTGTGGTATTCGATTGACTCTGGAAGAAGGACCTAAATGTTATCGGTTCTATTGTAAAACTTGTCCCTATGTTTACAATGTTAACCAGCGAGTAATTAACAGGAAATATCCTCGTCTGAAAGAGGTTGATGAGATATTAGCTGATTCCAAAATTTGGGACAGTGTTGATAAAACGCAAGTTAAATGTCCGAAGTGTGAATTTGGTGAAGCCTATTTCATGCAGATGCAAACACGTTCAGCCGATGAACCAATGACCAATTTTTATCGTTGTGCCAACAAGGAATGTGGTTACCGATGGAAAGAATAAATTAATTAACAAATTGTCTCATTTGTTGGTTTTTTTGCTCGTAAATAATTGGACGAAATTTTATTTACTAATTGTTAACAGTTTCAATTTTTGCTTATATAAAGGTGATAGACGAGACACACTTATTTGTTTATCTTTTTCAGAATTTCTATTAATCAAAATTTGGGTTCAGTTTTACTGTAACACAAGTGATACTTTTACTTTTACTTTTACGTATTCGTGTGGTGTTTAAATTTGAAATATTAATGGTGAATGATCAATTTACAATGGAGTTGAAAGGGTTAGCTGAATGATAAGGTTAATTGTGAAGAGAAAATTTTCAAAATTTATGAATATCTTTTTGTTGTTGTTTACGGATTAAATAACTAATGATGATTACGATGCCAAAATCTTTGTCTTTTGGTTATCATTTACTCGTGAAAAAAAAATTGGTTAATCCATGTTGATGTTTTGTTGCAATAATTGTATAAAATGCGTAAGAGTATCGAGAGAATTGTAATCATTTTGGTAGAATGTTCAACCTTTAAGGAAGATTTTTTTGTTCATTTTTTGAATTTCTTTTTCTTTTGATCGGATCCATGATCTCGAGGTCTTTTGGAGCCATTTTTCATTGGACTTTTATCCTTACTTGGTCCTGAACTGTGATGACTTTTACTGTGACCTGAAGAGTGACCTTTACTCGGCCCAGAACTGTGCTTTGATTTGGAAAATTTTTTATTTCGATGTGTTTGTTGTACCTCTCCAGTTTCTTCATAATCTTTTTCTCTATCAGCACGAGCAGCTTCTTCTTCCAATTCAGACCAATCTTTTCCACTCTCTTCACTACTGCCAAGATCTTCTACAAAATTCAAAAAAAAAGAAAAACAAGAAAATTAATTATTAGTAAATTACCAACAACAAAATATGAACAAAATTTTTGAAAAGAATAATTTGACTCACCTGAATAATCTTCACTTTCTGTAACATCAGAACCTGATGCATCAGATTCTGATTCATCATCATCGTCACTCTCTTCAGTTGGGTTATATTGTTCATCTTCTTCATCCTCATCATCATCATCTTCTGCTTCATCACCACTTTGAGGATCCAAGAATTTCCAACCTCCTTGGTCAAAGAAACCATTTGGATCATCTGTTATGGTCTTCATGATTTTAACCCAATTCAATGATTGAATACCTTCACTGTAACGAATATCACATTGACTGTGGAAATGAAGAAAACAAAAATCAATTAATTAAAATCATTAAGTTCTCATGAAGTTAATCATTAAAATATTAGAATATGTATTAAGTATACACACTTTAACCATTCTTTAACATGGTCTAACATGGCCATGGGAATGGAACCAATCATGGCTACTTTTCGGGAGTAATCTTTGAAAATGAAGACCATGTCAAAATTTTTAAGATGGAACTGAACTCTTTCAAAGTGAACTAATTCAACTTCATCGAGAGTAATAACAAACGGAGGCTAAAAAGAGAGAGAGAGAGAAAAAGAAAGTTATTAAAAGCGAAATGGATTGAAAAACAAAGAAAATAAATTAATCGAAATTTACCCAATCAGTGAGATTAACCAAACAGAAAGATGTTGGTTGAAGATTAACAATTGATCGATGGGGAACACCAGGGAAAGATAAATCTCTGAAAGGAGTGTCAAATTCAATGTCTCCCTTGGTTTTGGCTTCAACGTTGTCGCAAAAGTTTTTGAATGCAGCCTTAAGTTTACCTCGTAATTCACGTTCAGCTTGTTCGGCAGCTAAATCATCACGATCATGCATATGCTGATGTTTTCCAAGATCAGTAGTAATCTCACCAACTTCGGTGTAAAATTGAACATCAACATGTTTCTTTTTACCAAACATGATGGCATTTCTTAAAGTAAAGTGAATCAGAATAATCATCTCACCATCACAGGGTTGGAAGAATGCGTGTTTAATATTATTGTAGAGAATATCAACTTTATCACCTCGAATTGATGTAAATCGAAAACCATTTACATGAGCTTCCAGGGTACCAGAAATACGTTTAGAATAGATGTTTGGTCGGATGTACAAATCTTTCAATTTAGGATTACCCTTGTTGTTACTGATAACCAGAGTATCTTGTTTAACAATACCTTCTTTCTCTCTTTCCTCTGCTTCACGAGTTCGAAATTTCTTTTGAACCTCTTTGATCAAACGAAAAGCGGTATTCAGATTGGAAGATGGAGCTGAAAGTTCACCAGGTTCTTTTACATTGGTTGCTCGATAAGTAATTTCTTTCACAAAGGTAGCATCTAGATTGGAATACATTCCACTCTCGTTCTTGGTCAAAGTTGACCCTGGATGAAAACAATTAATACGAAGGTAAGTGTAATCACCTTCAACTGATTGTGAAATGTTTTTGATTGTTGATATATGGAATGGTACAGGTAAACCATAAATGGGTAAAATGATTGTTTCATATTTACGATCAACGAATATTTTCAATTCGGATATTTCAGGATCTTTAGGCATATGATTAATTGATTTGTAAGAGACATTCGATTTTCGAACTTTTTGTTGTTCTTTTCCACCCGATTTTTGAGCTAAACGTGCTTTCGCCGCTTCGTTAAGTTGCTGTGCGAGCTCTTTCTGATGTAATTTTCGCTTCTCCTCTGTTGATGCTTCGGTTCTCAATTTTGAATTGAGAATCGTTGTTCGTCTACCAGTACGTCCCAATAAACCTTCATCCAGCTGAGGTTTAACATCTTCTTCCTCTTCTTCAGATCCTTCTTCGTCGTCTTTTAAAAAGATGGCTGCACTTTTCAATTTTCTTTTAGCATTGGTCAAAATTTCAGCAGGTTTACCAGCATTAACCAAAACGGTATCAGCGACAAAAAGTGCATATACTTTTGATTCTTTGTCTTTTGCTGCTTCATTGATGAGATTTGATAGACCGATGGCTACATTGAATACCATTCCCTTTCTTGCAACAGCGGTCACTTTGGGTGCGATTAAAAGTGCAGGCTCACGAAATTCAAGTCCCATTGCAAAACCAATATTCTTGGTCATCTTATCATTAAGTTCAGGATATTTTTTCTCGAGCATATCTTGAGCCACTTTATAAACATCACAAAGCTTAACGCCATCTTGTAATTTGTTGATAACAGCATCAAGTGTGGTGATTAGGAAATCATACAGATCTTGTTGCTTTTGTGTTGGATTAACCAAAATGGTACGGACAATGTTTGAACAATATTGCCGATAACGAGCTCCTAGAGAACAAATGATTGATCCAAAGTGTAGATTATTTTTATCACTGGCAGCACTGAATTTGAGACTGTAGTTACCACCAGACTGTATTATTGGCAAATAACATACATCAACTGCATGAGAATCCAAATTTTTAATGTACTTTTTATCTTGCATGGCTTTGTCCACACCTTCAGTTAGTTTAGTATGTTTAACCTTTTTGTCAGAATCAATAATTTCAGTGATCTCTTCTCTCAGATATTTAGAATACACTTCAACAGTGATACCACAAGCTTTCTTGATTATTTCAATTTCCGAATCCTCTTTGGCAGCCATTATATAAGCAACTGAAGAGCTTACATCAGTAGTGTTTAAATTTGAATCATCAAATAACTTTTTCCAAGAGTCAAGGAATTCATTGGAAAATTTGTCCTTACTAAATTCACCAACCTTCTTGCCATTGGAACGACTTTTAGCTAAAGTATCCAATAATTTAGAGAAATTGGCCTGATCTTTATCCGCTTTATCACGAACCAAAAGAGATACTGGTGGTACATCTTTCTCATTTTCTTTAGATGATTCAATGGCTTTAAGAAATTCAACCTTCTTTTTACTGGCCAATATTTGTATAGACTTTTCCGATAAGACAATTATAGTGTCAGTCAACTCATAACCAAATAGCCATGTTTGTAAGGCAATTGATTTAGAATATGTAACATCATCATCAGAGCCAACACAAAAGACGATAGAATCAACATCATTTAGGTTTACTTCATTGGATGGATTTTTCCAATGCTGGTAAAACCTTTTAGCACGTCGGAAGAAGGCATCTTTATCCAAGGATATAGCAGCCATGTTGCTTCATAAGAAGAGTCACAAGATTTAACAAAGACTTAACCACAATTTAACTGTTTAATTGTTGGGGACAAAAAAACGCGGATTGAAAACATTAAACAAAAACAATTGAATCTCACCAACATCAAATTCCGATTGAGTGGGAAAAAGTTACGCCATCTCACGTTCGTTCATCGCATTTGCAGTCGAACGCGCCAAATACGAAAAGTTTCATTTTCGAGGAAAAAAATTCAACTTGACAGAAATTTAATTAAATCTAATTTTCTTCCTAAATTCTAACAATCAAATAGTAGTGGTTGTTTCTGATTTAATCGATTGTCTCGAATAGAATAAATCAATGAATATCATATCTTATATCTAAGGTATTACTTTAAAGATAGCATAAAATTTTAATTTATTTTGTTAATTTGCTGTTTAAATACATGATGATTAAATGTAGGGTATAAATTATTGAGGGTTAATGATGATGATTGATCAGTTAATTAAGATAATCAAGGGGGAAAGATGAGATGATTAGAGGAAAGAAAGAGGAAAAAGTTTTTTTTTCTTGATTCCAATTGTTTTAGTAAATTGAATTAGATTTGGATAGTTGATTTGGTTTCACTTTTTGTTTTAATTGTCTCCTTCATCCAATGTTAAAATTGTTAATTATGTGACCAATTAGTTGATTGTATTGATGTTGATTTAGGTGAACCATTTTCAATTTGTTTAACACGTAAATCAATTCCATTATCATTTGAGCTTCCATTGCTGTGTGAACTATGGTTATTAATTTCATCATTTGAATTGTGATCATTATGATTGTTGATATTATTATTTGAATCTTTTGAATCTAAATGATGATGATTATTATTGATTATTATGGTTTCCTTAATTCGGTTACTTAGATCACAATCTTTAATATGGACATCGGTAAATTCCTTGACCAAACGAAGTCCTTCATCCAATAACGTTTCATGAGCTAATTGTCGAGTTAATTGATTTGAGACAAGATGATTTCCCGTTTTGTTAGCTAAATGGATTAGAAATACTTTATATCTTTTAAGATGCTAACTCAATCTAAATTGATTTCCAATTAAAATCAATCATAGTCTCCAATCACAATCAATAGATAAATCTTAAACAACTAATCAAATATCGTCTTAATTGCTAGTATTTCTTGATAGAGTCTAAATTTCATCTTCGATTAGTGTTTAGAACTAATCGAAAAATTTAAGATTCATCTTTGATTACATGAGACTAAATCATCTTCTAATTTAGATTGAATGGATTAACTTACTTGGTAAAATGCGATTGAAATTATCAGAATTCTGGGAAGATTCATGAACAGGGGATTCATCAGGCTGACCAGGTTGACTCATGCATGGAGATAATTCATTGGAATAGACAGAGAATTGAGAATCTGAACAATTGAAAGAGACAGAGAAATTTGAATTGGATTAATTGATAAATTGGTCAATTTTCAAATGATCTGATTAAAGTAAATCGATTATAATAATTACCTGTATCATCAGTGTCAACTTTTTCATCTGATAATGAACGATTCAATCCTCTGTTGTTATTAATACCTGATTGGAATCTGATAATTAAGATAAACAATTAGTAATCAATGATATTATATTGATCATGATTAACTTACTTTTCCCATTTTTTTAATTGCTTGTTGATTTCACTTTGTTCATTGATTAATTGCATTTGTTGCGATGAAATATTTTCCAGTTCAATTTGAACTTGATTAATATGAGATAAATTTTGTAAATCATGAGCTTGTTGTAATTGTGATTTCAAATCCTTTTGTTGACATTCAAATGTTTTCAATTGATCAATTATATTTTCTAATCGACCCTAAAAATTTAGAATCAAAGAAAAAGGTAACAAATTAATAATTAACAATCAAGAACATTACAATTTACCGGTTAATTATTTACCTGTCGACGGGATTTCTCCTCTTCAGTACATTGTAATTTAACTTCGTAATTAGAATCATTTTCAGATAATCGTCTTCTTTTTCCTGATGATGATCCATTTCCCTCAATGATCATGGAATCAACATTATTATTATAACCAGAACCGTCCAAAATTTTGGGATAAAATTGAGATCTAATGGATGAACAATTAGAATTGGAGTTTGAATGATGATTGGAAATTTTTCTTCGAAAATCTTACCTCGAATGTCCTTTTGAATATTGATACCCTGAGTTACGAACTACCTGACGAGCAAGTGGAAACAGTTCATCTCGACGGGTCAGTAGAGCGGGAATATGTTTACAGATCTGAGCGGCGGCTTCGTTGACCGATACCTTGCGAGGAAGAAACAATTAACCAATTGTACAAAAATCAGGGTCAAATCATTTGCTAAAAGTTTATCATTTCCTTTTCCTTTTTATTCTTGTATAAATTGTTAATTTCCTTTTGTAAAAGAAAAAAAAATCAAAGTTAATTGTTCTCACCTCATGAAGAGTTAACGGTTTCTCTGGTTTTCGTTTACAATCAAATCTACCATAAATTGCTGCATATTTCCGTATCTCATCCATACGTTTAGGATCATCTTCAGCCATGTTGATTACGACCTGAATGTTAACAATTAACAGTTAATCCAATTGTTTACAAAGTAAATCAAAGTTTAATCAATTAGGTGACAAAAAAAGTCCAATTGAAAAATTTTAAGACTCAAAGTTTTTACCCCAGAAAATTAGCCAAAGGCAATTTTAATTGTAGAGTAACAAAACTGGTGAGTTGGTATATAAAATTTTTACTAATTAATTGATTAAAGTATTGATTAGTTGATTAGTTTCATTATTTGTCTTTCACAGTTTTTTTTTCTTCTTAGAATCAGTAAGAGTAATTAACCAAAGTAATTAACAATTGTCATCAAACCTTTACACAGAAAAGTTGATTCTGGTCAATGAGAGACACAAATGAGATAAAAACTCAATAGGAAATTGAAAGTAATCAACAGAAATTAAATTACTCTAAAAATTATTCCACATAATTAACCAACAATTAACTAACCTCTAACTCCTTACTGATTCGTTTCTTATTGGTAGCCAATTTAGCGTCCATTGGAGGTAAACTTTTGACCAAATTTTCAGCGGCCTCAGCTAATCGGATGATCTGATTATCAACAAGAACCGGGGTCAAGGATATTGGAGAAGCGGGTTGACCATATTCATTAGTAATCAATCTAGCCTATTAAGGAATTAAGGTGAAAAAAATCAACAATTAATCAAACAATCAAGTATCAAACATTTGCCATAACTTCAATATTGAGATTGTAACAACTTTTCAAGTGCTTTGAATTGTATTGATATTCAAAAAGCAATTAAAACTTCATCTCAAATTAAATTTACTTTTTCCATCAAGTAATTTATATGTAATATAATTTGATGATTAGTGATGATTGAAAAAAAATTAAGCCTTACGGTTATCATATCAATTTAATAATGTTATTAATCTGATGTCCAACATTTAATTTAAATGTTTACACAGATTCTCAAGTGATTTGAGTTTATTATTAAAAAGCTTTCTCATTCCTCGACATTACAAATGTCCAAAAATATCTCGAATCTATAAAATCGAAGATAATTAATCTATTAAATGAACAAAAAAATACGAATTTAAGTTGATAAGATTCAATTAAATCTATTGCAATGATAATGATACGATTTTGTCACAATTAAAGTTAAGGTAAAATGTTATTAAATTGATTGAGTTTTGTGGCTTAAAATTGTTTCTCAACTTGTAACAATTAGTTACAATTACTATTACTGCAACATAATTACAAGATTAGCTTAACAAATTAGTTTAATTGATCATAATTTGCATAATCATGTGGAAAGTTGTTCTTATCATGCTAATTGATTCAGAACTTTTTTTAAATACTTTGAATTTATTTTACCATTAGAACAATTAATTCACGATGAGAGATGTTTACAATTAACCTTTTTTGTTTGTTCGTTAGTTAATTATTACATTTACCTGAGGATAGATTGATTATCTTACCTGATTCTGTGAAGTGATTGAGGTTAAATTGTTTGGTGGACATTGAATGTTTCCATTTGATGTAATCGTTATACTATTATCTTTGGATGAAGGTGAGGGTGGACCTGAATGACTAGATGAATGATTGGATAGAGCGGTGATTCCAACGGACCCATTGGTTGGAGTACTTGATGATTTCGGATGAATAGAGAGAGAAACTGATAGAGATGATGAACCGGAAGAAGATGCTGAGGAAGAAGATGAAGATGAAGTAACATGATGGTGAGATGAAGGATGGACACTTGATTGTTGTTGTTGTTGTTGTTGGTGCTGTTGATGATGATGGTGATGATTTTGGTGTTGATTTGTACCTGAAGATGAAGATATAACTCCAAGTGATCCCATTGAGGACATAACGGTAACATTGGGCTGTTGTTGTTGTTGCAAAGCCATTGAGCCGATATTTAATGGTGACGATGATATTGAAGATGATGAAAGATTAACAGGATTAATTGATTTTACATCTAATTGTTCATTACCAGGAAAAACTGATCTGTTACCATTAGAAGATGAATTATTATTATTACAAAGATTACTTGGATTAACCAATGGAAACCCTGAGCTTGAATTGTTGTTTAGATTATTGATATTTGCGGACGGCGGTGGAGGTGCTAATGGTAACACCGATGGTGGAGCTAAACCGTGAAAGGTTGTCGCAGCTACGGCGGCTACTGCCGCTGCTGCTGCAGCTACTGCGGCAGCCGAAGATGAGGTTGAAGATGCAGTTGAACCGGAAGAAGATGAAGAAGATGAAGATCCAGTAGAAGAGGTTGGATTGGGAGGTTGTAATCCACCAGTGGGTCGATCACCTGAAGAGGGAAAAGTTGGTACCAAAGCTGCTTGAAACATAGCTAATGAATAGAATACCAAAGATTTAAGAAGAGAAAATCCAATTGATTCATTAAATTCTAATTATCATCAAATGTAGATTAATGAATCTCCCTCTCTCCTCTCTCAATTTACTAATCATTTACGTTGATTGATGCTCTTCTTTAACAACAATTAATTACATTTTTTTTCCTATTTCCATTGAAACTTTCATATTACAACCAAACGGTAAAGCTTTATAATGAGTTCCAGCTGATTACTGATAATAAGTTGACCATAATGATGATGGTCAGTGAGTCTTCAATCAACACAATCATTATCATCATGTTTCCATGATTAAATAGCCTTCATCTTGCCCTGAATTTCATTCTGAGGTTTTTTCTCTCATTCATTTTCTTCATCATTTTTACTATGGGTTTTTATGTTGATCGATTTTTCCATTAACTTTAATTCAATAGGGAATTAGCTAATATCTATTTTGTTAAGCTTCTTTTTCCCTGGATATTGTTAATCTAACAAGAATTGTAATTAATAAAATCATCTTTCCATCATCATCATCATCATCATCCTCATCTTTCTGATAATATTTTCTTTTTCTTTTTCGAACTTTTTTTTCTTCATCTTCGTTCTCATTATTTTCCATTCTCTCTCTCTCCATGTAATAATATCATCTTCTTCCTTTTCGCCACTCATGTTTACTTTTCAGAATCTTTTCTGACCCGTATCATCATCATTATCATCTTCATCATCCATTGAAAGTGATGATAAAGATGAGGATAAAATAAATAATCTAATTTTGATGAAGATTTATGGTTGAATTTGATCAGAATCTCAAATTCATTGAAACACCAACAATCAACTCAACTATCAATTCTGTGGGAGATGAAAAAAGTTTCATCGATTTAATTACATTAATATTTTTCTACTAATTATATTAATCATCGAATTGATAATCAACTAATTGTTGGCAGCAATTTGTCTAATAAAATTTGCTTCAATACATTGATTCAAGTTGACTGATTATCATCATGTTATTTGATATTTTTTCATCTGGAAAGATGAAAAAAATCGTTTTAATCTCATAGACAAACATAGGAATTGATAAAAATGTTTCATTAACATCATCAACTAATCACTAATTATAATTAGACAACAAAAAAAAAGATGAAAGTAAAATTATTACAATTACAATTGAAAAACAACGACAATTTGATTGTCTAACATTTAACATACAAACTAATAATTCACTAATTAAACGTCTTACAAATAATAATCAAATTAATCACAGGAACAAAAATCAAGGTATAATTATAAACAAGATACAATATAAATTATAATTCAATTTAACACAATCAGTTAATTAATCATCAAAAGTTGTTATCATTACAATTGGATTATAATGATTATTAATATAATCCCATTGTAGTGATAATTAGTTTGAAGAAATTGTCACAATCAAGAAATGAGATGAAATTAAATTAATTGCAATAGAAACATGATCATCATGAAATTGGATTGTAATCTAATCTGAACAATTAATGATTGAAAGACAAATGATAAGTTTAAATTGTTTCGAAAAAGTTTTTTTGTTCAATTGAATAGAAGAAGAAAAAAAAATTCGATTGGTGAAAAGATTTTGAGATCACGTGGATACGAATTGATAGCCCATTGGTCAGGATGATGAGGATGGAGAGGAGAAAGAGATGAAGGATGAGGATGATGAGGAAGAAGAGGAAGTAACATAAAAAATGTTGATAAAAAGGCGCAAACTCTTCATATCTTGATAGACTTTGGGTTCTCCTGGTTAATCATCCCTCATCATCTCCATCCTCATCCTCCACCCACCCTACATCCTCCCTCTCCATCATTTCCCATGAGTTTCAACAATATTTTGATATAAAATTGAAAATAAGCTTAATGAGCAAACTCAACAATCTTCATATTCAACTCGTTTTTTTTTCAAATCCCCAAAAAAATCCCAAACAATTAAAACCCAACAACCAAATCATCCAGAGCTCATTTGTTACTAATTAACAACAATTAAAGAGTTGCAGTAAAACAATAATTAACCACAATGATAAACAATTTAAATGGAAACAAGAAAATGGGAAAAAAAACTTTCCCATAACAAATGAAAAAGATATAAAAACTTTTCGATTGATGTTTTTTTTTTCAATCTCAACACAATCAAAATAAAAAGCCAACAATTTAATTTGATAAATAATCAAGTTAATTGTTGTAAATTTTTTGCTTTCTTCCCATGTATCCATATACTTTGAAAATGATGAAAAATGACAAAAAAGTAACACAAAAAAAACAACAAAGGTAAATCTGATTCACTCTAAAAGGATTGAGACTTTTTTGGTTACCTGTTTTTTTACATAGTAAACATAACGGTAAAAAACATCAACAATGTTAATGATAACAGTTGATCACAATGATAAAGGTAATTGTGATAATAGTGATCATATCAACTTGAATTAAATGTAACCATATGTTGATAAAGTTTTGAGTTTTTTTTCCTCATCAATTCTTGTCTTGAATTGATCATTTACAAATCTTAAATTTCAATCAATGATTAGCTAATAAATTAATGATTATAAAGTAATTATGATTAATGATCAACTTACCTGGATTGCTGACCCACTCTTGAAGGGCCTTCTGAAGACGACGGACATGTAAGGGCTTACTGGCCATTCCCACGAGCGCCATGATTTCAAGAAACTCTTCCTCCCCTGCATCACAAAGCTGCTGAACATCATCACCTCCTGAAATTGAAAATTCAATAAGAAAAACAAAACAAAACAATCAACAAATTGTTCCTCTAGATTCACAAGCTAATAAACTAATGGCTCAAAGTGTATATATGATGATGCACCATCAGGTTGCCACTTCCTCCTCCTCAAAACCCACCGCCTCCCTTTTTTTGTTCAGATTGTTCATTTTTTGCTTCATGGTGGAGGATCAGGAGTGGGAAATGCGCATCATCTTGATTTAGTTTCAATTAGCTAATGATAATCAATTGTGATCATGGTTTTTGTATCATCAACAATTAGTTTCTTTTGTGATGACTTTTCCTCTTACCAATCAAGACTAATCCTGTTTGTTGATTGTAATTAAAAAAGGTAATCAACTCACCTTGACAAATGAATGTATCATAATATGAGAGCAGATTAGATCGTTGAAGAACCCGATAGAGTTGCAGCTCAGAATCATTTGTTGGACAAGAAGTCATTGCAACTGATTAGTAGATGAATTTTTTAATGGAGGAGAAATAAGAATAGACAAAAATTATGATTAGTTACAACAATCAACAAACTGTGATAATCAAAATATCAATAATAATCAAATCTAATCATCATTATGATCAAGGTTCATTAATTATCTCTGGTAAAACTATACAAAGTTTTGTAAAATCCATTAGTTTGTAAAAATCAATTGTTATCATTTTGTTCATTATTATTCTCAATTCAAATATTGAATTTAATTCAATTTTTCAATCATCACCATGATGATCAAATTGTTCATCTAATGGTGATAATGATGAGGATGAGGATGTAAAAAATTGAATAGTTTGAGTATAATGGTCAAGACAAGGGTGAGTTAAGTCAAGAAGAAAGTTAAATCTTATTAAAAATAAGAAATTGGGATGAAGATGATAAGGATGATGAGGATGGAAAATAATGAATACAAATTAGTGCAGCCATCATCTTCATCTTCATCTTCATCATCAATACCCTTTTGGTTACTATAGTAATGATTTTCTGCAAAGAAGCAGGGTGAGATGTGGGTGTGGGAGAGGAAGATGAAGATGAAGATGGAGATGATGATGAGGAGGTTAGAGCATTGGAATAGACAAGAAGAAGATAAAGAGAGAGAGAGAGAGAGAGAGAGTAATAAGATCTTCCAATTAAAAAGTATCATCAGTGAAGAAGATAAAAAGAGGAAAGGAAAAAGGAAGATAGAAAAAAGAAAGAATAAGAAATTGAAGATAAGAAAAGATGATGAAGATGAGTAGATGATGTTGAGCATGATGATGATAAAGGAAGATGAAAATTCTGAACTTTTTTTTACTTCTCTCTTAATATTAACATTAAATCCAATGGGAAATAAAGACTATGAGTTTATAGGTATTTATAGGGACCGATGAATTATTAGAAGTTTTTTTTCTTCTTCTCATCATCAAGATGAAGATGATAATGACCAATACAAACACTATCTTTGGACATTAATGGTAAACAATTAAAGAGTTAAAGTAAAACAATTAGAAAAAAGATTCTGATGTTAAAGTAAAGCGAGAAAAAAATGATCACCTTTACATTATCATCTTAATCATCCTCATTATTTTTAATGATGAAGATTATGATTACCTGATAGCATTTTAAGTATTGAACATTATCATCATCATCATCATCAACCTGATAGTCAATGATTAGTATCATCCAGTTAATCGTTATCAACATATAGAGGATGACAATCAATTCTAATCAATGGATTTGGTTGAAGAAAAGTTTTTTCCTGATAATCAACTTTGAATTGAAATTTTCCAAGATAATCATCAGATGATTAAGACGAAATCGTGGTGATAATAATAAGGGATTAGGGGATAAGGATTAGGGGCAATGGAAGAGTAAAAAAATGGATCGAAAAGTTATATACAGGGAAGGTCTTTCAAGGAGGAATTACAGGTAGACTTACTTGTTCCATTTGAGTTTTTACTTAGCATTCGGTTTGCCGGAAATAATGGATTGCCCATTGATGACCCGTGTCCAGTGTGACTGGATGACCCTTGAGATGGCGATAATAAAGTTGGACTTGAGACACAGTTTGACCTTAAATTTGGTGTTGAATGGTCGATTGGTAGCATCGAGGAATTACTATGAAGAGCATTGTTAGTGTTACAATTTGATGTAACTCGAATTTCCATCTTTCTCTCTCTCTCTTTTTACTCTTCGATGGTCTCACTCTCACTCTCACTCTTTCTCTTATTTATCTTATTCTTTTTTACTTTCGAACAAAATTTTTAACTCTTTCTTTTTCTCTTTCTTTACCATTCAACGAATAGAATAAATCAATCGAAGTACAGATTAAAGTCCACAGTGGACAAGGGCGAGGTGGTCGGTGTGGAGGAGTAGGAAGAGGAAGAGAAGATGATGAATAAAACAAGGGAGGAGTTTAAATTAAAAACAAAATGGCAATCGAAGTAAATTCCACCATCAACGAAAGGATGATGATGATGAATATTAAACAAAGGCGAAGATGGAAACGATGATGACAAGAGAGAGAGAGAGAGAGATGATGAAGGCGGAGGATAGATGAGAATGATGATGATTTTGATTATGTTTCAAGTGAAAAATCAAAGCGAAAGAATCTGAAAAGTCCCTCGATGTTAAAACATTTCGGTTGTAACATTCACTTGATGATGATGAGTGGGTGGAGATGAGGATGATTAGAATGATGATGATAATGGAGATGGAGAATGAAACTTTTCAAGTTTAAGCTTCGATGCGATCGATTATAATGTTCACTTTTGCGTCGAAAGTTAAAAATTTACATCGAGGAAAAAAGAAGAGAAGAAAACTTTTGTTCGATGTGTTCGTTTACCCTCTTTTTCTCACTTTCTCTTCTATTTATCTTCCTTATCTTCTTTCTTCTTCCTCGATGTAAAAAAATTTAGAGAATATGTTATGTATTAACTCCAATATGGCACTTTACATGAGAGGCTGGACAATGGAAGATAAAAGAAGATGAAGATGGAAAATTGAACCTTCGAACCAATAGAAACTGTTCTTTGCTTCCTTCGAACAACTTGTCTTCGTCCCTCCTTTAAATGTTCCTCATCATCTTTATCTTCCTTATCTTCTTGTTTCTTTTTCTTCTTCTTCTGTTTTCTTAACCCTTTTTTTCCTCTTAAAGTCCAACCTTTCCCTCGATGCACCAATAATATCAATTATTTGGTGACAATAGCGACACTTACACAATAAGAAAAGGGGTTGAGAAGATGAAAGATGACAAAAAAAGGTATCACTTGCTGTAGACACAAAAGGTAAGTTTAGAACGAAAAAAAAGTTTAAGATTCTGATAAAAGGTGTTTAAGGCTCTAAAGGGTTAAAGGCGTTTGCATCGAGGCAAGATGATGATATTGAATGATTAGGGATGACAATGATGAGAGAGAGATGATAATAAGGATAAATACACTTTAGAATATTAAGAAAAACGTTTTTTTTCAATTTCTCTTTCTTCATTCAACAAATAACAACTTTCATCATTTTCTTTGGATTTGTTGTTGTTATCATATCATCGTTGAGAGCAACATTACACTTGAATATATGACCAGAGACTTTGATGATCACAATCTCAATCAGTATCATCATCATCATTAGCATCTTCACCCTCTCCTTTTCTCCTCATCATCATCAGCTCATCGTCATCTCACTCTCATAGAAAAAGCTTGAACCTTTTTGCTATTTAATAGAATATGTTGTTGAAGCCTCGATGCAAAAGTATGAGTAGAAAAAGTCGTCGGTGGTTGATAATATAGGGAAAAGATGAGGAGGAAAAGTAGAAGAGGAGGAGGATGAGGAGAGAGGGAAATGATGAAGAGGAGAATTATATTTCTCTCCATAGGAGCCATTTTAAACTTGCTTCGATGCTTCATTTTGATTCAGTTTTTTTTCTTCTTTTTGATGATGAAAAAGAGGAGAAAGAGAGAGAGAGATGAGGGAAGAAAAGAGAGTATTCTCTTATTCTTTCTCTCTCTCTCTCTTCTTCCCACTCTCTAGATCTTTTATAGAGCTTCGTACATTCGACGTTCTAATAGAGAGAGAGGGTATTTAAAGGGTGGAGAGGAGGAAGAGAAGAGGAGGAAAGATGAGTTGGAGGGAAGAGAAGGAAAAGAAAAGAACTGAAAGGAGAAAAAGAAGAAGAAACTTTTACAGAATAAAAACATCGAAGTTTCTTCTTTTGTCCAAATTAGAACTTTTTTATTCTCTTTGTTTCTTTGTTGATTATCATCATCATCTTCTCATCTTCTCTCATCCTCTCTAATGTTCATCATAAAAACTAATCATCATCTTCTCATTTTACTTGATTGTGTTTACATTAAACAAGGGGAAAAGTTGATAAATTTCATCTTTTCAACATTTTTCATTAAAAGCGATGAGGATGAATTTTTATCTTCTTCTATCATGATGAATATTATCATCGTTTTTTTTACTCTTTTTCAAAAATCTTAAAAATTTCAATATGTTGGCATTAAGATGAAAACGGTTTTTTCTTCATCCAATTTGAATAATACCTTTTGTTAGATTTAAGATGAAAAGAAAGGTAAAAAATGTTTATCATCCATTTATCTTCCCATTCATCTTTATCATCTTATTATTACATCTTAAGTGATGGGCTGATAACTTTGATTAACGGTTAATTTAAAAATCAAATATCATCGTTACCTTTTAGTAAATCATATTGATAAGAAATCAGATTCATTCTGATTTGATTTGATTAAGATTTTTTTCTTTCACAACATTGATTTCAATTGTAGATTTGAGCAATTAGTTGATTGTTGGGAGATTGTGTTTGATAAACAATCAATCTAAATATTGATGAGTTTGATACAAAATTGTTGATTTAATAGTAACAATTAGTAATCAGTTACCTTGATCAAGGGAACTTTTTTGAATACTAATTTAATTGTGGTAAGTTGATAACAATTGATTTGATTATCATTAATTAATTGTTACAATGTGATATTAAATGGTAACAAGTTGAGTTTACTAGAGTCATCGGGTGGTTGATATTTAAACTAATTTGATCATATTGATTATTAACATTAGGATAACGTTTCAATTGTTTAAATCAAGTTACAATTAACTAATCATATGTTGAATTTTCATTATTCTTGTTGTAACTGGTTGACTAACCGATTAGTAAACACGAGTTAGATTTAATTACTTGATATGTTGATAATTTTGTGGTAACAATTAGTGAGATTAAGTTATGGTTGTCCCGTGATTAGATTTGATTTACTATTAATATTTATGAAATTAAATGATTGTTACTTACATTTTAAGATTGGTTAAAATTTTAATCATTATCATTGATGTTTGATTAGTTGATTGATTGATAAAAAATGGTTTCCCAATCAAAACAAATCATGATTATCCAACATGGTATCCAAAGTATATCCAAGTCTGTGTGATTAACTTTTGGGGTTAATAAATCAGTAAATATAACAATTAATGTGTGAAAAAATTACTTTTTAATTACTACAATTATTTACAATCAACATGGACAAAAATAAGATATAACTACAAAAACAGTTTACCAAAACAGAGATGATGATAAAACTGAATTTTATCATTTGGTGGGAGGCAAAAAAACATGATTTTTATGAGAGAGAGAGAGAGATGAGGATGAGGATGAGAGGGTGGTGGAGGTAGAGTGAGGAGAGAAAGTAAAAACAGAGGATGAAGAGGAAAACTTAACGGGCGATGTTAATATTACACAGAATAAAAAAAGGGTTAAAAAAGATGTTGACAAAGTAGAGAAAGAGGAAGATGATGATGGGGAGGTGGTGGAGGAGGAGGAAAAGGAAAGAGGTGGGAAGGAAGATTTGATTGGCAAAAAAAGGATGAAAAGATGAAAAGAGAGATGATGATGATGATGTAGAAGAAAACTAAGGTAAAAAAAACACCAACCAAGAAAAAAGAAGGAAAAAACTTTAACTCCTTGGATGATGAGGAGCAAATAGCAAAGACCCCTAAAGGGAGAGATGAGGATGATAATGTAAGGGAAGAAAAATGATGATGATGAGAGCAGTGAAGAGGAAGATGAGAGAGAGAGAGAGAGAGATGAGGAAGAAAAAGATGAAAATGAAGAAAAAAATGTAACGTATTATACAATAATTTCCAATCTCTTCTGTTCTCGATCTCGATTTTGACAGAATGAGAGAGAAAGAAAAAGAGAGAGAGAGAGAAAGTGAGTGAGACTCACTTTTAACTCTTTCCTCATCTTCATCTTCATCATTTATAAAGCATCTTTTATCTTCAACTTCAAGTCCCACGGTTTTTTTTCATCTGATTTTATTCTGTCTTTTTATATCTCTGAGTTTTTTTCATTCACGATTCATCATCATCATCATCTCTCTAATTCTCTCTCTTTTTCATCCTCATCTTCACCGAGTTAATTGCTTTGTTAGGGATGCAAGAAGATTCCCAATGAAAGATATTATTAAAGAGACTTTTTTTCCATCTTATTACTAATACTTTTGTATTTGATGTATGATGAAAAAAGATGAGGATGAAAGTAAAAAATCACGAAGATGAGGAAGATGATCTAATGATCATGGTAATTATAATTACAACAAATCATTTGGTTTAATGATACAAATGAGAAATTGATTTCAATTATTTGCTTTTTAATATCTCATCATTCTCGTGGTTTTCAAAGTCAAATCAACAATTAACATTTGATGACCAATTCAATCAACAGTTTATTTGTTTACAAATCAAATTTCAAAATGTCATCATCTGTAAAATAATTGATTGTGTATCAATTATCATTGGCATCATAACCAAGATCAAATGAAACTGGTCCTGGTTTAATTGGCTTATGTAATTTAAAAATAATCTTCTCGATAATCAATGAGCCAATCAATGAAACAATGAAAGCAATTAGAGTTGCAATTATCCAATTGATATCGTAACGTTGAACAGTTGATGAATAAGTAGAGGCGATTGTTGAATTAAATGAATCGTTTTTCCAGACTGACTTTTCAATAACCATGAAAGAATTGAAAATCTCAATGATAATCATGACAAATAAAATGATACCAATTAAGGTGAATAGTTGATGATTTTGTGACAATGTCATCAGATTGTAACGATCGGTATCATGTCGTTTGAAAAAGCAAATATAAATAATCAATAGCCAAGTGTAAAGAAATAGAGAAGCCGATAAACCTTCAGCAATTCCAGCAATATAATGATTGGAATAAGATTCCAGGTTAGCAATTAACTTTTCCGCTAAATATTGAAACACGTAGATACCAATGAATAGCCTTTCGATTATGGTTAACGATTGAACTTTTTGTAAACAAATCGGTAGACTGGTTGTTAAATTGATTCGAGTCAAGGCTCGAGTCCAATCGTTGGAATCGGATAAACGGACATTTCGATTGTGTTGAAGGTAATGACTGTAGGGATAAACTTGTTGGAAAGCAGTGGTTTCGATTAGTAGGCCATATAAGTAGACCAACTTAGGTGCTAATCTTGAGTTTTCCCGACAAAAAGTGATCTCAATGTAACGAGGTTTGTCCATCGGTCGAACCGATTTGAAGAAGACAATTAAATCGGTAACATCGTTTGTCAATAAGCAACAGGTTGACCATAGAGTCGACGAGGGAATCGTAAACTTCCCAATCGACGAACCATTTGAACGTTTAAGGTCAACGTTAAAAGAACCAGGTAATCGATGACCAACTAAATGACCACAACGAAACTTTAATGAACTAACGAAACCACAAGCAACCGGAGCATCGGGCAATTCATATCTCTCAATTGAATTAACCTTTGGTTTTGAATAGAAGTGACAAATTAAATAGACCAACGGGAGAATTGATAAAATGGTAATCATTACAATTAAGAAATAAATTTTCCATTTAGTTGTTTCCCAGCAAATACAATGACTAACGAAATCATCTACGTAAGGATAACATGTTGATAGAGCTTTGTAATTAACTGTATTGCTTGAGTTATCAGCTGAATAGCACAAAGTGTAAGTAATTAAAGGTTTCATCATGAAAGAATCATAATCTACTGGAATTGATTTACCATCTCGAGTGAATAACAGTCCATATTGTTGACTTTTAAGCAATGAAAATAATGATGCAATTGTTTCATTTGATCCAGTTTGATTAAGAAAATTATCTGGTATCTTAAAACCAACTAGAAAATGTTGATCAAATTCACCAAAAAAACTGTTGTCAAAATAAATGTTCACCTCGCTTGTTGATTGATCGACATCCATAGTTTCTCGCGATTCCTTGTTAATTGTTAAATTGCTGTTGATTGTGATGAATTTTGATTTATCTTCACGCCAAATCACCGCTGGAGAAGTGTAATCAACAAATCCTGGGAACATTGTCTTCAGAAATCCATAGGTGACATTTATATTAATCGCTGGTAGATCAATGCTTATATTGAATGAAAGGTAAATTGATATACGACAAGTTGGACAATCAAATGGACGACGAGATAAAACATAAAGGAACCAAGTTAATTGTGAATTATCATCTAATTGGGTTGATTGTTTCTTCTCATAAATCATTGGTAAACTATTGTGAGTAAATGATGTTAACCAGAAAGATGAATTTCGAGTAACTGTAACTCGATCAGGAATTAAACTCTCATCGGATTCTTGGAATGAGGGATTACGACGCTTACAGAAATCGTGAATTCCTTCAACAACACTGTGATTAAGATTCGTAGCAATTAAATCTTTGATTAAATTATCCACTGAATCGTAGGTTGGTGCACAGAAATAATTAGCTAAATTACCGTTTACCTCGTTGATTGTCAACAGTTTCATCAACAGTGTTAATATCAAATACATTTGGATGGAGGTTAAATTGTTCACTATTCAGACATAATCATCGAGCAATTATTAAATTGTTGGGTAAATTAAAATTTAGAATGTACAATTGATTGTAGAAATTAAAAGGCTCCGGATTCTATATATAGAATAACAATCAGTTTTAATTGTTGCCTTTTCTTGGAGATTAATAGAACAATATTTTCCTGCAATTAAGGTTAATTGGAACAATTTTGATTGATTTAGATATTTTTTTTCTTGTTAATACCAGAAGCCATTTATTTAATTGTTTGATGTTGTTGTTTTTTTTCACTAACAAAATTTACCACTCGCTTAATTGTTTCAGAGGCTTTGCTTTTGTTTCTTATTATAAATGTTGGATATAATTATATATCTAAGAGTTAATAAATTGCATGGTAAAAAAATTAGAATTCATCATCATCGGCATCAGACATTTCCTTGGCATATTCCAAGTCTTGTTTTTCCCTTTCTTTCCTTTCTTCGGCGGATTCCAGGTCAGCGTTGTATGACTTAGGAGGGAATCTCATTGCTTTAACTGATTGATTATGAATATCTAAACAGAAAGTGATTCGCTGATGGAAAGCGGCTTGTGGTTCAGCGGTACAATAAACATCAACTGTTTCTTTTGACTGCATGTAACCCTTTTCGTGATCAATTGTTGCCTCGATTACTCGATCACGAATCGCTTTGGCGACAATGTATTCAGCATCTTCGGCACAGTCGAGCATCAACTTTTGTGCTACATCAGCTAAAGAAATACGTGAATAGGAGAGGTTAATCATTCTTACTCCAGTTTTGATTACATTATGACGAAGTCGAATAATCAAAGTGTAAGTATGATCAGCTTCAAATTTGGGTCCAAAGTTTTCCAAGACTTCATTAAATCGAGCCAAATTACCAGTTCTAACAGCTTGGGTTAGTTGAAAATAGGGAGCCAAAGCTCGTCGGAAAATTTGTTGACGAAAAACAGATCGATCGGGAATCTCTCCCAATAATAGCTCTACCGTGATTGCTAGTTTTTGGATAGTTTGTTTAAAACCAACAGCAGTTTGTTGGGGTGATTTACGTAACGCTTGAACCAGATTGGAATGAGCTTCAGAATAATCCAATTGAATTGCCTTGATTCTACCAAGATAGTACAAAAATCTTGCCCATTCATTGATGGAGGCAACTTCAGGGAAAACAGATTTTGAGACCAATTTAGCGGCTTGATCGTAAAGATTGTAATGCAAATATAAACGAAGTAAACAATTGAGATAAACAGCTTGCCCTTCGTAATCGTTTCTCAAAGTTGCAGTTCTTAGTCTACTGTGAAGTAAACTCTTGACAAAGTTAAATTTATTTGTCAATTCATAAACTCGACAATGGTAGAAAGTACATTTGGCTGCCAATAAATCCAAGGTTCGACGATTTTGAGAATTTGAAAGTTTAGCCATAAGAAGATCTGAACATTTGACAGCCTGTAAAATCAGACAATCGATTGAAAAAAAAGATTAAATTAGTAATGAAAGATACACAAATTGAAATGAGGGTAATCACATCATCTCTTATTTAAAGAGCTTAACATCAATATCAGATTTAGAAGGTTAGACTTACACTGTCGAGGTTACCAGAGTCAATAGAGTGAAGAAGCAAAAGTAAATGAAGGTAGACATCAAGTTCAATTAGAAGAGGTGATGAGGCTGCTTTACCAGTTCTCCCTTTAAAAGGTATTTGATTACAAGAGTCAACATCCATAGGCTCTTGTTCAATGAAAGCCAAAAGAGTATCTCTTTGAGCAGATGAAACCGTATAGAAACCATTGATTAATTTCATCAAAACTCTTGAATTAAGCTTCTTCCGGGTAGCAACCAAAGCACGGATAACTCGTAACATAAATCGAGGCTCTTTATTGATGACAAATTTCTCAATACATTTAGCATGTTCTTTAATTTCTTCCAAAACCGTCAAGTCACTGTTCCCTTCAGTAGGTTCATCCTTTTCAACCGGTGTTTCACTTTTACCTAAAGGTTTAACATTCTTCTCCTTTACTTGGGCAACAACCATTGTAAGAATTAACAAAATACCAAATCGATGAAAAAAATTTAAACTTTTCAAATCAAATTAATTTAATTAATTAAAACCAAACAATTTACGATTCTCAATAATCATCAAAGAAAAAGTCACAATCATTTGGATCCAATTCTTAGACCATAAGTGTCTCCATCTGGTGATAGAAAAAGTGACAACCTTTATGAGGAATTTTCGATCTATCGAACTGATTTTCTCTCGATAGATCGGAATTCGAATCCAATTTCGATCCTGATACCGATATTTTTCTATTGTTATTGTTTCTCTCTGATTGTGATTTAATTACGCGTCACTATCATCGTTTGTATTTTGACAATTAAATTGATTAGTTTTACAATTAATTAAGTTTTTCCATCTAAATTTAACCCATTTTTCACAAGGTAAGTGTTCAAATGTTAATGTGATTTTGTTTCAGAGCTTTTTGTATTATCCGATTATTTGTCAAATTCAAATTGAATTTGAATATAATTTTTTTTTTCTCACAAATTTTATTTTTGATTGATTTTTTCTTTTCTTTTCTGTTTAGTTTTTGTTTTATTATTGCTGTTATTTTATTTATTTTTTAATCAAGATATGAATTCTCAAAATGGTAATTATATACCAGTTAACCCAAATGATTCTTGGGATTCAAGAAAAACTACCAGAAGAATGAGACCAACATCAACAACAATCGATTTAGGAGATTATGTTACTCAAGAGAACACTAAATTGACTGGTTTCCATAATCAAGTAGATGAAATGTTGGCCGGTGGAATGGCTACAATGTCTAAATTACGTGAACAAAGGGATACATTTAAAAAGATTAAAACAAATTTAAGTGACATTTTCCAGCAACTTGGTATGTCAAGTACCGTCCTTAGGCTAACCGAAAGAAGAGGTTCAACTGATAACATCATTTTATATTGTTTAATGATTGTTTTCACTATCTTTATGGTTATAGTTTATCTACAGTTTACGTAAGGTGATGAATTTTTGATTTATAAAAGCGGTTTTGATGAGTTGACACAAAGTCAATAAAATTTTATAAAGATTCCATATACAATTGTTCATTCGTCATCATTTCAACAAGAAGCAGCGCCTGGAGGAGAGGAATCAAATAAATGAAGAAAAAGAAAAAGAATCAGTAAAACAAATCCAGAAATGAATTTAATTGTTTACTCACCAAGAATTCCATCAATACATCGGATCAAATTTCTACTAGAATGAGGATAACCAACAAAATGCGTCGAGGGAAGTGAATCACTGGTGCAAACTTTTGTCTTAATTGGATTTAAATAGTTGCTCCTCTGAACACAATATACCAAACATTTTCCTTGGCCATGATCTGATTGGAAAACAAGGACAACAATTAATATAATGACTAATGGAGAAAAATAAAGTTCGAAGATGAATTATAACTTACCAGTGACTCTCCCATGATCCCTTAAACATGGGAATTGTCCGAAACGTTCACCAAAGAAAAAGATGAATACAGTTGACGAAGATGATAGTGATGATGATCTAATTGCGAGCACATTACGATTCTCTGGACCAATGGCAGTTTTATCACTAGAACTGATTACCCTAAGATCAGTTTTATTTTCCGATTTGGCCCAATAAATGTTCATTTTGGTTGACAATGTTGCTGAGAAAGTTTCACAAACACTTGAATCAATTCCTAGGGATGTACAAGTTGCCGGTAAAACAATTGAACGATAAGCGATATTTGCAAGTGAAGCAACATAAGCTGATTCAGAATTTTTATTTGACGAAAAAGGTCCTTCATCATCAAATTGTAATGGTATCACGGAAGCAGCATCACAATTAGCTAAAAGCCACATTAATATAAAACAAGTGGACCAAAGGATCAACATTGTCCAGTAGAAAGGGAAATATTCACAGAGAAAGAGGAAGGAAAAAAAAAGAACACGATTTCCCGTTTCGACAAACTTGATGCTAAAAAAGTGTTTGTGTTGATTGATGTCCGATGTTGACTCGAGAGGAACTTAGGTGTACAGTCCGACACTGAAATAAATGTAAGGAGACAAAGAGATGAAGATAAAAATGGAAGAGGGAGGAGGAAGAGGCGGAGGAGTAGGAAGAAGATGACAGAGAGATGAAGAGGGAGGGAAAAAGAAAGTGAGAAAAAGAAGAAGAAAAAAAAAGTAAAATGAGAGAGAAAAAGGATGAAGAGGTCAAACTTGCGATGCCGCTTGTGATGAAGAAAAAGTCGGCTTCTTTTAACTTCTTTCATCACTCTAATCATCATCTCTTTTCATCCTCTTTCTTTTTTCTTCTTTATTCTTCTTGGTGACCAATAGCTTAACAACAATCAACCACCAAGTTGACTCTAAATATGAGAGAACCGCTTCCTCTCCCATTGTCTTTACTATTATTATCCTGTTAATCTCCATCCTCCGACTTGACCTTTTTCCAAAATTCTATTATCTCTCTTTCTCTCTCTCTCTCTTCCCAATTTACTATGTACACTTTATTTTCCTAATAATTACTATCGCTTATTCTCACACATTTTCCATCTTCTCCTGAGGTTATTCCTTCATTCTCATTTAATTCCTAGTATTTTTTTTTTCTTGTTAAAAAAAGAAACATTAATCCAATTAAGCGACATCTTTTTTCCCAAGTTAATATCTTTTATCCAGAGAATCAAATGTGTCCAAAGTTAATCTTCAATTTTGTATGTTAATTGTTTCCTTTGCCTCTTGAGAAATTGTTTCAAAATGTGACATTTGTTTCCCAATCAGATTAGTTAATCTTCTTCATGTGTATCGATGTTAATCAAATTGTGACCATTGGTTATTCTTATGAGAATATGTATTATTTGTATTCTTATTTGTTTTCTTGCTCTTTCTCTCTTTTTTTTCACTTTTTTTCTTAATAATATATTATAATATAATTAAGGTAATTAAGGTTAATTACAATATCAATACAATGTGTTTGTTTTTTTAGATCGAAAGTAAACAATTACGATAATAATATGATGATAAAAATTGATTAATTTTTAAGTTATTGTATAATAGTTATGATAGAATTTGGGATTGATCAGCAAAAAACGAATTGTGAAATTATCTTATTCACTTATTTTCATCTAATTAAAATGGTAATTGTTGTTTTCCATAGGCATTTTAGTAATCAGTAGGTCAGAAAACTAAATTTTTAACCAAATTAAATTAAATTAGTGTTCATTGGACAAAATGAACTAGAAAAATTTCCATGATCATCAATATTATCGTTGATGTTTTTTTTGGATGTTGATTGAAAAGGTGGAAGATGATGAATGTGATGTGATATAAGTTGGTCAACATTAACAATCGTCGACAAATTAACAAACTAATTTGACATAATTGGCGGGATAAAGGCCAACGCGTCCATCTTTACGTCCTTTACACCAACCTTGTTCATCTTCATCTTCTAATTTTTCAAATATATCACCTAAAAAAAACAAATGAAACAAGAAAAAAGCAAATTAAAACTCAATTCGACCAACAATTAGTTAATTGATTCACTGATTGAAAATGTACCTTGTTTAAAAGATAATTCGTCAGATTCAGCTCCTTCGTAATCATATAAGGCTCTTACAGGGACACCGGGCTCACCATTGTCCACTAAGGCATCATTAGCATAATCATCCCACTCTTCCCGTTCATCATCAAATGGATTGCTATCAGTTTTACCATTTCTGTGTAATTAAAATAATAATCATCTCCAATTAGTATTAAAATCAAGGTAATGATAATTGTTTTAAAAATGTATTTAGTTCAAATTGCTTCAAGCAAATAGTTTGAAACCAAATTTTTCCAGACTAATTACCGTAATTAATTTTGACATAAAATGATTGTTCAATCAGTGCCCCCTTATTTTTCAATTGGTATCAGGCTTTTAATTAACAACAATTAAGAACTTTCATTTAATTTGGTGAAAAAAAAATTGATATATAAAAAAACGATCAATTAAATTTTAAAGATTCACCTGATCACAAGATAATGAAAGTAAATCAATAGATTACTAATCATAATTGTAATAATTATCAAGTTGCGTAAATAATTGAGAGATTCAAAGCTCAATAATATTTGTTAGTTAATTGGTTTCATTTGCAATTAAATGGAAGTAAATTTAAAAAGAAGCTACAATAATAATCTCGGTCGATGATTTAAGATATGATGGTTATTGAAAGAGGGCTAAATATGATAAGTTAATTAGATCAATTTAGTTGCAACTATTTAAACACCACAAAAAAAAGATTTGAACTATTTAAAGAATCCTAATGAATAGTAGTAACACCAGAAAAAGGCTCAGGAATCAGGAAGCCTGAAACCAGAATCAGGAATGAATGAAAAAAATAGAGGTCACCCTGAAAACTAAAGGTCAATAAGCACTGGTCAAAATCATGATTATCCTTTTTTTTTACAAGATACAAATAAATAAATCAAATAAATTGTGATCTCAATACGAGATCTTGTTAGATCTGACAAAAAGTTAGCTCAACACTTAAAGCGATTACTTATTTTTTTCGTTGTGACCATTTAAAAGGATAAACTAATTGCTCTTTCCCTTAAATCATAAAAATAACTAAATTAAACAATTGTTACTAAATTAGTGGACAGTTGATTAAGCTAATTTTACAATCTAAACAGTTATATATACACACATACATGTGAGCATCAGAATTAATAATAATGTTGCTAATATTATTCAATTGCTGAACAAGTCACAAATAATTGAGAAAATGTAAGAAAACATAAAACAACAATTTAAATTACTATTCAATGATTTACATGATTAACGGATTGATTTAACTTATCACGTCTAAATTAGTTTATGACACTGTCTAGAAACGCGATAATCTAATTGATAGTGAAGACAGAAACTAATCAGGTAAAATTGATTAGCATCTAACAAGTAAAATCATAAATGTCAAAATTAATTACGATATTAAATATTTATAAGTCTGTCTATGAAAGTATAACAATTTAAATGATTATGATTAATGTTGTAACTTAATTGTAATCATCACATTAACCTATTGATACTTACGTGTTAATATGAGAATCTATTTCGGTATCATCGTTATTAATGTTATTGGAGTTTTTGTTGTTAATTTCATTTTGATTGTTCTGATTGTTGGTAATTCCATTGCTACCATTAGTTAAATTGTTTTGCTCCACGACATTTGAATTATCTCCTTTTAATTTCTTATCCTTATTACTTGTTGGTAAATCAGATGCATATTCCTGGTATAGTAAAAGTAATTAATAGAAAGAAATTAAAAACAAAACTTATTATTAATATGAAATATAAACAATTAGATTGATTGTATAATTTGGGATTGATTAGTATTGATTAATTGTTTTTCAAAATTGATTAACAGTATCAGTGTTAAAGGTTTGGTTGGGATACAATGAATGTTTAATTGTTATTAGTTTAAATATTTATCATCATCAAATTAATTAGATTGGTAATGCGGATGAAATTAAATCTCATCTTAATCAAAATGGTAATGATAATGAACTAATAAATTAATTACAATTTACTTATTTATATGAATGTATGTCAAGTTAATCAGGATTAAGGTTGATAAACTTTCCCATTAAATTTTTAATGAAAACCGGTAACACATTAAAACTGTTACTATTGTCAAACAAACTAAATTATTAACAATTAACATTCATTGTGGATTAAGATTAGTTTTCAACCATAATTGTTAGTAATTAACAAAAAAGTCGCAAAATTAATTAAGGTATTGGAAAAACAAGAGAGAGAAACACAAAACAAATTGTAACAATTTAAAGATTAATAAACATTCAAACAAATAAAACCATAGCCCGTGGTTAAATTAGTAAATTAATTGCGGTCATTAATTAATCGTGATAGGTGAATAGTGAAAGTCAAAAGAAATGGTCAGAAATTGAGACAATTAAAACAAAATGAGAGAGAGAGAGAGAATAATTATTAGGAAAAATTAGTTAATTAGAACAAATAAAACAAACAATCAACGGACTACACTGGTCAAGAGGTCAGACTAAGTTAATTAATCGCAATAGGAGGATATGGAAAGGTATTAATGATAATAGTAATGAGAAAATTACAGGTAATTCCTCGTTGAATTTATGTTGATTTACAAGAGTAATACCAGTTTCGGCGATGGTGCTTTTCTTGCTTGGTTTACCAATTATATCTCGAAACTCTTCACAATATTCCTATGGAAATGATGATGATGATGATGATGATAACAGGCAAAGAAGAGAGAGAGAGAAACGATATTATTCATCGGAATAAATCATTGTTAGTGAAAGAGTTAATTGTTTTAAATGAATGAGCAGATTGTTTGATTCATGATAAAAAAAATAATGGATAACAACAACATGGGATCAATGCAGATGGATATTGAAAAATTGAAGGACGATATTGTTGATTAGTTAGAGCGCCATGATAACAAAACTAACGTAATATCAAGTATCGCATATGAGGCAATTAAAAAGTTAACAAATTAATCAAAATTAACCATTTAAGGTGATGATACACTCAGATGAATATCATGCAAACACGTTCACCATTATTTGACTGATTATCATTATTCCTGCAGACATAATAACGACTCTATTGTTAAGATGATTTTCAGGATGATGGTTGATAAATTAACACTCACACACTTAAACAATCAAACAATATATAGTGATAGTAATTAAAATATATATACTATATTATACTTGTTAAATTATCTTGAAACGATATATTATATTAATAATAATTGTAACATTACAAACACACACGCAAATAAAATCAATTTTATGGAGAAAAAAAAAGTTACAACAAAATTAAAATCATCAAACAAATTAAACCATTTCATAGATGGTAAAGTATGTTAATTGTAGGATTGCCGAGAAAATAAACTAATTGTAATCAATTCTCGGCCAGTAGTTAACTGTAATAGTAAGATAATTATTGTAAAGGTAAATAGATAATAACTAAGGATAAAGTGAAACTGTGATTTAAGGTGAAAATCAAAACCTACGCAATTAGTTGATTACATGTTTCAATGAAAATCAGATCTGATTTGAAATTAAAGGGATGATCAAGATGAGAGGAAGATGTAGGAGAGAGAGAGAGAAAGAGAAATGATAGTAAACAACAACATAAAAGAACCTGTTGATTTAGTGAAAGTGAATTGGAAAAAATTTTCTTAATTGTGGAAAAACAGTAAATTATTAATACAATGGTTATTTTCAAGGACTAGTTGAGACATAATTTAGTTAATTTGTAGTAAAACAATCAAAGGAAGAAGATTCAACAATCAGAAACAAAAGCTAAAGCAAAAACAATCAACAAGAGCATGAATAAGAAAGAGAGGACAAATTCAATTGTTGTTAAAGTATCGGAAAAATAAATATTGTAACAATTAATTTGAATGCTATTCTAAAATTGAATGAATTATTATCATCATTAATAATAATGAGCATACAGAAAAAATATAATAATCAAGTGACAAATGAGTAAAAAAAGAGATGAAATTTCAATTCAAACAAATGTCAATCTTACCTCAAATATTGGCCAATTCATGGTCATTCCGACACCGTTATTATTTGACCATAATCTGAGGTCTTTACAGGCATCGGCGTTTTGTATTGTGTGTCTGTACTCTTCATAGATTAAAGGTAATTCGGGATTGGCGGAGATATTAAGGCAGTCATGGATGGCGAATAGCATCTTCTTGAAAAAATCGAGACGCTTATGTTCAAATTCCTGGCACTTATCAAATACAACGGTCATATCTTCAATATACTTGGCATTATAATCACTAATCTCTTTGAGAGACTGTTCATATTTTTCTTTCGTTTTTTGTACTTCCTCTTTACATTTAGCAACTCGATCTTGTAATTTTTTGACCTACGATAGAGAAAGAAGAGAAAAAAGATAAAAATTAATCAATGGAATCAGCTAATCATCATGACAGTAATTAATAAGGAACAGAAAAAGGTAAAGTTAATCAATAAGAGTAAAGTTTATGCAACTGTATATGGAGTGTACGAGTGTGTGTGTGTGTGTGTATGTTGTGGTGTTCAAATTAATGTGACAGATCAAGGTTGATTGGCTTATATGATGATAATGATTAACATGATGATGGAGGTGATAGTAACTGAGCTCATCTCACTAGTTGAGTAATGGTGAAGGTCGTGATTTGAAAGTAAATTTTTTACACAATTATTGTCATTAAAAGGAATCAACAGAAAAGAAAACAAGATTTTCTCTCTCAATCATTTCTTGTTTCTTGTTGAAAAAAAAAATTCATCTTCAGGGAGAAGATAAATATTCTCGGAGAAATTATCACCATCATCATCATCATGTTAATGGCAAAAATTATCACCGGAAGCCAAGCAAATCAGCGTATTTAGATTTATTTTCTTCTTCTTTTTTTCCTTTTCTGTCTGATATGAATAACTATCGACAGGTAAACCAGATTTACCTGGTCAGGTGAGAGGGAAGTGTCTCCGGATGCATTCCGCTCTTGGTTAACCGCTGATCGTTCATTTTTACAGGCTGTATGATAATCAATTTTAGCTTTGTTGACTTTTTCAAAATGTTTAGCCCATGTTTTTTGAGCCTAGAAGATGAAGAGAACAGAATATAAGAGAAACAAATTAGTCACAAATCAATAGTCAAGTAAAACAATAGGAAATTAGAGATTATGTAAAACAGGGATTAGGAAATAAGGGATAAGGAATATGAAGAAACAGAAAGAAATAAGGAAACTGTGGTTGAAAGAATAAGATTAATTCACTTTGGTGCATTATGATGACCTCTAAGTGTAACTCTTTTTAAAGAGGATAATTAAAAGGACTAACTAAGGATAAGGAGATGATTGTCATTTCGATGGATTCTTCATCAAGAGAATAGATGAAAATATCTTCAATTTAGAGTCAAAATTTGTGATGACAAAAAAAATATCCCTTTTCTTTTGTAAACAAAACAGCAAATCATGTAACCTGAGGTTCTGAGAATGAGATACTTTTTGAACTTGAAAAAGGATATCCTTTTGGTTGTTGATATTGTGGAATCAAGATGAACATCAAAACACTGATTAAACATGGAAATTGAAAAACATAACCAAACATAGAGAGAGAGAGAGATGAAAGATTTAAGAGGATTAATGATGAGGAAGAGAGAGAGAGAGAGAGATGATAGAGGATGAGTGGGTAATAATATGAACTAAAATGCTTGAATAATAACTGTAACTGGATTAAAGTGACATTTTTGGCGTTAAGGATAAAATGACATTAAGACAATAGTTGTAAGAGAGGAAAAAAGGTAAAATGTTGAGGGAGGAAGAGAGAAATTTACTTTTTTAAAGGCATCATCGAAATCTTTTTTCTCCTTTAATTGTATCATTGATTTATGGTAATTATCCTTTTGCCATTGTTTTATTTGAGGAACAACATCTTCAACTAATTTATCCTTAATTTGTAAATGAATATTACATCTCCTTTCAGCTTCTAAATTAACTCCTTTCCAAGCAGCTTCCATGGTTCCATATTCTGGTCCTTTCTCAATTTGTTCATTCCATTTCTTGGCCCATCCACGTAAAGATTTACCATAATTTTTCTCGATTTCACTTCTCTCACTAACTAATTGAATTAAATCATTACACAATTTGAAACCATCTTCCGTTCGTTTCGTTGTTCTTTTATAGTTTCCTGGTTCCCAGAAACTGTCACTACTGGAGACCAGCGTCGCTTCATCACTGTGTTGAGACATAATCCACTTGCGAACCGGATAAGATGATAATAAACGTCTTTTCTTATTCCTAAAATAGAAGATACAATTTGAATAACAATTAGTGACCACATCACCAGCGGTAAGAACATAGGTAGAGAAGGACATAATTGACGATGGGAAGAAATTAGAAAAAAAAGAGAGAGAAAAAAAACCAAAATTCTAAACAATCATAACCAATAACAACAACGACACAGGTAATCAACAAAAACTATAGTCATCATCATGTTGGTTTAATTATCAACATCATCGTCATTTATTGAAAACTAAATAAGAGAATAGAGAAAATGAAAAGTAGTAATAATTTTCCAGGTGAATTTCTGGTTTGATTGACTTTCTTTTAGACACTCTAACCAATGGGTCTATCAAAATGTGTATATGACATTCAAGAATACCTTCAATTATATGAGTCTAATTTATCAACAAGGAAAATCAAACATCATCATTTATAATCCCAACTGATTATCCACATAAAATATAAAGGCAATTGAAATGGAAGCTAAAAATCACTATTGTAACGATTATCTAAGAAAATAAAAGAAATAAAAATGAGGAAAAGAAAATAGGAAAATAAAGAAAGAGATAAATATAAACAACTAAATAGGAAAAGAGACAAGGTGAGAGAGACACAGAGAGATTAATAAACACACTAATTTAAATGGAAGATGATTATGATAAATGTTGATTAAGAAATAACATAATTAAGGTGAAAATTAAAGGTTAAACTTAATTACTTTCAAGTAACTTTCAAGTCTTTACGACACTGGAATATGATTTTTACCTGGTGAGAGAGAGAAAGAGAGAGACAGAGAGATAGAGGTTATAGTTGTGTATTAGAAGGAAACAAAAAAGTCACAGTAATCACAGTAAATGTAATAATCTACTCGGTGAATAATAAAACAGAAACACGACAATTAATCAGCACAATAATGACAACAATTGATAGAGAGGAAAAAGATATAAATTAAGGTGTAAATAAATTGACACAATTTGAAAGAATGATACATAGCAGAGAGAGAGAGAGGATAGAATATAAAAAATATCAACCGTAGACGTAAGAGAGATTGAGAGAGAGAGAGAAACACAGAGAGAAGATAAAGAAGACAAGAATAAGAAAATATCTAAGAAAAGAAAGGTTTGTGAAGATAAAGAGAGAGAGAGTGAGTTGGATGATAAGAGAGTTGAGGACAAGGCAGAAAATAAGCAAAAGGAAAACCTTAGGTTTCTTTTAACGAGACTGTAGGTTGTTTGTTGTTATGGTAAACAGTTTGGTGAACACAAAATTCAAATGGATTTTTGGTAATTAAACATTAATCGTGTGATGATTAGTTATGTTCAATGATGAGTGAGAGAGAAGATGATGATGTTGAGGATGATCCAAATTAAATTCACTTCTAGTAATCACAATTAACCGGATAAACTAAATCAAAAGTTGATTTTCCAATTTCAATAACATTGTTTTTCCTCTTGTTTTTTTTCTGGTTTCTTATTTACCAATGGAAATGAATCTCGATCTCTCTAGCTCTCTCTCTCTATCTCACCATTGATTACCAAGTGAAATGATTGAAGATAATCACAAAGTGGATTAATAATCTTACCAGAGAGATTAATTAACTGTTGATTGTTGGATTAACTTAAACCAGATGGACAACACATGAGGCTCCGATTTTCTGGTTTCCTGGTATTTTCTATAAAATCACTTTCTCTTGGTCGCTCACTCTCACTCTTTCTCTGTCTATGGTGATGACAAGAGATGATAATTACTATGATGATGGAACAAAAATCAAAGGATATTTACTGTTGATTATTTAATAACAATAATGATTATGATGAATGGAGAGAGAGAGAGAGAAAAGAAATTAATTTACAAGTTCAATGGACTCACTGATACATTCTAATGTTTTTACATGAGAAAACATGATGAGAAAAAAAATTCTTTCAATAATCAAATGAAGAGAGTGATGAGGATGAAGAAGAGAATCTCAATTCTCGTTAGAATTTTCGTTTATCTGTTCTCTCACTAACTCACTCTACCTTCTCACTCACCTCTCCCATTTCATCTTAACCTCTTCTTCTTCTCATCATCATCATCATCATTTTTTATTAACTAATATTCAAACCTGTTTACGTTTCCATACATGAAGTATGTATATGAGGTACAAGTTGTTTACTGTGTGTATGTTTGTTGTCCAAGCAAATAACTGGTCTGGCTGATGAACTATCATCTCAAGATCATCATCATTATCATCAGAATTAAAATTAGCTAATTGGTTGATCAATTCAAGTAATTCAATTTGTGGAATCAATTGTCAAATTATTTTGATTCTCGTTGTATTACTTTTATTCAATTTTGATCAATATCAATGAAGAAAACCTTGACTTCTCAATGTATTTGATTAGCTTGTTAATTGATTGACTTACATTGGATGGTTTGTTGTGTTAATTGTTGATAATCAAATAATTGTTGATTTGATTTCTCAGTCATCATCTAATATCCAGGAATCAGGTTAATCTTTTGATTGCTCAGTTTGTTGATTGAATTTTCATAGTTTTACACTCACACACATTAATACAGTATACATGTGATGAATTTACTAAAGAAACAATTTAAATTGTCATTGATTGTAATCTAATTAATTTGATTTTTATGTAAACAATTTTATCTGAAAATCAAGTTAATATCATTAATTGTAAGACAAGAAACAATGAGAATTGATTTAGAAGGGAAAACAATCAAATTGTTAATTTCTATCTAACTGTTGATGATTTAACCAGGAAGAAAACAGATTTAATGAAATGATATTATTGCGAATTTAAATTGTTATGGTTAATGATAGAGAGAAAAATTTGATTGACAAATTGTTCCATTTATTTGATACCTAAATTGTTAATAATCAATAATCATTAACAATAATAATATTGTTCACAATTTGTATTAACTAAATTGCAATAACACAATTAAGAATTTTTTTTCTTCACAATTTACATGTAAATTAATAAATTGTAATCGATATAAAGAAATGACAATTAAATAAATTACCTTTTTTCTTACTTAACCAGGTTAATATTGATCATAGAATCAATCAGACTGGTTACATAGTCTAACTAATTGAATTATATCAGAAAATGTTTACAATCTAAACGTTTTTTGTTAATTGAGTCAAAGTTAATCAAAAACAATTGAAAAAAATTTAACCCATAATCAAACAATCAAATTACCAGGACCAGGTATAAATCCATTGAATTGATGATATTTCAATTATGTTTCATGATGAAAGAAAATAACAATGAAAACCAGTCACCAAGTGTTAAAGTGTGTTCATGATAATGAGATAATTGAATTGAATTGTTTCAACAACAATCATAGACGATAATCAGTCTAAATACCTGCTACTGATATCGGTGTTGCATGATGACCATTTCTAAATAGCCATTTAACTACAAATCAACACGGTGAACGACTTTTTTTGTATTACATGAAGATCTACCTGGAAACTGGTTTCAGAGAGAGAGAGAGAGAGAGGAGATAAACATGGTGATGATAATGAGAAGATGAGAAAATGAAAATGAAAATGAAAGAGAAGACCCTGTTGGCTCTTTCTTTTTCTCATGAATGAAGTTTGTAACCGTAAGTACGTTGAACTTTTCATTAATTTCTGAAGCTCCATCATCTTCATTTTCATTTTCATCATCATCATCATCACCATAATCACCATGATCATCTTAAAAGGAAAGAAAAACTCACACGATAAAATAATTTAAGAGGAACCATTTTGTTTTCCAACATTGGATAATCCAAATGGACACAAACAAAAAAAACACCAAAACAAAATTCAACAATTTGACCAATTGAATTATGATCAAGATGAAAACAATTTACTAATCTCTTGAAAAGGTTAACACTGATTACCAATAAATAGAAAAATAACAAAAAAAAATTAATAAAAGTAAAAGGAATCAATTAATTAATTGAAAAAAAAGAAGTTTGAAAATAAACAGAAACAAAATGGAGGCAAAAAATGAGAAAAGAACAAAAAGAGAATAGAAAACGAAACCGATCACATGTTAGTCATTTGCTCTTCGTTAACCTTTGGGTTTGTTTCTTGTTTTTTATTCTTAATTGTTGGTAATTCTTTCAATTTGTTGTTCTCTTGATGGTTAATTGTTTAACCTTGACTAGTTAATCATCTTCTTCATTAATTGTAACCATTTCGAAAGAAACAACAATTGGATTAATCATTTTATGAGAATTTAAAGTGAATTGTTTTCGTTGAGATGATTAACATTTTCTATTCTAAATACATGTAACCATGAGTAAGTCTCTTTCTACCTTTACCTTAACTCTACCTTCCACCCACCCCACCCCTTCTTCATCTTTCTTTTTTCTTCTTTCTTCTCTTTCGCTTCTTTTCTCTCTGTCTTCATTTTCAGTGAACTCTTTCTCTATTCTCTTTGAGGTTTCATCTTTTTTTTTACTGTTCTTTTCTCTTCCTCCCAGTCTAAAATTCTCTTCTCTCTCGGGTCTTATTTTTTATTCCTCTTTACTTCATGTTCATTTCTCTCTCACTCACTCTCTTTCTTTCCTCCCTCTTTCTCATTTCAACTGAGCAGCAATGAGTGAATCATGATGATGGTGATAATTTTTGCTACTGTTAGTTTTCATTCATCTTCTTCTAATCTTCCTCTTCTCATGTCCTCCTCATCTCAATTTCTCTGTTGATATTTGTTTTTAATCTGATATTTTTGTTTCTCTTTCTTCATATTCTGGTTCTTGTGTCTACTTATTGTATCCCAACATCTCTCTCTCACTCTCTTTCTATTTATACTGTTTCCTTTTCTTCAACATTACCCATCATCATCTCCATCAATTTATTGTGATTCTCTTTCAGGACTATGTATGTGTTTGGTCAAGTGTAATTAAAATCTAATTGTGATCTGGGTCATCTGACAAGTGCAACTTAAATTCATCTTGTCTCTTTCTCACACACAAACACCATCAACATCATCATTATCTTCTGATTTTCCCTCTCTACAAAAATGTATCTCTCTCGCATTTCTAACTAGTGTATTGTCTTGTTATTGCTTTGAAAATCAGTAATCTCCGATCAGATAATTTGATTGAATTTCCACCTAATCAATTTATTGTTATCTAAACCAATTCTAAGGTAAGTGTAAAACACATTCTACCACTCGGATATCTGTGCTTCCAATGTTTACATCACCCGAAAATCTGATCCTTCTCATCTGGTCAGCATAAAATCAACTGGAAATACTCATTTTCTTTTCTTCTTTTTTGTTCCTTTCCTTTCCTTTCCATTTCACCTTCTTCTAATCTCATTGATCTTCTATCACCATCAAAAATCTATCGGCAAATCAACTAATCTGTGTTTCTTCTTGGGCATCTGTTTTCTCTTTACCATTTTTTTCTTCTTCTCATCAACCGGAAGAGTTTTGGTGGAACATTTGTTTCTATTCTTTTTCATGTTGGTCTAATGACTATGTCTCATCACAGTGATGAAGCGATGCTGGTCTCCAGTAGTGACAGTTTCTGGGAACCAGGAAACTATAAAAGAACAACGAAACGAACGGAAGATGGTTTCAAATTGTGTAATGATTTAATTCAATTAGTTAGTGAGAGAAGTGAAATCGAGAAAAATTATGGTAAATCTTTACGTGGATGGGCCAAGAAATGGAATGAACAAATTGAGAAAGGACCAGAATATGGAACCATGGAAGCTGCTTGGAAAGGAGTTAATTTAGAAGCTGAAAGGAGATGTAATATTCATTTACAAATTAAGGATAAATTAGTTGAAGATGTTGTTCCTCAAATAAAACAATGGCAAAAGGATAATTACCATAAATCAATGATACAATTAAAGGAGAAAAAAGATTTCGATGATGCCTTTAAAAAAGTAATTATTTATATTCACTATTTCCCCTGTTAATTGAACCTCCAATTTCACTTATAATTCATCTCATTCAGATTCATTTTCTTTACGGAAATCACCTCTCTCTCTCTTTCTCTCATCTTTCCCTCTCTTTTCTCTTCTTCTTCTACTAAAATTCTTATTTCTTTACTCATAAGCTTCAACCGTCTTGATGATTTTCCGCCATTTTACCCTTGAATTGTTTACAGTAGATTCATATGAATTCTTATACAAATTGAATGTATAACCTTTTCCTGTAAGAACAATAATCTTATCCCATGCATGTTAAACATTCAATAGATTGAAGGATTTATTGTACTCTGTGTATTTTTATTGTCACTTTTTCTTCTCAACAATTGATTTCGATTAATTATCATCTTACCTAATTTTTGCTTATCTTCTCTTTGCTTTCCCTTAACCCTTTTATTGTTTCGACACAGGCTCAAAAAACATGGGCTAAACATTTCGAAAAAGTCAACAAAGCTAAATTAGATTATCATACAGCCTGTAAAAATGAACGATCCGCCGTCAATCAAGAGCGAAATGCCTCCGGTGATACTTCACTATCTCCAGATCAAGTAAGTTTTTGGCTCTTTTCCAGAATCAAAACAAATTAACCACCTAATTTACTCCTTTCATTATTTTTCTATCTGGTTGGTTTATCATTGTTTTCTAATTTGTTTTTTTTCTATTACTCTTTTTTTTCTTACCTGTCTCAGGTCAAAAAACTTCAAGACCGAGTAATTAAATGTAAAGATGAAGTCCAGAAGACAAAAGAGAAATACGATCAAGCGCTAAAAGAAATCAATGAATACAATGCCAAGTATATTGAAGACATGACTGTTGTGTTTGAAAAGTGCCAAGAATTTGAGCATAAGCGTCTTGAATTTTTCAAGAAAATGCTATTCGCCATCCATGGCTGCCTTAATTTCACCAACAATCCTGATTTATCGTTAATATATGAGGAATACAGACACACAATACAAAACGCTGATGCATCAAAAGACCTTAAGTGGTGGTCAAACAATAGTGGTATCGGTATGCCCATGAATTGGCCTGTTTTCGAGGTAAGGACTCGAACTTCTCTCTTTCTCTTTCTTTTCTAGTGAGATGAAAGTTATCCAATTGATATTGATTTCTCTCCGGAACAGAAAATGGAAATTGATTCTGAAACAAGTTAATGATAAAAACAAATAATCAACTTCTCACACATTTACAATGGTTAATTTCTCTGAAATCATCATTTACATATTGACCTGTATTGAATTGCTTCATAGACATCAGTAATATGCATTAAGATCTGATAACTGACTAAATTCGAATTTTATTCATATTAACTCTATCAAATGATTCTATAATCAAGTTTAATAATCAAAGTTAAATTCATTATTTCTGAATATATATCAATGTGTCATGATCAAATCATGTTTATACTGAGCAATTGTTTAGATTAGCTAAACTTAATGAATATATTAATCTTGAAACAATAATTAATTCATACTTTAAATCATTCATCATTTCATTTATTCTTCAATCAGATGAATTTCATAATTGAATATTTTATTTCATCATTGATAAAATAATTATACAATCAAAGTCAATTCAATCATATATAAATAACTGATTGTTTGGAGAAAACAAAAATCGTAATCCCAATGATTAAATCAAATGAAGCCATTGAAATTCATTGTCTATCATGTTTGATACAGCCCATTGAATAGCCTTTAAAAATTAACTTGATTAACTTTTCTTTTTCTCTCATCGATCGATAATTACTAATCAATCTTTCAATAATTAACTTCTTTTTTTTATTTATCTTTCATCAACCAGTTTTCATTATCTTTGTTATTTTTTCTTCATCTTTAGGCATGATTGTCAATGAATATTTTAATTTTGCATGAATTAATTTAATTATTAACGCATTTTCTATCGTTTTTCTTTCCCTATCAATTATTATCCCAGGAATATATTGAAGAGTTTCGAGATATAATTGGTAAAAATAGCAAGGAAACCCGCAGTATGAGTGAAACTGGTATAACCCTTGTCAACCAACATAAATTCAACGAGGAATTGCCTGTAAACAATTAACTTCTCATCTTTGATTGCGATTTAATTTCTCTTTTGCTATGCTTGCATCACTTTACCTTTTTTTTACTCAATTCTATTTCCACTTTCATTATCATTCATCCATTTCAATAATAATAATAACCCAATTTCTCAACTAACTATCACTGAAAATTTCAGCTTCAATCTATTAATCAATTGCAATTAGTTCATCATTTGAGATTATCTTTTACCATCAAGGTTTAAAATTTATATTCCATAGAAAACTTGACATCTCTGCTTGATTCTCATCTCTAACCAAAGTAACAATTAACATTATCGCCAACACATCATCATCACAATTATCATTTTCCTTCTGTATTATTAACATCATCTCCATAATTTCTCGTTGCCTATTACGCTTTTTGATCTAGTTCTGTCTAATTAATTAATCATCACTGATCAACATGAAAAAAAAACAAACCGAATCAATTCAATAACCTTGATAAGTGAATTTCCTCTTTACAGGAAATTTCATGCATCATAGGTGGTGATGGTTAATGATTTTTTAGTCTATGATTGACAGTAATGATTAGCCAGTGTAATTTTAATTTCTTTTGGGCTTAAAGCTTATGCTACAATTGAATCATAATCACCAAAATAACATGCATTATCATGAGTGAATTGTTTTGATCACAAATTAATATTATTCATTTTTTTTCTAGGAATATACATCGGAATTACAATTATCGAAACGAGAGAAACGAAACATGAAAGGAGAAATAACAATAGAACAAGTTAAATTAACTAATGAGATGAACTTGGCGAATTCAATGAACAAATTGAACAAATCAATTAGCGACAAACGAGATTCACACGACTCGTAAGTGTCATTTACATTTTGAAACTAATTTACAATCATTTAAATCAATCAAACAAATGACTAACTGATTATCAAATTTAACTATCACTTTTTTTCATTATTAACTTTTTCTGTCGTAATTTGTGAATTGATTACTTATCAATTTTTTATTAATTCACTCATTGAAACGAAATGCTTCAAACTTTCACTTTGTCTGTTCATTCATAAGTTTATTTTACTTTCCATCAAGTTGACAATCAATTGATTTTAAAATGATTCAGAAAGTAATCACTTTTTTCCTCTCTTGTTGTAATAGAAATGGTAAAACGGAAAGTAATCCATTCGATGATGACCACGAAGAATGGGAAGACTATACAAATGATGCCTTAGTCGACAACGGAGAACCAGGAATACCCGTTCGTGCTCTTTACGATTACGAAGGTGCCGAATCAGATGAACTGTCTTTCAAAACAGGTAATTGTCATTCTAATTGTAGAAAATTTTCCCAACTTTTTTCAAGAGTTTTAATATCCTTTGTTTATTTACTTATTCTTCCAGGGGATATATTTGATAAATTGGAAGATGAAGATGAACAAGGTTGGTGTAAAGGTCGAAAGGATGGACGTGTTGGTCTTTACCCTGCGAATTATGTAACACCGATCGTAAAATAGACTGTTTAAACTCTTGATTGACCTTTTTATCTGTTAATTATCATCATCACTTTACCTCTTTTTGACCTTGGAGAACATCATAGAGAATCGAAAGTCAAATCAACATACTCTTCGAACAAAGAAAAAGCTTCCTCATCAAATCTTCTGCATCTATTTTGGAAAAAAAATTACCTTCGGAAACAAAGGAATCAGCAAATGTTTTATTAATGAGTGAATCAAATCAACCAAACAACAAAACCTCAGGAAACCTCACAATAGTCATCATTATCATCTCAATTATCATGTGATCATCTTAATCAACTATCATTCACATTGACATTTTAACTTGTTTATTTTCAAGTTTGAAGCCTCTCCAATAGTAAACAAACATCAACATATTAAAATACATTATCTATTAGATGTCACTTTTTAAACGAAACTGACATTTAGCACATAATGTATTTGGTGACAGTTCAATTTAATTTGATTAGTGTTGATTCAATCAAAACAAACAACCAAAAGTTTGATTTTTTTTGTAAAGTATCAACTTCAAATCTAATCTTTATTTAATTTTAATTTGTGATTGTCACCATTTCCATCTAGATAGTTTCTCAATGAGTCTCATGTTTTCTGTTTCGTTTTTCATGACACACAATAATTTTATTGATTTACATGGTCAATCGATTAATGAACTTTTACTCTGATCGTTTCAATGGCCATTATACATATATTTCATCTAATATTTATCATAACAAATCATAATTACTATTATGATTACTCATGATTAATACATTTTCTAAATGCAGGAACAATCATTTGATTGAGTTACATTGTTTTCTCATTATTTCCCTGCATTTTGATTTTATTTGATTCAGATTAATTTATTCAATTTTCGCTTATTGTTGCACATATATTTTATTTCAAACAATCATATTATTAGTATTTTATTACAATTTAATTATCATGATAATCTCTCACACTTTTATCATCAGCACATTCATCAATACAAACACAAATAAGCAATATGATATTTACCTTTTTCTTTTTTTTAATTGTCTATGTAAATAATATCTTCGCCAGAGTATTGTTATCTTCATCATCATCTTTACTTTGAAAGAAAAAGCCAAACTCGAAAAGCAATGGAACTCAAGGAAAAGAAATCATCCCGATAAATCAACTGAATTTCACTAATTTTATTATTATAACTTAATCTAAACAATCAAATCAATCTCTTTGTTGAACATTACGAATAATTTTTTTCGGGAGTTGTATTAATCTAAAATTTTCCCTTTAATCCAATATCTTTCATCACTGACAATTAATCCAATGGATAGAGAGAGAGAGAGAAAGTGTCATTCCCTTTACCCTTTCAGTTAATCTACTGTAATGAACAAAATTAATGTTTACTGTTAATTGTTGATATTTAGAAATTGTTGGTTTCACTTTAACAACAACAAATCTAATTACGTGAGAAAATTATTATTAATTATCTCAACTTTTTGATCTGATTTTCTCTCCTCAGATTAACCAATTCATTAATCTAATCTAATCTGAATTTGAAAATATTTTGTATCACAAAACAATTGCGAAAACAAAAACAAAAACAAATCTTCCACTAATTAACTTAATTATCTCAAACCACAATAACATTCAAATACCATTAATGTGATAACAACTCTTTCTATTGATTAAACATTGATCATTTTCCTTCAATTGGTTTTCATCTTTTTCCTTTTACATTTCTATTGTCCGATCTTCCAAAAATTTAAATTGTTCAATTAAATTCACTGATTTGTTTCAAATGATTTAATACAAAATTGGATTAAGTGGATACACAATTTATCTGTATAATATTATGTCTAAAATTGAACATTGAACATTAATTATTCTTCACCGGTAATTATTTTTTTCCCTCCTTTGAAAACTTTCGTAATTGTCAATTCCATTTCTGCGTCGTTTAAATTGTTCACTGTTTGGAAACACTTTGCGAAAAAATCTTCGAGCGTTTTATAAAGGTGAATCTGTTCATCATGCAGAGCATGTTCAGCATCAGGGTACAACTATAAGTGAAAGAAAATGAATGAATAATCAAATGAATATCGAAAATCTTGTTTGTACATAAATTCACCAGTTGAACTGACCTGAACGCGAACCGGAACATCGCTATCGGTTAGAGCTTTAATGAGTAGCATCGAGTGTTGAATATTCACTTTGCTATCAGCAGTTCCATGGATGACCATCAATGCCTTATCCTTTAAACCGGAAACTCTTCTGAATAAATCGGAACGATCGTAGTTCATGAAATTATCTTGTGGCCATGGGAGTCCCATTGTTTTCTCCATGAAAAAAGAGGCTAAATTACAGAGGAACACAATTAATATACCAGAAGCATTTCTCTAAGACAAATCGTATGAATTTTAATACCATAATTGCTCCAACTGGTGACTGGGGAAATTGCGATTCCACAATTGAAAGCGGAATCTTGAATCATTAACGATGTCACCAAATAACCGCCGATCTCTGAGCCCACCAAAGCGATTTTATCTTCTTCCACATAGTTAAATCGCTCTTTTAAAGATCTAAAATTGTATTAGAAATAATATCTTAAAGTTATCTGGAATCATCAGAATTTTATCAAAAGAGATTACCTGATCACCTTAACCAAATCGTTCGAGTCAATTACTCCCATTTTATGCTGAATTGAATGTTTAAAAGCGTTTCCTTGATAACCCGATCCTCGAATATCAATAAATGCTACAATATAAGCTCGTGTTCCAGCCAGATAATGATCCCAGGATAGTTGATTGATGTTCGATATCGATTGGCCTTCTGGTTCATTATTTCTGGGGAGAAAATATCAATGAAACTTTTTAGATCAGTTTATGTTTATCGAAATGATATCGAAGGAAAAAATCTACTCACAATTTGATAATCATTGGATATTTAATGCTATCGTTTTCATCCAGTCCTGGTGGAAGGAGTAACTTCACTCGACCTGAAATATTTTCCTCTAACGAGATTGTATAATATCTTATGATTGGAATCGCTCTCGAATCAAGATATTCCTGGAACCATGGGAACGTGTCTAGAACCTCTGTAAGCTCATTTGTTGACACGAAACGAAGCTCAGTCCTTGGAACTCCTGGACCAAGACATTCAAGGATATAATATTCAGAATCCGATGAGAATTTGGCTTCGTTGTGTGTACAGGAAGGACCAAGATTACAGGAAAGACAATTTATCACTCGAGGATTATCATGTTCGGTATCAGTTATCGAGAATATATGGCGAATGGAAGGATTCGTTTCGATTGTTGCTTGATAAAATCTGATAAAAATCATCATGAAATAAGAAAAAAATGAAATTTCATCAGTGTATTAACATTCATCTTCACTTACAGTGTATGTATATCAGCTCGATGAGTATATAACTTGGTGACAATGAATTGTCCATGTGTAAGATGATAACGTTTATTACCATTTCGTGTGAACATTACAATGTGATCGAATGTACCTGAAGCTCCATCAGCAACAGGTAATATCATGAAATAATATTCTAAATTACTAGTGAACAAAGGTGAAGATTTTATATCAAGCCATCCATTTGGAGCATTTAAATATTCCTCATGTAGCTTCAAGAATAAATTGAAAACAAAACATGATAATTTAATCTTTAGCATGATTGGAATATGTGATCATTAATAACTCACCATATTACACTGCCAGTTTGAATTTTCATCACACAGTGTAACGATTGAGTAGTTCTGAGTTCGTTCAGACCAAACAACCGAAATCTTATCAGTCCCAATCCAGGAAACAGTTTTAATATAATATTGCCTAGAACGTGATGATGAATAAAATTGGGTCACATTATCGAAAGTGACTTGTTATTATTATTACTTACGTTCCTATGAATTTATCAGGAGCTCGAATGTTCTTGATTTCAACTGAGTCTCCATGTAAAATGGTTATTCTCACATTCACAATTGGATTGTTTCGTCCGGGTTTTGGATAAGGGATGTTGACGATTTTCGGGTAACTTAATGGATCAGTTACAGTTAATGTTTCGGTTAAGTTATAAGGTGGCCCATAAAACAGAATAGGCATTCGGTCAACTGCTGTATTATCAAATGATAGAAAACAAAATTTCGTTCCATCTTCACTCCACCAAAGTGCTTTGTTATCACGAAAGATGAATTCTGAATGAGAATGATAATATGATGAACAGAATTATATTATCAATGAATGAAATTTTTCTTTTAAGAGAAAATACCTTGATACAAGATGTCAGGAACTCCATTGTAAATGTTACCATTAGCGCCAGAATTGGTTATAAAAATTGGCTTGGAATTGAACTTTGGAAACAATATTATATCTTTGGAAATGACGATGATCTGATCATATCGATATAAGTAAATACGATTAAACTACTGAGTTTTCCACAGAACATTATCGATTATCTTACCAATTGACTTCCAATTGGTCCCCACTCAATATAATCAATCTGATAGTCGTTATCTAATCCTGGTGCGGTGATTGAGATCATGTAGCTGTTTTTGGTATCGTAAACTTTGTAACGAGCTTTATAAGCGTAGTTCGTACTTTTTTTCACATCATGAACCAGAAGAATGTATCTTCCATCATTTGATACACTGAATCGATCGATTCTCAGTTTACCCTTAAGGTAGAAACATTTTGAGATAATAGATGGTAAAAAACACGAAAAATATTAATATTATAATAATGTACTTTTTGCGATGAATTTCAATGGCTAAAAAACTAAGGATAACTCACTATCGTCGCATTTGATGCTAAAATTGTATTCCATTTGGAGGAGATGTCATGTTTCATTAAACTTCCATCAGCATCTTCATAGACAATTTCTCGATTTGAAAGCCAAGTTATATTTTGAATTCGCGCCTTAAAACGATGGGAAAACACTTCATCAAGACGAATCCGCTCTTTTCCAACCACAGCTTCTGCTTTGCGAATATCAAATCCAAAGAATTCAAAAATTGAACAATTAATGTGCATTCAGTTGGAATATTTTGTTAATCGTTAGTTAAGACAAACTTACGTGGATTAAGTATTAGAATTGCTCCAGTAATTACTGTGCAAATGCTCGCGATGACTAGAAGAGCGATGAAAATTCCCTTCCAATTCTTTGGTTCGACTGTAGCTACAGTTAACTCCTTCGAAGTTCACAAATAACGATTAGTATATTCAAAGTTATCAAAGAAAAATGAATACGAATACGAAAACGAAAATGTAAATGTAAACATTAGAGTTTATCTGAACTAGTAGTTCAGCTCAATAAACTCCATTACAAAGATAATCTGTTATCACTTTTACAGATAAACAATGAGCTTTATCATTCTTCATTCTTGCTTCATTCTCAATTCATCTATAGAGCGATCAAATCGAGATATTGGTGAGGCAGTAAAGGTGCTAATGGAGTATCAATTAAAACTAATTCGTTAACTATCAACAGTTATGAACAAGACCATTTGCCGGTTTGCCAGAATTTAGTCAAAAAACAACATCAAAACCATCATTTTCACGTGTAGTATTATCTTCATCCTCATCAGCCTCATTATCAACAACAACCAAACCAATATCACCACATTCTCAGCCAACACACCAGAAATAGAACCAATTAAAAAATCAACAGAGTCATCGCTTTTATCATCATCTTCGTCAATTCTAAATCAAATGAAAACGCCTGAACCAAGTCTATGTTAACAAATGAAATCCTGGGCAACTGATGTTGACACTGACAATTGATAAAAAAAATGTAAAACCAACTACCTCAATCTTACCATCTACATTTACACCCTCATCATCACAATCAGAATCATCTGAAGCATAAACAGAAGTTATCTGATAACCCAGAGCATCAAGTTCTAGAATTTCAAACACAAAAATAGATAAAAAATCAAAAAATATAACCATTCTCACGTTTTAATCGGCAAAAACTCATGCACTAAATGTTGAATTTATTATTCTATTAACTTGATAATCAATGATTGTAATCAAATACATACCTCTTTGAATGAGTCCATCATTTGACCAGCCTGTCTTTATTAAGACAGATTAGCCTCTCGATAAGCAATTAAATTGAGCTATCAAGTAACGATCGTCGATGGATTTGATTTATTGATTGATCTATCAATAGTTGAGATAAATCAATTTCCAAATGAAATTATGTGTATGAACTTATTAAGAAACAGAATTCATAGAAAATCAATCAAGAGATTATTATAAACGATGATGATTGTAAATTAAGTTGAAATAGATTTTAGATTAATAGTAAATGTCTGTAATATTCATAAAATTATCTATTATTTCTTGTATTGTTAGTTGATTTAATCTACTAATGAATTAATATCAATTGAATTGATGAGATAATTAGGTAACGATTAAACTAATTAATTGGTAATTGGTAATTGTTGACATTATTTTTCTTGCTATTTGCACAAGTTGATGGGAATTGTTATGATGTAAACACTTGAGATTTTATATGAATAACAAGATGATTTTATTAGGAACATGAAAGAGGAATCATATTAATACGTTGAAACGATAATTGCATCATGAGAAGTTGATTGATTTTCATCACATCATTTTCTTTGTGTCACATTATTTTGAAATCTTTCAAATATTATATTCGATTGCATTGAAGAAAATCGTAAAACAAAAGATAATTCAGACAGAAAGAGTGTTGAATTCTATTATATCTAATAGATTCTGATGGTTGATTCGTTTTCTTGACAGAATTTTCATCCTTTTTTCTTCTTTACAATTTGTCTGTTTCTCTTTCTTTTTCAGTCTATTTTTCTCTTTCTTATCATAATTTTTTCTCTCTCATTACATTACTGGCTCATCCTTATTCCTTTGTGCTCATGAGTATTTTGAAAATTTAGTCATGATCAGAAATAAGGATTATGATGAACAAGATATAATGTAAGATGAATTCTAGGAAGGAAGGGAAAGGAATAAGAGAAGCAGAACTAAAACTAATCGGGTTGTATTTCAATTCTCTAGATTTTTATCAGCTCTTCCTGGTGGCATCGAATCAAAGATAAAGTTGATTCGCTTTTGATATGAAATCGATAACTTGACTCATCTTCCACTATACTAGATGTCCTTAGTCTCTATGATTGAAAAAGTTTTCCAATCTTCCAAAAGATGATCATTCAAAGTTCTGAGTAAATTCTTGAATGTCTCATATAAAACTAACCAAGATGACCAAGCAAATGCAGGTAAGTTCATATTTAGTATTATGTTATTTTCTAATAACAATTTCTGATCTGGACAACGGTTCATGAGAAATCCTGATGAAAGAATTACTATTCAGCACGAGCACAAATAAATTTATTAATATTTGAAGAGCCGAGAAAGAAAATGCGAAAAAGGTAACTAAGAGAGGAAGAGTAAAAAAAGAGAGAAGAATTTATTTTCGCTCGTTAATTTAGATTACATGATATTTCCAATAAATTGTTGAAAAGTTATCCAAGTAAAAGTTTGTCCAGTTTTCGAGTGATAACTCCTTTATCCTCATTGTTTACTGCTTATATTTTTGCGGCTGTGATCTTAATTGTAGTGTTGCTTGTTGTTATATTGCGGACTGCTTTTCTATTGATACTGGTTACCGTGCTGGGCATGATCGTTGCTGTTTTCGTCGTTTTGATAATACCTGTTGCTGTATTTGTTTTGGTAGTAAATAAGTTGATCAGTAATCGTCATTGTGAATACAACTTACTTCTTAACCTGGATCAACTGAACTGATTTCAATGGGAACGAGAGCCTTCCCTCCGTCACCTCGACGTCCAATGTCCTATCATTTCCTGCGAAGCCCAGCAAAAGACTTTAAAGCCATAAATTCAATGATGAAACTTAATTCATCTGGTAATGAGAAGAATATTACAAGATGATACTAACGAAAGTGATCCAGTTACCCGACGACATGGAGAGAAACCAGTACTTCGATCAATGATCGATAATATTTACACTGAACGACAAGAAGATGATACCGAAGACAATGCTGACATGGATATGGAATAAAAGAGGAAACTGATTGTATAATAATCATCAATCATTATTAACAACCAATTAAAGCTTTTTAAAATCTAACATTTTCGATTCATAAAATATTGTATGTAATTACAACAATGATTAATGTATCTCTAGTTTTGGATAGACGACGGTCATCACGATCATTAATAATCATAAGCTTAGATTAATTAGGGAGATAAAATTATTTAAAATTAAAAGTTGAACCAATTTGTTTCCTCAACTGTTCGAGGTAACCAATGTTTCATTTAATCATGAAAAAAGTATTAAAACAAATTGTGATCTGTGTGAGTGAGGTGAGGAAGAAAAAGATTACATATCATGTGAAACAGAAGGTATCATGGTAAAAGAATGAATGTGGAATATTGGTCGTGGTCCTGGTTGTGGTATTAGTTGTTCTTCTATTGCTGATGTTGAATTTTCGGTTGGGGGGTTAGAATGGTAGGCCTGCTCTCGCGTTTGTTAGTTGTAACTTTTGTTGTCTTTCTAAACCTCTATCCCGCGATAATGGCTTACGTCATAAATCCGGTCCAGCGTTTCATGCCTTGCCCGGTCAAATAACTCATCGAACCCTTCATCTTCAACTATCTGTTGGCGACTTGGTGAGGATTGATTGCTGCCAAGATCCCCTTTGATCATGGCGAAAATTGAAAAAACAGTTACAATTATAAAGATGAAATTCATTTTATGTTTATGTAAAGGGTGTTTCACTTAATAAGTTGAAAAATGGGAGCTGGTAATAAAAATTTATCTCACTTATTTTATCTAAGGATAAAAGGATAACTACTGTATCAATGTTAATAATAATGATGATGTTATAACAATTAGAAGATGAATATTTTTTTCACCATTGAAAAGATCCTTTTTAATAAAAAGTTTTTATGCGAAAACTTTACATCGTCAACGTTGCTATAATCTGTGTAAATAAGATACTGATTAACTGAACAATTATTCAATTGATTCTGATATTTACTTTTTTTCTTACAGCATAGATGTCAAGTTTCTGTAAATAATTCGTGATAAGCTTAATTCAACGAGATGGATTCTAATTTTATGAGGTTCGATTTGATTTCATCAATCAAATCAATCAATAATTTCTAATGGGACCTTAATTTCTATAACTTTATCGGTATAAAAAAAATAATCTAATATGACCAAGTAACAACATGGTGAATACAAATAAACCTTTGAAACTATAAAATTCAACGATTTTCATTAATCATTGAACTAATTGACTATTAAATTAGTAAAAATATTTGTTCAGATGATTTACCCTCTTAATTGTTTATTAGAGTTAAAATTTTTCAGTGTTTATAACCTTAAGGAAACTTGTTGAATAGTAAGAATGATTACCTTTTCTCATTTAATTGTCGATATCATGTGAACTGGTATAATGACTAATTAAACAATAGATCCGCTCAATAGTATATGTAATGATGGTAAAGATTAAGAAGAAAATTTGTTATCTTATGTTAAACATTAATATTCACTTTTGAATATTAATGTAAGTTACCTATTGGTTTAGGTATTGGCGTTAAACACTAATATTCCCTTTTGAATATTAGTGTCAGTTACTATTGGTTTAGGTATTATGTTAAACACTAATATTCACTTTTGAATATTAGTGCCAGTTACTATTGGTTTGGGTATTGATGTTAAGCATTAATATTCACTCTTGAATATTAGTGTAAGTTGTCTATTAGTTTTGGGTATCGGTGTAAAACATTAATATTCGCTCTTGAATATTAGTTTATCAAGAAAGAGAAGAGAGAGAAGGAGTCTAAACTTTGGATCTTTCTTTTGTAATATTCCAATTAATTGTTTTATAATATTGTAAATTCGAGGAAGAATAAGATAATTTTGGGTTGCTAACTAAAATCTAATTAATGTTGAATTATCCTAAAAGATATAATGACACGTAATGATTGTAAATGAATTAATTGAGTTTTAACTAATAAAGTGTCAACATTAATTCTTGCTGTTTTTGCTGCTGCTACTCAATTCCGCTGGTGATAACATCATAGTTATTACAAGTCGACAGGATAAAGATCATATCTTTTATCCATTCTGTGCTGATGATTTCAATTCAATTCCCTGCTGTTCAAATTAGTTATCATTTCTAGTAACTTCATTTATTTCTAATTGAGAATCATCATCAAATTCAAATTGACACAATGTTGAGTGGAGATGAACAACCATCTACTTCTCATTCTGAGTTTTATTCTGTTCCCTCTTCACCACAATTCCAACTATCACCGAACAATATTATCGACTCATCTCAACCACTCGCTCATCCACAGGTTCACAAACCAAGACTTCATATTTTTGATGGAGCTAAGAAAAGTGTCACCATCGAAAACTGGTGTAAAATGTATGAGTCCGCTGCAAGGCGATATAATTGGTCGGATGAAGATATTGTTGAATTATTAAATGAATATCTAGACGGTGATGCTCTCAACTTTTATCTTTATGAGAAAGATAACTGTGATTGGGTTAATATAAAATCCAAACTAATCAATAGATTTGGTATCAAGGCTATTGAACCACTTGAAGAGTGTGTTAGATTGAAACTGCATCACAAGAAAAATGTAACTGAATATTTTGAGGAGAAACGTCGTCTTGCTAATTTATCTCTTTTGTCTGAATCTCAAGCTGTAATACTTATGATTGAAGGTCTAAGTGATCAATTTAGAAACTGTTTTCTTGGTCATAGAATTAGTACCTATGACCAGTTTTCGCTATTGCTAAAGCGGCTGAAAATCACTTACCAACTCATTCTCATAATCAAGGTAAGTTAAATAGGAATCAAGGTAATCGATTCCAATATCACACTAACTACAAAGTTAATCATGCTGAAAATAAACAATTTGTCAAACGACCACCAAAATCTGCTTGTTGGATTTGTGCTAATGCTGGGAAACCTAACCAAATGCACTGGAAGGAAGATTGTCCTATTAAAAAAGAGAGACAACAAGATCATCAACAACAATCACATCAACATTATCATCAACCTCATCAACTTCATCAATCTAATCAACAACGAACAATTAACTATGTTGATCAAGCATCAAATTCTGTACTTGACGATCAACAGAACGACTCTCAGGGCGTTCATTTAAACTAAATTGTCGACTTGAAACGAAACCTTCTCACATCATTATCAAAGGGGCTATTGATTCAAATGATGTTTCAATTTTATATGATCCTGGATCCAACATTTCACTTGTTAGTGAATCAATCATACGAAAACTAGGAGTTGAATCAATTAAATTAAAAACACTAAACTTTTCCACGATAATTGGAGTGGGTGAAATTTCAAGTCTGACTAAAATTAAGTTAACCATTGGGCTAATTACAAATATTATTTATGTTTATATTACTGACTCACTTCCGATTGATATTCTTTTAGGGTTAGATTCAATTTGGATGTTTAGCCTACAATGTGACTCTCATTATCAAATCACCCAACAATCAACTAATCCTAAACAACCGACAATCATCAATTTAATTCCTCCACCAATTAACCTTCCCGATAATTTTCATATTAACATTAACAGTAAACTCAATGATGAAACCGCTAAGACTATTAACGCTGAAATTATTAAGTTACTTACAAGTTACCAGACTTGTTTCGCTGAGTCCAAATTCGATATTGGTTGTATTCCAAATGCTGAATGTGTCATTGAATTAACTACTAATATTCCCATCAATTCTAAACCTTATCGATCAACAAATTATGAAACCATCAATGCTGAAGTTCAATCTCTTTTGCTGAACAATTTAATTCGTCCATCATATTCACCTTACGCATCTCCGGTCACATTAGCTTTCAAGAAAGAAGATCAAGCAAAGACGAGATTTTGTATAGATTATCGGAAGCTTAATGACAAAGTTTTACCTGACAAATATCCAATGCCAAGGATTGAAGATATCATTGATCGTCTTTATGATAGTAACATTTTCAGTATTTTTGATATCAGGTCAGGATTTTGGCATGTGAAAGTTAGAGAAAGTGATATTTCTAAAACTGCTTTCATTACACAAAATGGGCATTATGAGTGGCTGGTTATGCCCTTCGGATTGAAAAATGCTCCAGCAATATTTCAAAGAGTAATTCGAAATATTCTTGAGAAATATTCATTAACTAACTTTTGTCATAACTATATGGATGATATCATTGTTTTTTCCCCTAATCCAACTATTCATCTAAATCATTTATCACAATTATTAACTGCTGTTCAAAAGGAGAATATCAAATTGAATTTTGATAAATCACAATTATTCCAATCGACTGTAAATTATTTGGGTTATCGTTTATCTCCTAATCATATTTACCCTTTGAACAATAATATCAATTCAATACTTGAACTTAAATCACCTAAGTGTGTAAAAGATGTTCGTCGATTTCTGGGAAAAGTTAATTATAACCGCAAATTCATTAACAATATTACTCAAATATTGGAACCAATTCACAATCTGCTGAAAAAAGACTCCAAATTCGATTGGAGTAGCGATTGCCAAAGTGCTTTTGATCAAATCAAATTATTATTAACTTCTGATCCTGTTCTTAAAATTTATAACCCAAATGCTGATTTAATATTGGAAACTGATGCTAGTAGAATAGGTTTGGGTGCTATTCTCAAGCAACCTGATGAAAATGATAAATTACATCCGATCGGCTATTTCTCAAAGAAATTAACTGATTATCAAATCAACTACCCTGTAACTCACCTTGAATGTCTGGCTGTTGTAGAATCGATTAAATTCTGGCATCATTATCTCTACAATAGAAAATTTACTGTTATCACTGATCATATTGCGCTGAAATCAATTCGTAAAATAAATAAACCAAATTGTAGGTTATTCACATGGGCATTTTTCTTGGGACAATATGATTTCGATATTAAATATCGACCTGGAAAAGAAAACGCTGAAGCTGATTATTTGTCGCGAGATCCTGTGGCTGCTGATGAAACTGATTATCCAATTAAGCTGATAAATTTTATTGCTGTTGCTGACCTTAAAGCTGAACAATTGACACTTGCTGATACTGATAAACTGCTGATCAACTCTGATGGACTTTATTATAAAATGGATAAAAATGGAAAAGGAAAATTAATATTACCTGAATCGCTGAGACTGAAACTATTAGAAGCTGTACACATCCAATTTGGTCACATTGGAATAAGGAAAATGATAACTATCATAAGCTGGAAATTTACCTGGTCAAAATTAACGGATGATGTTATTCAATTTGTAAGCAATTGTAAACCTTGTCAACTGGGAAAAACAAGGAGAATCAAATTAATCGCTGAATTGGGTCAATTTGGACCTGCTGATAAACCTTTTCAAATTGTTGCTGTGGATACAATTTGTGGACTGAACAATTATAAATCTAAGAAACGATATATTCATATTGCTGTTGACCATTTCACTCGTTTTGTCTGGGCTATTGCTTCAAAACATCAAACCGCTGCTGAATTCATTTCATTGGTAAATAAAGTTCTAAACTTCGGAAAACCTCAAACAATACTAGCTGATAAATTTACTTCCTTGACCTCTGCTGAATTTGCTGATTACCTGGATAACTTAAACATAAATATCGACTTCATTCCTAAAGCTGCACCTCAATGTAATGGGTTATGTGAACGTGTTGGTAATACTATTGTTGACAAAATTCGGATCAAAATGATTTCAAATAATTATCATTATGGTTGGGTCAAGTATTTACAACGATCAATTGATGAATATAATCATTCACCTCATGCTGTAACTGGGTTCACACCTTATTATTTGTTAAATGGAACAAAACCTGAAAACTGTCTGGATATTGAATTCGCTGTGCTGCCTGAAGCTAGAATAATAGCTTTCCAAAATTCTGTTGATTATCACAACAAGAATGCTGAAATTTTTAATAAGAAACATACTGATTATGATTTCTCTCCTGATGAAAAAGTATACATGAAGAATTTGTCTGGTATAAACAAACGAAAATTGGATCAGAATTACTTTGGTCCATTTCGCATTTTAAGGAAAATCGCAACTAATATTTATGATGTCGAAGTATCGGAATCACCACAACATGTTCAACAAGTTCATTCTAAACATTTGATTCCTATTCGCAATTTATATTAGAGTGAATCATCATTTGACACTATCCAGTTCCGTCCATTACTCTTAAGGGTGGGGATGTAATGATGGTAAAGATTAAGAAGAAAATTTGTTATCTTATGTTAAACATTAATATTCACTTTTGAATATTAATGTAAGTTACCTATTGGTTTAGGTATTGGCGTTAAACACTAATATTCCCTTTTGAATATTAGTGTCAGTTACCTATTGGTTTAGGTATTGGCGTTAAACACTAATATTCACTTTTGAATATTAGTGCCAGTTGCCTATTGGTTTGGGTATTGATGTTAAGCATTAATATTCACTCTTGAATATTAGTGTAAGTTGTCTATTAGTTTTGGGTATCGGTGTAAAACATTAATATTCGCTCTTGAATATTAGTTTATCAAAGAAGAGAAAGAGAGAGAGAGAAGGAGTCTAAACTTTGGATCTTTCTTTTGTAATATTCCAATTAATTGTTTTATAATATTGTAAATTCGAGGAAGAATAAGATAATTTTGGGTTGCTAACTAAAATCTAATTAATGTTGAATTATCCTAAAAGATATAATGACACGTAATGATTGTAAATGAATTAATTGAGTTTTAACTAATAAAGTGTCAACATTAATTCTTGCTGTTTTTGCTGCTGCTACTCAATTCCGCTGGTGATAACATCATAGTTATTACATATATAAAGATATCATATTTACACAGATTTGCTCTCTTTTATGAGGTGAACTGAAATTCAAATAATATGAACCATTTTTGGGATAAGATTATCATAATTCGAACAACCAAAGCTAAGCTAAAACCAAGCTTTCATCATTTATTAACTGTATCAAATATGATTCAGGCTCAACCAAGATATGGTATCTTGTTTAATGACGATAACAATAGTCTCTGAAGTGTAAATTCGAGCGTTTTAACTGGTTTGAAGTAGCTTGATCTTTTTAGAAGGGTTGGAATTACATCAGTTTCTCAAAGGGATATTAGGACATTCAGCATTTACTTGACTCGTTCTGCAAATATAAATTTTGTATTATTAGGAGCATCCAAAAGTCTTTTACCTAGAAAATTGCCGATTGAATTGAGAATAAAAAATTTGGGTGGGATTTGAAAGCTTAAAGACTGAGAACTTAGAAAACAGAATTTCAGAAAAATCGAAAATTGCTATAAATTTTGAGGTAAAATTCCCATTGAAAAAATCGGCTTTTTTGACCTAAATTGACCCCAATCTTGGAAATTTGACCGATCACGATTTACTGGGGAGCAAGGATTTATTTGTTGGTCCACTACTTGCCACAGGCAATAGAAAACTCTCCATGTATTTCCATCCTTATGACAATCAAACGTTTGGATCAAATTTGCGTCGGCCAGATACCAATGCTATTCTAAACTTTTTGGACAATTTGATTGGAACCGAAGAAGCCGAATTTACTGCCTGTTTCAATATAAGATATGAGACTGATAGATCTAAAAACAGTTACGGAAATTCAAATGGTGGCCTGGCTTAAACGAATTGCTCAGAACGAAAATCCTTCCAAATTAACAACGTGCTTTGATTGTTTCTTTGTAATAATTAGAGTATTTTCGTTTAATCTATTCCTGCTTTTACAATTATAATCATTAATAAAAATATCAACGAGTAGTAGATTTATAGACGAGTAATTAATACAATGAGTTATAGTCAATAAATAATCACTGATTAGTAATACATATGTAAGGCGAAATTTTATCAAAATAAATTGGACTTTTAATCGATATCAGCTTGTGGCGACATCTGGTTGATCCATTCGAAGTAATTTAAGAAAAGAGTTCAAATGAAAACAATTAACCGCTTTTTCTGGTTTCTTTGAAATTTATTCATTAAATTTTATTGTCATTACAATTTTGTTTTTCGTCTTAATTGTTCTTTTGGTTAATTGTGTGATTACTTTCAAGATTATTTTGGTGCCTTTGTAGAAAACAATGTCAATTGGAAGTGTTTGTACGTGGAAAGAGAAAGAGGATAAATTGGTAAATTGTTTTGTTCCATTGAAAAGAATATTTTTGATAAAAATGAGAACTACAAAGAATATCAAGAGTTGATTAAGGAGAGTTACACTTCTCTTTATGATTATATTAAATTGGAACTTGAGGATGGTGAAGATCCTTTGGAGAAAATTGAGAAGGAAGAGAAAATAGTGAAAGAGAATATTGAAAATGCGAAAAATGAGGTGAAAAGATTAGACGAAAGTAAACAAAATTTGAAAGTGTCTTGTAAAAAGCGCCAATTAAAGGAAATTGAAGAGATGAGATAATCCAAACCTTGGAATTGATATAAATTCTAAGAACAAATTCAAAGTTCTGAGTAAATTCTTGAATGTCTCATATAAAACTGACCAAGATGGTCAAGCGACTGCAGGTAAGCCCATTTTCTAAGCGTAAAGATTGATGATTTTTGTTTACTATTCTAATTGAAAGTTTATTATTTTCTCTTTTTTTTGTTAAAGTTCTTTTCAAAGATGGTAACCGACAGATCCGATTCGATGACCAAAGTCGATCCAAGCAACAAAAGATGAACGAATCTTGGAATATATTTAAAATAACAATCGAAAATAATCATGATCATCTTTTTATTGTCGTTTAAGTGTTTTGCATCATTAAATTACCTCAATAGATTTAGCAACAATTAGTTCTAATTCGGGTTCATTAGTGGACAACCATCAAGTTAATCCAATAAAATCTCTGACAATTAGGCTGCGAATGAGCGTTGTTATATTACAGCATTTCTCAGTAACTTTCACCGAGTTACCAAGAAGTTTAGTCGAGTTCCCATTTGGATTAGTCAACCCGATAGATGGCAGAATTTTTTTCAATTCTTTGTCAAAAATACAACTTAGATGTTTCCTTTTTTTTATCGCTCCTGATAAACTTTAATTTAATTAACTTTACCTGTGAATTTAAAATTTAATTTCATGTTATTATTGTTTATCTTGTCACACGGAACAAGTTGGTACCAAAATCACGATAGTTCAACAGTTAATTCAGTTGTTTTTTGTTACTCTTAAAACTGAGACTCTTGTTGCGTCGTAATAACTTCAACCATTTTTGTTCTCTTGGTAAGTTTTGTTGGTAATTTGATACAACTTTCTTTTCTCTAACTCATACTTTAAATTTTATACTTTAAATTTTATACTTTAAATACAATTAAACAAATTGATTAAAATTACCTCACATTTATAATCAAAATAAGTGTTTTCACATTTTAAAAGATTGAAATTCTAATTTTATTTTCTCCTTCTCTTCGTATCATACCTAATGAGTTAAACTTATTTGGACCTCATCTCCACTTCCATCTCAACCCTTGGTATTTACAATCATCAAATTGGACCTTTGGACAATCAAACTAACCACCAGTCAATTAATATAATTTATAAATTTTCTTTTGTTTTTACCTAATAATTTGTAAACCAAATCTATTGTAATTTCCCTCCCTGAAGTTGTCTGGAACAACTTTCCTCCACAGGAGGAGCTACAGAAATACACTGTAGTAATAATGTTAACTCATTGCATCCATCAGGATGTTACCAATAAAATTGTCAATGAGTTTCGCAGATTATCAATTCATTTGGTCAACTTCTCAGAACAATTAGTCAAGTAGCTCAATATTACATGAAGATGAATAAAATGAAAAAATTACTCAAAATTCATCAGTGATTACGAAAAAAATGAAAACAATTTTCTATCGAAACATGAAAAAGTTCAAACATGTTTACTAAATGGGTATTTGGAGACGAAAACAATTAAATTGTGATTTGAAACCATTTTTAATTGTCTTTAATGAAGCTACTTGACTAATTGTTCAGAAAAGTTGACCAAATGAATTGATAATCTGCGAAACTCATTGACAATTTTATTGGTAACATCCTGATGCATGAGTTAACATTACTACAGTGTATTTCTGTAGCTCCTGTGGAGGAAAGTTGTTCAGACAACTTCAGGAGAAATTATAGATTTGGTTTACAAATTATTAGTAAAACAAAGAGAAATTATAAATTATATTATGAATGAGTTTGGTTGTCCAAGGTCCAATGATTGTAAATACCAAGGTGAGATGAAGTGAGATGAGGTCCAAATAAGTTAACTCATGGTATGATACGAAGAAGAAGGAAAATAAAATTAGAATTTCAATCTTTAAAATGTGCTTATTTTGATTATAAATGAGGTAATTTTAATCAATTTGTTTAATTGTATTTAAAGTATAAAATTTAAGTATAAAATTTAAGTATGAGTTAGAGAAAGAAAGTTGTATCAAATACCAACAAAACAAAAAGTTGAAGGTTGATTACGACGCAACAAGAGTCTCAGTTTTAGGTAACAAAACTGAATTAACTGTTGAACTTTGATTTTGCCAACTTGTTCCGTGTGGATAATAACATGAAATTAAATTTAAATTCACAGGTAAAGTTAATTAAATTAAAGTTTATCAGGAGCGATAAAGGAAACATCTGTTGTATTTTGACAAAGAATGAAAAAATCTGCCATCGGGTTGACTAATCAAATGGGAACTCGACTTCGGTAACTCGGTGAAAGTTACTGAGCTAAGAGATTTAGATATTAACCAGTAACATTCACTTTGACGTTCGCCCAATAGATTATCATGTACAATTGAATAGTTATAATGTAATAATCAGATTTGCCATTTTCCATTTAATCCAATGGATAATGGAAGTAAATTTAACGGATTTTATAAGTTTTAACAATCAATTGAAAAATTAGTCAATTAAAATGAAATTTTATTAACGTTTCCAACTCAAAATAATCACGAGATTTGGTTCGTATTTAAAATTTTACAATTGATTAACTTTAATTGACTGGTTACAAAGACACAAGGTAGTAACTGGGTTAGTGTTTAATTGCTAGACGTTAATTTGATTCTCGGTGTAATAGTAATGAGTGATAAGTAAAGATTATATTTTAATGTCTATTGAATTGTGAACAGTTCATTTTCGTGATAAAAGGAGAAAAAATTCGAAATTTAGATTGATCTTAATAGAAGCGAAATCGTCGGTTCCAAGAATATTCTTCATCCGATTTACAATATCGTCAATGAAGATCGTCGCTTTTTCTGGACTTTTCAAGGCCAAAGTATTATATGCTGACCAGGAGGTAATATATTCGAGGAAAGTTTGACCATCGTAGGTAACTGGACAAACGATATCAGTTAATCGTTTACAATTACGATAAGGTAACTTTAGATTGTCATACTTTGAATGAAGGAAATTCATCATTGGCTGTTCCCAACAACCTAATAGTTCAAGATTATTAAACGCGTTTTCAATTACCGAGGCCATTTTATCGTTAACCGGACAATCATCTGGTGATCGAAGTGGATAACAAATGTAACCTGAAGCAGCGAAAACACCACCGGGGGCAAGAAGACGATCCACTTCCTTGTAGAATGAGGTTATGTCAAACCAATGGAGACACTGAGAAGCTGTAACAAGATTAACTGATTTATCTTCCAATGGAATCGATTCAGCACCAGAAACCTTCAAGTCGAACATGAAAATCAAAAATATCACAAATAATTAAGCTCGATAATTACCAGAAACACTCATGAAATATTCAAATAAGTGGGAAATGGTGATGACAATATTTACCTTGAATGAAATATTTGGGTAAGTGTTTCGTTTATTGGCCTCGGCGATTTGAGCGGAACTAATATCAACACCGAGAATCTCATCAAAATAATCTTTTATTAGAAAAGTATTCTGACCTGAACCTGATCCAACATCGACAGCTCTTGACCAGGTTCCATTTTCGTTCTTTTGATTACCAGCATCAACAAAATCGACGATTGAGTTAATCAACGAAAGTGGTGGCGATGGACGAGAACGAACATAAGTCGACGCGTGATCTTCAGATTCAAACAATTGGATGGGCATAATTGCTGTGATAGTTTGGACAATTTCAACTTCGAAGGAAAAATAAACACGAACACAAAAAAATGAGCGAAATTCTAAAAGGTACAAAGATATTTGAACAGTTCGAATGGTTTTTATTTCTTTTCAATGAATCTCAGCTTTTTTATCGAACTCAAGTGGTTCGATTTAAGATTTGGTCCAATTAATGTTGTGGGTGAGAAAAGTTTAATGAAAGAGTAGGTTGGTCTTACTAAGACTCTCCCATTCTCATCTTATTCTTTCTCTCTCTCTCTCACTCACCTTTTTCTCTCTCATTATCATCAACTTGTCGATTCCACTGGAAGATAAATCAGTTTATCTGTCAACCACTTTCTCGATTCATTGGTTCTCGATTCAACCTCATTTTATAAGGAAGTTAATTGTCATCTGGCTTCAGGTTTAGAATCATTTTCACTTTTTGATTATATCACATTGAGCAATAACATGATTAAGGGCTTGATTGATTTAGCTATCAAGTTGATTTTCCACTTAATCCTCTAATTAAACTGATTCTGTTGTTAATTCCTCTTGTTTACCTTCCGTTTTAAATTAAATTTTCATTCTCGAAATTGGTTTTTCTTTTCTCTTCATTTAACCTTCTCAAATGATTAAGAAAATTAGTTCCAATTGTTGTTAACAGAAATTCATTAACTGTCAGCATAGATTTGGACTAAATACATTGATTAGAGATTATCTTTACCTGTATTTATTGGTTATCGCAATTAAATCATCAGTATAATTGAGGGTTTGATTTATTTTGGTCAAGTTTCTTTCATTTCTCTTGATTACCTTCATTTAGATTACAATTTGTTTCACCCATTTGATTTTCGTAGCAATTGCTTGAAACAATCAAAACGATATTTATAATTAAAATTAACACTAACAATTAAGGCAATAATTTTATTCATTCCGTCATTTTGATTTCCTTAGATTGATTAGAATCGTTTGAGTTTTAATCAACCTTCCGACAAAATAATAATCAAATGATTTGAATTAGCGAATCAGCTAAATTTTATTACTTTTAGAGAATATCGAATTCAACTTTACACACCAGTTAGAGTAAACAATCAGTTAATTGTTGACGATCGACTTTTAATCTACAATTTACAAAAAAGTGTAAAGTCGTTGTTATGAGATGCCCTTGAAAGAGATTAAAGGTGAATCAATAAGATTTTATGCTTTAAATTGATTCGTCAAAATTGTTCAGATGTTAATTACTAAATTAGAGCAGTTAATTTATATGATAATTAAGAAAATCATCAATTATTAGTGAAAACAATTAAAAATTCGTCAATTTAACTTGAAAATGAATGGAATTTGTTTTTTTTCTTTGCCACAAGATGACGACACTTAGAAGGAAAAAGTTTGCGTTCACTTACAATTAATGTGATTGGTCAAACTAAGAATGAAAAATGCGCAAAATTTAAAATAATTTAATTTCCCATGGAAAAAGATAGAGGACGAAACTAAAATCCAGTAAATGGCAGGATTTTGCTCAAATATGAAGGTCTGACTGTACATTATCCAGTATATTGGAAATTAAATGATTTAATTTAAATCTATTTAATCAGCTTCTATTTCTAGTATCTTCTAAACCTGTTATTTATAATCTTCCTGGGTCATCTTCACCATCTTCTACCTCACCTCAATCATATCTCACGCCAATTTCATCTGAAGCTACCATGACCAAGAAAATATCACCTTTCCAAGTAAAATGCGAGGATTGTAAAGGTCATCCATTTGCCAAGGTACTAAGTTGGTCAGTTTCAATTAACAAAATAATTGGATGAATTAACTTTTTTTCAGCGATATCATCAATTAATGCGGCAACACTATGCTCTGCCAAAGGAAATACTAGACACAGATCAATATGCAGAGGAATTTAGTCAAGCTGTAGACGATGCGTTCGAAAAATATGGAATTCCAGGTTGTGGTTATTTGGGTGCATTTTTTTGAAAATCGCGCTTCCAATAAAAGCTAACGGATTCTATTCTACAACATTCAGCATTTTCATCATCTAAATCAATTGTTTTTTTACGTTCTATCATTAAATGTGTATCAACAAATTCTTTTTCGGCCTTCAATAGATTTTGTTAATCGTTTGTACGAGAACAAAGCCAATGTTCTTCTTTTTCGAGAAGTTTCTTTCAGCAATATTCACTCAGTTAGTAAATATACTGGACAACTTTACAATCGACATAGAGATTTCATTTGGTAAAAGTAAGATATGGACGAATGTTTAGATTTACGATTATCGGTGATGACGCGATAATTTTGATGAAAATCGATGTTTTTAGTTCTAGAAATAGAGAAAAGGGAAACGATTTGGTGGGAGAGCTTTAAAAAAGAGGTAAGAGAAATGGGACGAGAAATAATCGATGATCATCAATGATTTTAATGGTTCTAATTCGGGTTCATTAACTTCATTTGTGTACAACCAGCAAGTTAATCCAATCAAATCTCTGACACGAGCATTGGTAAAAATGACCACTTGGAGTATTTTGAGTCTCTGCTCACCGGCGATATTATGTAAAATGATCTCATAATTTCGGGTTCTTCGTCTATCACCAACTCGAGCATCGAACTTGGCAAATTCTTTAAATGGATTGTCAGGAGATTTTTCCACCGGTAAGGAAAGAATAGACTTTTTTGGAAGACTTTCTCTGGAAGATTCTTTTATCTCATCTTCACATTTTCTCGGGAATAATTCGGACAGTTCATCATCTAAAATCAACAACATCAGAAATTTGATGAAATTAGTGATTTGGACCTTCGATCGGTCGTTAGCATTTAATGTTTCTTTAATTCTCTTCGTTCTTCTCTTAACTCTTGTATTTTCTTTCGAAATCCAGTTAATAGATGAAAATGTTTCCTTTGCCAATAAGTTGATTGTAACTGTTGAAAATCTTTGAAAATTTGCTTTCTTACTGGTCTAACTTTATGTTAGAACTTTCATATCTTCTTAATATCATGATACATGCATTGAGATAATCAAATGTGTTTAATTATCAAAATGGCAAAAAATAACCTTCACACCAAGAAAAACTCAATAGTCGATCCTCATTAATTGTTTAACTAATCAACTAATAAATTAATCAAAATATTTATTCAGATGATTTCCCTCTTAATCTGTTAAAGTGAAAATGATTCAGTGTTTTTGACTTTCATCAAACTTGTTGAACAGTTAGAATAATTATCCTCTTCTAATTTAATTGTCGATATCATGTGAACAGTTATGATGACTAATATTAAAACAATAGATTCGTTCAGTAAGTTTATTATATTTACACAGATTTGATCTCTTTCATGAGGGATCTGAAATTCAAATAAAATGAACCATTTTCAGGATAAGATTATCATAGTTCGTTTATCAACTTTAAGCTACAGTCGTGTTTTCGTCATTTATTAGTATTTGTTATCATTATGCTAAAGTTAAAAAGTCTTTTCATCATGTTAGTGTTTTCATCGATATCAAATATGATCCAGGCTCAAGCAAAATATGGTAGCTTGTTTTATGACAATAATGATAGAAGTGTTAATGCTGACGTTATAACTGGTTTCAATAATCTTGATCTTTTTGGAACGAGTGGAATTTCACCAATTTCTGAGAGGGATCTTAGGACACTCAGCATTTACATATGTCAATATGCAAGTTCAACGTTTAGTTTAAAATTGCGTCAATCAGATGTCCAAACTATTCTAAGCTTACTGATAAATTCTTATGGTACTAACACTGCATTTAACATAGCTTATCGGAATTATGCTCGATTCATGCTTCAAATTCTTGTCGAATCTGGCATCACATTGGATAACCAGTATGTTCTGGGGGACAGGAATTTATTTGTTGGTCCACTACTTGCCGCAGGCAATAGAAAACTTTCCATGTATTTGCATCCTTATAACAATCAAACGTTTGGGTCAAATTTGCGTCAACCAGATGCCAATGCTATTCTAGGCTTTTTGGACAAGCTGATTGGAATCGAAGAAGCCGAATTTAGTGCCTGTTTCAATGTAGCCTATCAAAAAGAGAGATTTAATAACAATAACGAGGATCTGAATGCTGGTCAGAATGTTGGTGCGAATGTTGGCCTGGCCTAAATGAATTACTCCGATACGAATATCCTTACAAATTGATAACGTAATTTGATTTGTAACTATTGAACTATTTTCGTTTAATATATTCCTGCTTTTAATACATCTCTAATCATCAATAAAAAATATCAATTAGTAGTAGATTTATAGACGCGTAATTATCCTCTGAGTAGTAACCGAGCAAAATTTTGGTAAGACGATACAAGTGTTTGTTAAAAATGACCACTTGGAGTATTTTGAGTCTCTGCTCACCGGCGATATTATGTAAAATGATCTCATAATTTCGGGTTCTTCGTCTATCACCAACTCGAGCATCGAACTTGGCAAATTCTTTAAATGGATTGTCCGGAGATTTTCCACCGGCAAGGAAAGAATAGACCTTTTTGGAAGACTTTCTCTTGATCTTTTATCTCGTGGTCAGATTCTTTTGAGAATAATTCGGACAGTTCATCATCTAAAATCAAGAATCAAGAATAATGAATATTAAACAGTGAAATTGTTAGATTCATGGAAACTTAAGAATTAGGCTGAGAACGAACGTCAATGACAAAAAAAAAAGTAAAGATGATCATTAGATTAAGAAGAGGAAATTAGATATTAACCAGTAACATTCACTTTGACGTCCTCCTAATGAATATATTTAGTTTTTGCCGCTGATCTTTTCTCTTCCTTCAGTCTTTCCAACCTTTGGGCAGTATTTGAACGTCCTCGATGAGCAGTGATCATCTCAATGTCGGAAACAATTTCACATGATTGAGTGGCATCAAGAAGGTCCGATTTCGCTTCAATTTCGACCGCTAAAAAGAACAAGAGAAAACAAATCAGTTGAACAAAATTGATAAAAAAAGAAAACATCTCCAAAAGAAACAATAAGAATATCTTATTACATCGATAAAATGGACAAGATATCATTTACAAAGTTCCATATACAATCGAATAGTTTAAAGTCAAGAAAAAGGATAAATTGAAGAGATGAAATAACTAAGACACTAATCCATAGATTCCAAAAGATGAACTTACTTTCAAGCAAATGAACATGAACCAAGTTAACTCATGTAACATAATAATTTCTGTAAGATGAAAGATAATAAAATAAAAAAGTTCTGTCAACAATTGAACGATTCCCAATCAAAGAATGACTCAAATAGTAAGAAGCACAAACATATCTAATGGAAACGATACTCTTAATGAAATGAATGAAAAAAGAAACAAATGTGAAAGCGGCTACAAAAAAGGTGCAATATTGATAATCGGCTTAGAACCAGAAAGAAAATTCGAATAGGTGATTTACCGGTTTTAGGTAGAAAAGAGAAAAAGAAGAAAAAAGATCCACCAGATGGAGACACTAAACTCGTTTGGAATCTTTTGCTGAGCTACTGAGCAACTCGACTTAACAGCTGTTGAGAGCAGAGTCTCAATTCAGGTAATAGACTGAACCTCACATTGGCTTAAGTGATAAGAATAGTAAAGTGAGATTGTTTTATTTTTTTCTGGTGTGTTTTTTTTTCTTCAACAACAACAACAACAACAGGATAACAACCACAACACCAACACCAACACCAACGACAATTTAAATAATTGATAAGATCAGCGTCACCTTTACCACCATTCATCATCTTCATCATCATCCTAATCATCCCTCTCATCAAATAACAAAGCAACAACCATTTGTGAATAATGTCAATTCATCCATTCAACGAGACTCTTCATATTTCGGAAACTGATGAGCCCAGAAGAAATGACATTTCAGAGATTTTAACACAAATAATCAACATCAGTGACCAAAGTTTGGATGAGGCTCAAGCCAGAAAACATACATTAAATTGTCATAGAATGAAATCAGCACTTTTTGGTGTTCTTTGTGAAATCAAGGAGAAAACAGGTAAGTCAATGTGTTTTTCTTTCTCTCTCGTTCTCTTCCTTGTAAACATGCAATTTAAAAAACAAAAACGGAATCTCCAACCATTTTGATTCACTTCAATCAGGCTAAATTATCTGGATTAGTATCTTTCTTGTGTTTACTGTCTCCTTTCCAAGGGAATTTCTTGAAAACAGCTGACACCTTTAGGTGTTTTTTAGGTCGATGATGTTCCTGTGTACTTGTTGGAGTTGATATCTTGGGTTCAAAATAGAGAATCTTTGTTGAACTTGGTTGAATGTCGTGCAATCTGAGAGCTGAGAATGATGTTATGGGACTGAAAAGAGAAGAGAAGGAAAACAAATTAGATTAAATTGTCGCGAATATCAAATTTGAATACTTACATTGCTTCTGAATGGTTTCGCCACTTTCGACCATGGCTAAAGTACGAAATTCATATTTCTCAACTATATCGGCGGGCTTGAGAGCAGGAAAATTTTTATCAATTTCTTCATTATCTTTCGCTATTCTGAGACAATATTTATCAACAGCCGGTTCTAGTTCAGGTTCATTTGTGTACAACCAGCAAGTTAATCCAATCAAATCTCTTACACGGGTATTGGTAAAAATGACCACCAGGAAGGAAAGAATAGACTTTTTGAAGACTTTCTCTTGAAGATTCTTTTATCTCGTGTTCAGATTTTCTCGGGAATAATTCGGACAGTTCAACATCTAAAATCAAGAATAATGAATATTAAACAGAGAAATTGATAGATTCATGGAAACTTTTAAGAATTAGACTGAGAACGAACGTCAATGATAAAAAAAAGGTAAAGATGATTCTTCCCATGACATCTGTCACATTATGATGACAATAGTAAATAAGATCAAATAAAACGACCTCATCCACTTTCGGATAAACAATATTAGTATATCGTAATTTCATCTTAGGTGAACCCAAGAATTGATACTGACCAACAAGTGGGACTTACAATTGTTAGTAATTCCAGCGATAAAATGATTTACACTATTATTGTACCTGAAAGATGGAAACAATTAGTTGACCTCGAAAACCAATTAATTTCTCATTGTTAATTTACTCACTTGCAAAGTAATTGTTTAATTGTATTCTGATCGGATGCTGGAAATTACGATTTCAGTTTATAGTTAGAGGGCTCATCGGGTTGAGATTGATATGTTTCTCTCTCTCTCTCTCTTATCATCATCATTAGATTTTCCTTATCATCGAGCACACTCTCAGTGGTTTTTTTTCTGTGTTGTTGTTGTCACTTTAAACTAATAATGACAATCATCATTTGTCATAATTTACTTAAATTAATAGTAACAATAACAACTGAGGAAAAAAAATCATCTTATTGTTATATTTTTTTTTTATCATTTTCATGGTAAATCATCATTATCATAATCATCGTCATTATCATCATTCTGAAAGGTGAACATGAAACTTGTTTTAAAGTAAAGTTGAAAATTATGTCAAGGGAATTGACTGGAAATTACGATTCTTATCATCATCATTATATCATGATAATTATCAATACTGATAGTTGATAATATTGTTTATATGATAAAATTACGTGAATCATTTTCTACCTGATGTAATGAAAAATTATTAATAATTAAAAAATGTGATGATGAAGAAAAGTGAGTATGAAAGAGAGAAAGTGAATCTCATCATGAAATCATCATGTTACCATCATATGGATAAAATTTACGTTATATATTGTCATTTGATAACATTTGATGTTGTGTAACAGTTATATCATCATTAATACTACATTTATCTTGAGCTATTTGATATAGTATCTTTTGATGATGATCTTTCGGTGATTATGGCCTTGGAATAGGGAAAAGTGTCTAAAATTGGATTCTCTTGGCAACTTGATAATTAGTTATAACCTTCGAGTTTCGATATTTTTAAGATTTGTTTTTCTCTCTATCCAAAGATTGACCAAATTAATGGTTAATGTTTTCGTCTTTTCTTGTTATTTTGGTAGAAAATTTTTCTCTTCATTGAGAAGTAAAAATTATGACTTACGAATTGAACTTATCATCATGGTCATGGGAATAAGATAAATCTATTTTCAATGAACTTTCTGATCTCTTATAACTTTTGTGGTTTTTTCTTCTTCTTCTTTACTCTTTGGATGAACATTTTTCAGAGCTAAAAGTTTATATTCATTTAATTTAATCTTTGAAGGAGAAGAAGAAGAAAAAAGTGATTGTTATCATCTCAATTCTCTTCCGTCTCATCTTTCCTCTTTGTTTATCATGCCTATTCCCTTTCACTATCATCATTATTATCATCATCATCTTATGAGAGATAGTTTTTAAGGAAGGGAGAGTTGAGGGATGAGGATGATAGTGATGATGGTTAATCCTATGTTGCTTGAAATGAGCCAGTTATATAGCAAATGAGGTGTGTAATTTTTGTAAAATGATAGTTTACTTTCTTGCTTTTTACTTTTTTTATCTTTCTTTTTTCATCATCCTCTTCATCTTTCTCTATTTCATCCTCATCTTTATTTTTTACTATCATCTCATGTTAAATTTAATTCACTTTTTTATATATTTGATCAACTCTCATGTCTATGAATTTAGTCTCTTGTATGATATGTGAGAGTAAGAGTGAGAGTGAGAGGGAGTTAGTGTGTGTGTTTGGTGGAAAAGAGAGATAGTCTCAAGTCTTTCAGAATGTTGAAGACGTGAGATGATGATGATTATGACGAGAAGTGAATATGATGTGACCTATGGGTATTTGGTTGTTTCCCTCTTCTCACCTTATCTTGTTTGGTCAATTGAACTTTTTCAAAATTTGATAGCAATTCTTGCATCAAACTGACCTCTAATATTGAAAAAATAACAGAAAGTTATCATTTACCTTTGAGAATTGAACTGAATCCTTAAAGTTCAATGGAGCAGGAAGGAAGAGTGACTGAGAGAGATTGAGAAGGAAAGATAAATATGAGACTTGTGATGATGATGATGATGATGAAAATGATGAGCATGATGATGAGAATAAGGTATAAATGTGAAGATGATGATGAGTAAATAGGATAAAATTTATCATGATGATTTTTTGTTCTATTTTCTCATGTTGAAGCATTTTAAAAATGTTCATCAGTTTATCTCTAAGTTTTATCACGATATATTCATTCACATACTCATGATACCTTTCAAGTGTTAAATTGTATTCGGATGAAAAGTCATCACTTCTATACAGATAAATATAAATGTAGAAAATGAAATGAATCAAGATGAAGGTGAAAAATTCACTGAAAAAGATTGACATTTTCACCCTTTTTCCAGCATCATGCTAACCTAGTTCATCCTTTTGTTCATTTCATTCATACTCATGTTTCAAGAATTTTCATCTCCCTCATCTCTCTCTCTCTCTCTCTCTCTCTCTCTCGCACTCTTCTATCTTTCATTCATTTTCTAGTTGCTGAAATATATTTTTATTTATGTACATAATTTTTTTGTCTTCCTCGCCCTGCACAAGAGTGGGAAACATTGAATCACTTTTACATCCTCGTCCTCTCATCATCATTATCATCCCAAGCCCTTTGAGATTTATATATATGCAACAAGAGAGCGAGAAAGTGAGTGAGTGAGAGTAGAAAAAAAAGTCAAGCAAAAGATATGATGTTGTCAATGTTGAGAAAAACTTGCAAACCATATACATGTGGTTATGAATTTAGATTGAGATTCTGTCATCTCATTTTCTATCTTCTCTTTCTTTTTATTTATCTTCATCTTTATCCTTTATTTTTCTTCTTGTGCAAGTAACTCGTTCTTTCAACCTTCTCTCACTCTAACTCACTTATTTACTCACTCACTGATATTCTATGTGGGCTTATAATTTATATTTATGTATATAAATATATATTTATCTTATAGAGTAAAAAGACGGAGGAGTTGAGGTTTTAAGGATGATGAAGATGAGGATGAAGAAGAGGAAGAAAGAGAATGAGTGAATACAAAGATAATATAAAGAATTGGGATGAAGAGGATGGAGAGAGTGAGAGAGAGAGAAAGGGAATGTCTCCATGGGAATAAGCTCCGGATTGACGGAGGAAAAAGAAGCAAAAAGATGGGCAAGAAATGGATTGATATTAAACTTGTCTTCTTCTTTTGCTTCATCTTGCTGATGAAGGAAGAAAACAAGAAGATGAAGCAGAAAAAAAGGATGAGGATGCTGGATCAATCTAAGCAAAGTGGATGAGATTCATTTAAAGGACAATCTCATAGGGTTTCAATATCATTTCATAGAGTGAGATCTTTCCACTTTCTCTCTCTCTCTTCTTTTACTGTTCATCTTCTTTTCTCTTAAATTAACTTTCTCTTTTTCTCGCATCTTTTCATCCTCATCCTCATCTTCTTCATCTTCTGTAACAATATTTTTTTTTCTTCCAAAGATTCTCCAAGTTTCTTCTTCCATGTGTTGCAATTACTGTTAACTCTTGTTGCTGTTTTTACTTTTGTACTCAAGTGAATCAGTTATTTCCTTCCTTTCTCATCCATTCTTTTACCATGATACCTTCTGCTTCACATGATATAACATAGGTAATCTTTTTCTTCCTCATCTCACTCACACAGATCACAATTTGTTTTAATACTTTTTTCATGATTAAATGAAACATTGGTTACCTCGAACAGTTAAGGAAACAAATTGGTTCAACTTTTAATTTTCAATTCATCTTGGTTAAAGGCTATACAAATATTAGCCTGGCCATTCATGAAAATAGAGAGAAAGAGAGATATTGAGGTGGCAGTGGAAAGAGGAGGGATAAGATGAAGAGAGAGAGAGAGAGAGAGAGAGAGAGCATATAAACTGATGAGGAACATACATCATCATTAGAAGATCTCTTGCCTTTTATTCATCCTTCTCTTCCTTGGTTCCTTTTCCTGGTCAAGTTTCTATGTCTTTATTTGCAAAAAAGTAGAGGGAGGGATGAAGATGGAGATGTGAAGGATAGAGGATGAAGGAGGAAGATGAGGAAGAA